TGAGCTAATTTCATGCCATATGATTTTCTAAGATTGGCTCCCAGGGAGGAGTCTGAGGGTACCTTTGTGCAGCAGGCTGCAGCACAGTGTAAGGGTACACAGTGGTTAGCAGTAAACTCAGAGGCTGAAGAGAGCGTTACCCGGGAGAGCGTTGAAATCACACCAAGTAGTTTACCTTGCTTACTAGTTACATTGCACAGCCGTTTTGTAGAAGTAACCTTAAATAATTAATGAAATGCACATTTTATATTTTTACTATAGTTACATGCATTTTTTTTCATACAATAAAATCTTACCATGCTAAGTACTTGGAACAGTGGAAAAGCAAGGTTTGCAAACCACCCCGGTCCAAACTGTAACATTAAGGCTATGCAATCATTGCTAATGAATCCTCCAAATCCATCTGAAACTTTTTTTCCTCCTTTCTTATGAGACAAGAATGTCCTTACAAAGACCCTGCTTAAGAAGAGCACCTCTTAGGCCTCACTGGGACTTAGTCCCCACTGGAGACATGGTTGTCAGTGTTGTTTGTTCTTATGATAATAGAACGTAAAGGTTTGGTATATTATCCAGTTAGTTCCTTGAGATTTGCAGTCTGCTAGTTGCTCTTAGGTTTCTCTCTGTCAATGTGCTTGTGCCTATATGTTAATTCTCAGGAGGTTTTTTCACTTTGCTGGCTAATTTCATCTGAACTTGGGAAAGGAGCACAGATTCCAAGAGAGTGAAGTTGAAATTACATTGTATGACTGTGTTAATCTAATTCCTGTCTGTATTTTCAGCTGGAGAGGTAAGGGAGAAATATTCTCTCAATACCCACTAAAGATTTGAGTTTTATGAGTGCCTGTAACAAAGGAAAAGATTTTGTTGGTGGTTGAACCGTTTGAGCTGCAGGTTCAGCCCAGGTGGTCAAGAAGTTACACATTTGGAGAACACCATGGAAAGCTTTTCTCTTGATGAGGACGTATATATTGCACCTTTCTTGTGTGACTTCTCCCGTGCTGAAGTAAAGATGAGCTTGGACAGCAGTTCTGGTGCAGTTCATGTAAGTTAATCAACAGGGAAAAAATCCATTGGAAAGAAGGTCCCAGTGTTCCTGGAACTTTCTCTTTGGCTCTGTAGTTCTTCAGAGGTTATCCCAGGGTATAAGCAGTTAATGCTTCCTGCATTAATGCTAGATTCTCCAGAAAGAGGGAAGGACATCATTGTCGTCACTTTTTGTTTTATTCCTGCTGAAAAGGAATGGTGTCATTCGAAAACATTTACTTTCAGCCCTTTGGGTATACATTTCCTAGTTGTCCAGCATTTCAGGGGAATGAAAGATTGGTTTAGCTGTGCGGTTTTTTAGTTGTTGTGAAACAAAATAATTGACTTGGATACGAAGTAGAAAAGTTGATTGCTCCTACTGCTTATGAAAAGCATTGCTAAGCAGTCTTACAGATAGCTTGACTGTTTTAGACTCTTCAGAGATTGCTATGATACAGTTGCACTTCATGTGCTTTATTTGGATGAAATTCAGGGGCAGGGAGGGCAAAGGGACTATCATATTGTTCCTGTATAATCCCTTCTCAGACAAATCTGTACCTTGTACTTTTTAAAGAATACTAATCCTTATGATATGTCCTCCAAGAGTGTGTGTCTCCCTTTCAAACCGGCTGTGGAGTCTTCTGCTGGGACAGGGCAGGAATCAGAGGCAGGACAAGGTGTTGAGGGTATGCTGTGTGGATAGTGAATGAAGGGTTTCAGGGACATGAAAGCTTATCATAGACTTACCTTGCATTAGTTGTGGATTTGTTGGGTGAATTTCTACGTGTAATTTAAAATCCCACATCCTGTTGGGAAGGAGGCCATAGTTTGACCTTAGGAGCATATGCTTGCCTTTTTTTTTGTTGTTGTTTTTTCTCCAATTGTACATGTTCTATGATCATGTGCCATAATTTAATTAGTAAATTAAGTAACTTAATAAAAGTTAATGCATTAAAGCTTAATGTACTTTCTGCTTTAAAATCCTGAAAGTTCTATTAACTTCAGCTACTTTCATGCTTGAAGGTCTGAACTGAGCTTGGGGTCCCATCATGCGAAGTGCAGTATGGGCACATAAAAGCAGACGGTATGTACTGTGTGGTTGTATAGCTGCCATAGGATTGGACAGAGGAGGAACAGCTACAAAAAGGTTAAAAATGCATTTTGTTTATGAAACTTCCATCAGTGCTGTTCACGCCTCTTGCATATTTTCCTGTTATTATTGAGGAATTTTAATGCCAAATCCTGCTCCCTTTCTCTGGACTGTGCTGCCAGTGACTTCAGCATCGGAAAGGTTAGGTGAAGATGACTTGTTACCATCTCAAATGTGGATGTGTTAAAGTTGAACAGATGTGTTTTCACTGGGGATTTTGTGCTGCTTTTGTGCTTTAAAAGAAAATCCTTGATTAGTGATTAGTTTCAAATAAAATAAAAAATAAAGAGAACAAATATGTTAAAAAGGAGCATATGTTGCCACTGGTGTTGAGTGCATGCCCCAGAACCACAGGAACATAGATATATACATAGTTTTGAGGACGTCTTGCTTTCAGGCTATGCTGATGTGGCCATGGTGGGTGTCTGCATGTTTGCTTTTAGTCCTGCCCTCTTGCTTTACATGATACCCAATTTGAGTTATAGCCTCAGGTTTAAATTCAGGCAAGCTCATTGATGTTACCCATGGATTCACTGTTGTCTGGGATTTACTATTACATAATTATTTCTGAAGGCCTACAAATTGGCCCCTGGAAAATTCAAGGTGGAGCAAATGAAGCTCCCTGTGTCCCAAGAGCAAAAAGCAGCAGATCTGATTATGTGGTTTGGATTTTGCTTGCATACTTCCCATTTGGGTCTTGCTGCAAACTTAGTAGCCTTCAAGGTGGCAATCACAAAATCAAATTAAAGGCATACAGTGATACCAAAAAGGTTTTAAGGCCATCTGTCATTTTGCATATTTAGATTTTGGTTTGTGTTGCCTGTTCTTGAGAGAAAGGGAAAGAGTTTCCCAGGAAAGATTGCATTGCCTTGGGCATAGGCAGTGCTGCTGGCAGAACTGGATTCTTGTTCAGCCCTTGCCCTTGCTCACTTCCTGCAAGATGCTAGCCATGGCACTTAAACCTCAGTTTTTATCAGTGGTATCTATGTGGTTTTATCTGGTTGTCTGACTTGTGAATTGTACTTCTATCTTGAGAACAGAGGACTCCTGAAAGTTCTCCAGGGTTGGAAGTCCAAGAGTCCCTTGATTAAAGGCAATCACTTTGTTGTCTATTTCTGAAAAATGCTGATCTTAAAGTCGCGTAAAGCTTTTGTGCTGCTTGCCAGTATGGGAAGGCTTTGTTAGAACCCCGTATTTATCATAGAATACCATGTTGGAAGGGACCTCAAGGATCATCTGGTCCAACCTTTCTCGGCAAAAGCACAATCTACCAAGATGTCCCAGCACTCTGTCCAGTTCAATCTTAAAAGTGTCCAATGCTGGGGAATCCACCACTTCCTGGGGAGATGATTCCAATAGCTGATTGTTCTCATTATGAAAACTTTTCCTCTTGTGTCCAGTCAGAATCTTCCTGGGAGTAACCTGTGCCCATTACCCCTTGTCTTTTCCATGTGACTCCTTGTCCAACCTTTGCTAGTTGTTGGTAAAACAATGTCCCATGGCAGGGCATTTGGACTACATGATCTTTAAAGATCCTTTCCAACCCAAACTGTTCTGTGGTTCTAAATGTGGGCAATAACCTCTGATCTCACGTAGATGCTGTAAACATGAATTGATTGATGTTTGTGAAGTGTTCAGATGCTGGGGTGATAAGTGCCATAGAAAATTGTGTGAGGAACTTAATAATCCTGTTATCAGAGGAGCTCTTGGATAAAGCACAAGGACACTCATGGTTCAGAGTGAGGAAAACAAAATATTGAATAGCTCCTCATTAAATGCATGTTGTCCTTTCTGTGCAGTGGGGGAGACAGGGAGTGAGGAAATATAGCATACAGTGGAGTAAACAAAGGCTGCCTCATGATTCATATGAACAAGGGAATTAAGGTAACATTTCTTTGGTGTTCTTTAATGTTGTGTTTCTTTACTCATCTATTCATGCCCTTTATTTTGGCATTTTCTTGGTGGATTAATTATTAATATAAACTGTGTAAATCCTGGTACTTCTGATGAAAAGGTTACAGTTAGTTAGATTGCAAAATTTGTTTAAGGTTAGCCCTTATTTAATTTTCAGATTTATTTCTTTTTGAATTTGTTTAAATTTATAATTCTTGATTAAAATGTGTCTATTTTTAAGTATATGGGTTTTACTACAGTGGCAGATTGAGCATTATACATACTGCAGTACCAGAAACAGTGTTAGTATTTGAAGAAAGATATTGTTCACCAAGTCTGCATTCGAGATGGGGAGGCATCCATGGATCGTAAAATGGAGTTGGAAAAAGAAACTCCTTCATGAGGGTTGAGGAGTAACAAAGGTACCAGACAGAGGCAGCGGTTGTGATTATTCTTGTACGATAACCGCTGCTTTTTCATTTCACCTTAATCTTTGTAGATTCTGCCTAAATTGTTTGCATTTTGCAGTAATTATCTGGACAGGAAGAAAGGCTTGAAAAATACAAAGATCTTAAAAAACGAGGTTTGGCACCAACAAATCTGCAGAAGGCACCCTGGCTTTCTCAAAGAAAGCAACAGTGTTATAATTTCCCTAGTCCCAGTGCTTTTGTTTTCATGGCAAGACACACGGGGGCCCATGGTTTGTGTTGTGGAGTACTGCTGGCTGCTGTTAGAGAAGTCAAGGGGCCAAAGCTTGGATTCACACAGTGGGAGCAGTTGCTGTATTCTGTATAAGCTAAGGAAACAGCCTACCAAGGGAAGAAAACCCAAAGCACAATGTATGTCTTAGCACTATATACTTGAGCATCATCAGTTTTTATGTAAAATTTTACTGATTTTTTTTTTTCCTTTTTCCTTTTTCCTATGATTTTAGTTTGGAAATTGATTAAAGATTCTCCATAGAGTTCAGTATGGCATCAAAACAGTCATCTCCCTCATCAGAGGAGCAGGCTTCCTCTGAAATAGATGACCTCTATTTGTCACTGCAAGGTAAGTTACTGTATTTTTCTGTGCCTTTTTAATGTAGATTTTTGGCAAAAATCTGTGACTGTGTATAAGTTGAAAAGAATTCTGAGAAACCTGTAAAAAGTAGCATATGATCATTGTAGTTAGGCTGTGTTTCTTTGCAGATGTTTCTGTGTTTCATGAGAGACCCTTCGGCAGCAAAATGAGAACAGCTCTTGTAGTCCCTTCTTGGGATATTTTCAGATCTGGTGCCTTTTTTGGTACATATGTGATCATCCTTCTTATGTTTTGTTACTCAGAATACATGTTACTGTAAACGACTTTTAAAGGAACTGCCAGCATGAAAACAGTTGTGTCATTTCGTTAGTTTCCTTGCTTTCAATTTGCTGGCAGTTAGTTGGTTGCATTAATGAGGCTGTTAATTACAGTACAGTTTTATTTGTTTTTCTGTTCTTACCGCTATATCGCCTGCAATTGTAGAAGGATAGCTTGTGGCCAAAACATGTAGAAAAGTTTTGTGGCTTGTAAACAAATTTCTTGCAGGTCAGAGTCTTTCATCCTTACTTGCAATGAGTTACAACTCGTTAAGAAGCACTCAGTGGCTGATTTTTAATTCTTCCAATTTAATGGCAGCTAACTGGACTAGTTAGGTGATAATGAGTGCATCAGAACGGGCCTCTTGGATAGTCTATGGGTTTTCCCTAGTCCCATGCTGAGTTTCCTGGGAAGGCTGGTTTTCCTCTGAATATATACACAAAAATATTAATGGAGGCTATCTAGGAGGCTAGTCCAGGCAACAGGACTAGCACTGCTGGTAAGCCTGTCTTCAATGTATTTAGAGCCTGATTATTCTAGGAAGGATGGAGTAAGTCGTGTTTCCACAGAGCTGTTTCCTTTTAGCTCACTTGCAATGAAATTATTATGGTGCTTAGTTGAGAAAAAATGTGTTTCAAACAGATGGGGCAAAAGAATATTGCGCCAAGTCACTTTTACGATCCATATTTGCACTCGTGTTGCTGAAGCAGTGTGTTTTGATGAGTGAGTGTTAGCAGTGGTCTACAGCCAAATGTCTTTAATGGTGAATTTTCTTCCATTGTGCTTCAGTATTACATTTCAGGAGGGCAAGCAAAACCTTGTAGCAGACAGGAACTAGTCTGCCTGTTGCACCAAGCACAGATTGTCAGACACACATTTGTTGTGCCAGTCAAACTCAGCTTTTGGTAGAAAGACTGAATTGGCTGCTGTCATGAAATGTGTTTGGAAAGCCCTATCTAGCTTTAAGGTAGAGAGTGCTGAATTAGTTACATGTGATGGTAGAATAGGGTTTTATTTTGAAGTAATATTAATGCTGTTTTCTGAAAAGTCATACTGGTGTTTATGTGTCGAATAACAGTAGGGGATTTTAGTCAGTTTAGTCAGGGGATTTTACTCAGTGGAGGAGCCCTGATTATTAAAATTGAAATGACTAAATTATGTTTCTCTGCTGTAATCATTTGAGCTCCTAGATGATGCTGAAATGAACACACTGCAAATCAGGGGGCAAGCTATATGTATCTGACTGTTGTAAAACATTTGGAGGCATCCCTCAGAAGTGACATAAGCACTTTTTGTAATGATTAAAGATGCAACAAATGGTACAGATGCGTTCTATGTGTGGAGCTGTGACACTGCAGCATCCACCCTTGGTCAAACAAAATACAGCATTGTTATCGGCTACCTGAACTACGGAGGCACGTCACCTCCTTTTGTAAGAGAAGGGTTTTGTGACAGTGAGAACTGGAGATTGACTAACCCTGCTGATGAGCAGGAGTGCAGTATTACAGTAAGGAGAATGTGGAAATACTTTTTGCTTTTGGGATGTAAATCTGTAACTGTGTGAGGAGCCAACCCCCACTTTCTCTCCCATGCACAAATCCTTCCCCTTTCTTCCTAGGAGAGCGAACAGACACTATGTGTTATGCTTCCCACCAAGCTGGTGCAGAACTCTGTTTTCCCTTTCCTTTCTACCTTGCTGAACTAAGTCAGATACAGGAAAGTGTATTTCAGGTGTTGGAATTTGGAGCATGCGCTTACTCTTTCACTGCTTAACTGCAGGAGTCCTAATTTTTGGCTCTGCTTATAATCCCCATACATATATAACTGTTTATTACTGTAACCCAAAGGATGATCATGTAAGAATGTGGCTGCTGAAACTGTTTTAAAAGTCTTTAATGATATAAATAAATCATGCTGTTTTCATGCAGTTATGTCTAATCCATTATGAATGATTTCAAGTGAGATTGAAAATATGGCGATATATATGCATAGGTTTGTTGTGCAGCCTGTAGTAGGTTGCATTTATCTCCAATTAAAGAGACCTGTTTAATTCATCCAGAGGTCAGGAAGACTACTAATTCTTACCCAGTTTTTTTGTTGGTTTATTTCTAGCTGTATGCCTCATCCATTGCAGCCAGAATGTTATTACAACTATACTTTGTTCTTTCTTTAACCAGAATAATAGAATCATACAACAGTTTGGGTTGGAAGGGACCTTAAAGATCTAGTTCCAGCCCCCCTGCCATAGGGAGGGGCACCTTCGCTAGACCAGGTTTCTCAAAGCCTCACTCACCTGGCCTTGGGCACTGCCAGGGATGGGGCAGCCACAGCTTCTCTGGGCAACCTGTGCCAGTGCCTCACCATCTACATTAGATGTCTTCCTAATGTCTAATCTCCCCTCTTTCAGCTTAAAGCCATTACCCATTTTTCTTTAACTACATGCTCTTGTAAAAAGTCCCTCTCCAGCTTTCTTGTAGGCCCCTTTAGGTAATGGAGGCTGCTCTAAGTTCTCGCAAAGAGTCTTCTCCAGGGTGAGCAACCCCAGTTCTCTCAGCCTGTCTCTGTAGGAGAGGTGTTCCAGCCCTCTGATCATGTTTATTATGTTTTTTCAAGGTAACTTTTGCAAATAGAAAAGTCCTGTAGCAGTCACATAGAAATTTATGCCCTGTCTATGCTGCTTGCTGCCTGGGCGATGAGCTGGTCTGCAGTTCCCGTAACCTCATCGCTTCGTGGCATGTGACAGGGCTGATGGCACTGGAGAGGCAACTGACACATGATGCTGCCTAAAAAAGAATAAGTCATGGGTATTTTTGTCCATTTCACATGCCTAATGAATAAATAGATTGTATAGTTGTATAAATGTGTTCCTTACTAGATAAATTTCAATTTGTTAAAAGCATTATCAAGTACATAACTGGTTAAAAACTGGCATTAAAATGCCTAAGGAGTGGATGGCTTCCGAGGCAGCTATATAGAGCACCAAATACCATTTATATTCAATCCTCTGCTTCATTTGTGTATTTTCTTAAAAATGTTAGAAAAGCCACTTAAGCCATTATCTTTAAAAGTTTGTTGATTTCTAAACGATATGACTTAGTACCTTGAAGAATTTGACCTGCAACCTGTCTATGCGCTCAAGTACTGCAGTACTACTTCATGGGCTTTTGTGGCAGTAAAGACAGTGGTGATTCCAGGCAGAGCTGCTCCAGGATCCCAGCAATGAGAAGAGCAAAAGGGTTTAAGAAAGCCGGAGGCCAAAATTCACTGTGAACACGCTTCCTGAGTTAGCAGCACTTGTGGTAAATTGGTAATTTGCTTTCAAGAGGAAAAGGAGGTTGAAAGGAATAGTGTAGAAAGGAAAGTTCCCACTTGCCGCACAGACATGGTAGCAGTTAATTTGTTAATATTTAAACAATATTTGGTTTTGCAAAGGCCCATTCCTGTAGAAGTATTTTCATTACCTTCGTGTGGATAAACTTTCTAATCTTGATTAAAAACATACTGTGGGGTTTGTTTTATTTTTTTTTAATTGCTTAACACCATGTTGCTGAACATAAATGGTAGAAGTTAACTGTTTTCCTTGCTTTCCTGTCTGCAGAGAATCAAACTCTACTGGGTGGAAGGGAAAGGATTATATAAAGGGTTCAGGGATGAGTTGCTCACTCTCTCTCTCCCTGGGCTGGAAAGTACTTAAGAGTTCTGATAGTTCCTGTCATTCATGCTCCGTGGTTTAGCTCATATCAGCAGTACTCTCTTGAAGGAGTTCTCCCAGTTATCCCTCCTGACCATGCTTTGGTTCATTTCGTTGAGCCATCAGGGAGTGTGGAAATAGTTATTTGGGATGAAACTGACATGAATGCTCCAAGGATGAAGCACTCCATGGCTCCCTGTGGGCATTCAGGCTAGATAGAGGTAGTCTAACACAGCCTTTCTGTCCTGCATGTGGTGGGTGCTCTGCTTCCTGAACACCAGCTCTTTTGAATTGCTGATCTGTTCCTGTTGAGCTCCACTGTTTGCTACTCTAGATGTAGCCTGAGCTGACCTGAATGGTGAAAGGAAGATACAAAAATATCATACACAAGAGATAATGCCTTCTGACAAAACAGAGATGGGAAGATGGCAGACAGACTTGTGCTCATTAATTTCAAATAATGATTTAATTTTTTAAAATTTATTTTAAAGAAAAAAGCGTCACAGTTTTAAATGGTTCACTGGCAGCGATGTACCAGTCCTCCCGACAGAAGAAAACCTCTTTGCTGTTTGGTGACGTTGCTTGATGAGTGTGGATAGACAGGCTACATCTGTTCTGCTGTAGTCTGATTCCCCAAACTCCCTGCCAAGGGAGGAGATGGTGCTTTCCCTGGAGCTGCTGTCTCCCACCACAGGAAAGGAGGCACGGCAGGCAACAGAGGAGAGGAGATAAATATTAAGTCTGGCTTTTCTGTATTGCTGTTAAAGGAAGTCTGACAGTAAAACAGTGACCGGCAGTGCTGCTGCCCTCCTATTCCTCGTGGGAGAGCTCAGCACTGCCATGGTTCCCCGTGAGTCTCCATACTGCAGCCCTTAATGATTAGTGTGGTTTGTAGCACTTGCTGATAGCTTGTTACTGGGTAAAACAGTCATTGTCCAGCAGTGTGTGTTGATTTTTGGCTAGCCTATGTAACACACTGCTTCTATGTGTTATTACTCTCTAAAGAGTTGTTCTGACGATTACCTTTAAAACACAGGGTGAAATGTGATAGATTTTGGGTGGTTTAAGATTAGCGACCTCTTACTTTGTTCTCTACATCCACTTTTTGACTTGGTGACTTTTGGTCCAAAGTGAATGAAATTATCAGCATTTTTTTTACAGGTTTTTTTTTTTTTTTTTTTTAAATTCTGGGTCAGTGACATTTTGAAAAGTAGGGCAAGAGAAAACCAAGGTCTCTCAGAGCCCTATAAAAAGGCCTAACAAAGAATCCATTCATCCTCATAAAAATAAAAATCCGTATTAATTGACCACGTGGTAGAGATAAGAATTTGAGAGCTTGATTAAATCGTTAGCACCTCTGAACAGTAGAGTCAAGACGGAAGCTGGGAGGGAAAACACAGCCTGAAAATTGCAATAAGACTGTCTGCCATGGTGACAGAAGCACATCTGTACCAAGCTGTGGGTTGTGTGGTTTGGGTGGAAGCAGTGAGTGCTGCACTACAGTCTGGGGATATACTGGCAAGCATGGACTTTTGTTATTAATTCAGGAGGAGATTTTATTACTGCTATTAATTTGGGTAGGAAAATAAGCCACACTGCAGCTGAGGTGGCAGCTGCTTGGAAGGCAGCTTGATGGGTTGCACTAGGCAGCAGCTGTAGCTTAGGGAAGGTTTAAGGTGTGCTTAGGTGTGTGTAGTGAAATAACCACCTTGTACTTTCACCAGGCGAGACATTTGCCTGAGAGCTGCCAATGTGAATCAACACGTGCAGTGTCTGGCCCATATTGCATCATATAGCAATAGGAGGGAGAGATTTGACTACAACAAGGCTAAACATCCTCATCCTAACCCTCTTTCTGTGACCAACCCAGCAGCAAGTTCTCTAAATCAGTAACAGTAGAGTGTGTTTGGCAAGAGCTACAGCTGGCAGAGTCACTGGCGTCAGGCAAAGCAGTCAATATTTGTTTTCCATTCCTTTCGAGTGCCAGCAATACCAGCCTTGCCTGCCTGATAAAATTGAGCACAGCTACTCCATAATCACTCCTTAGGTAATTGGAATGGCTCCCGCATGCGTATTTAACCAAAGGGTGTGGATGAGCCCTGTGCTAACATGAAGCCGGTATCTCAATGCTATTTGTGTCCTCCTTGTGAGTGTTGAAATGCTGATTGGTCTGTGTGGCATATTGCGCTTATTTTCTGTTTTCCAAACAAAACAGAATTTTGAGGTTGCATTTTTGTTCCTGGCCTCAGGTCTGCCCTTATCTTACAGTTCATCACAGTCTCTCTAATACTTAAAAACAAGCACAAAATAATCCAGCAAGTGGGGGAAATAGGCTGTTTCAGCTCCGACAGGATCATAGTGGTGGAGACTAGAGGAAGACTGTTGAAAGATGTGTTAACTACAGAATGCAAAACAGCCCTCGACACATGTAAGAAGGTCTGTGGGTTGAATGGTGGGTTTGGGAGCAGGAGTGTGTGTTATCCTTGCACAGCTTGCTCTGCTTCATGAGCTGATGAAGCTCTGTGCAGCAGGCCCTTCTGGCAATCCTGGGTGATGAAAAGCCACCCAGAGCTGGGGTCTGTGGTTGCCAGATTCCCAGTGATAAACTATGGGCCATTTTACTCTGAGTGGCATTTTCATGTTCAGAGCAGTCAGGATTTTTGCATTTTTTCCCCAGGGGCTTGCTATTTTTGGTATCTTTCGTCATGCCCCGCCTACAAAAACACACATATCTATTGCTGAGTAGCATTGCACTTACCTTATGATGTCAAACTTGCCTTCACATTAACCTTTTGTGCAAGAGAGTGCTTTCAGAGACACAAGAGATGGACTCTCCCACCCTATCTCCCAGCTTTGTTTCTTCTTGCAAGCTGATGGCCTTGTCAGTCTCCAGATGTGCTGCCCCTTCGGTGGGAGGTTTTACCTCAGCTGGGACGTGGGCAGTGAGTACTGCTGCAGCTGCCTTGCCCACCAATCTTTCTGCAGGCCTGGCACACTGCCTGACCACCTGCTGGAGGTCAGGGAGCTGCACTGGGGCCATGGTGCACGACACGCATCCTCCTCCTCTATCCTGCTGGCAGGGCTGGCATCCCAAGGCCCATCTGCCTCCTTGTATGCAGGAGCTTGGAACCTCTGTGTCTGCCATTACCCAGAGCCCCATCCTCCACTCCAGGCTACCTCTTGCTGCCTGGCACAGCAGGGAGAGGAGCTTGCTCTTGCTTGCTGCTTTTTATCTCTCCTGTCTCTCAGTTTGCTTCTCTGCTGCCTGCAGTGAGAGACAGGAGCATTGCAGGCCAATCCCTGGGGCAGCTGCCTGTAGCCATGCATGGAGGGGTGAAACCTCAGGGCCAGCACTTCCTGCTGTTACCTCAGGCCTGTTTACAGATGTTTAGTGGGAATGTGTGGTTTTGGTAGTGGTGTGTCTTGGGAATGGGATGGTTTCTGGGGGAGGGAGCATGGGTTGTGTCCCATGGACTGTGACCATTGGACAGGAATGGAGAGCTGGTCTTGTCCGCTTCTGGTGCTCGTGTTCTGCTTCACCTTTGGGGGAATCAGACTTCATCTCTGCTCCCCACAAACCATGGAGAAAGGCTTTTTCCTCTCTTTAACTCTACATGGGTGCAACAAGCAGTTTAAATATTCTGATCTTTGAAACATGGGCTTAACCAACTTCCTCTCTCCCTTCACAACTGCTGGTAGTTTATCACTTCGTACTGGCCTGGAGGACCTGGGTGAAGAGCTGGATCTCTGCATGACCAGGTCACGCTTTGAGTCCCATTTCACCAGTTTTTTTACTGGGGCATGAGATCCAGTGTTTCCTTCTTCTTCCCTCCTATTCTGAGACTCTGTGTGCCTCTTTCTGGCCAGATTAATGGTCTTTATACCCTAGGGAAGGCCCAGCACCAGAAAGGATATAGAGGGTATATTCACAGATGGCAGCCTAATAACTCTCCCCAGCCTTTTGGTTAGGCAAGACATCCCATTCCTTGGTTTCGCCCACAGATTTGCATTTATCACCTGATCCCAGCCTCCATTGGTTTCTTCACCCAACCCCATTAATGGCTTTTCCCAAATTTCAAGATGGGTCTTGTACTGATGATATTCTTGAGTCTTTCAAGAAACGCATAGGAATGGACGGAGTTATTCTGCATGTATTGCTCTGTAGAATTATGTGTTTATACCACTGTTTGCCTTTACTGAACTTTTGATAAAACCTTCATTAGTTGCTCTTTGCTGTATTCAGTAGAATTATGTTTGCTGATTGTGGAGGTCCTTGCAGTGCAAGCAAGAAAATACCAGCTCTAAAATAAGAGTTGAAAAAAAGCGATATTAAATATCGCTTAATATCTGACCTTAGGTGTGAGATGGATGCCATGTATCTTTTTGAGAAAGAGAAATAAAACCGGATAATTTTTCCATTAACCATTGTTTTCTTCTTCCCCATGCCCCCCCCACACCCCAGTGCAGCGAGAGTTTACACAGAAGAAAACCTTCACTAGCTGGATAAATTCAATATTGGCAAAGGTAAGAAGGGGATTCTTTAAGAAAGACATGCTTTTTGCCTTTTTGTTTCAGATGTGCTCCTTGGAGATTAAAAAGTTCGGAAATAAACATTAAAAATTATTAGGTACTGCCTGGAAAGATTAGCCTATGGAAAGCATTTGTTTTAGAGGTGCAACAGCACTGTTCTGGTGATTGTCCAAGGACATTCGTAAGGTGTTTTGTAAGAAGAGAATAGTATCTTTCTTGCTGATGTGAAATAAAAAACTTGTGCTGGATTGTGGCACATGTTTCAGGGTTTTATGGGGGTCTGTATTTGTGCTTGGGATTGTCCTGACCCAAACACAGGACCTTGCACCTTTCCCTTGTCAGAGTTTTGGGGCCTTTTGCCACATGCCTCCTTGGAAAGTACAAATGAAGCCTAAATAACCCTTATAAAATACAGAGGTAAGGCAAAAGGGAATACAAGACAAATGTAATAATGGGTTATAAGAAGCAGGATATGGTTGGTTAGATGTAGGATTTATATTTCACTGTATTGAAAAATTAAAGGATGCTAAGAATTTTTTTTAACAGCAGAGTAACCTGTGATGTTCTGTAGCATGTTGAATTCAAAATGACAAAAGATGGTGTGACAAGCATTGAAATTTATTTTGCAGCATACATCTCCTTATGTTATCTCAGACCTCTATACAGACATACAGCAAGGACATTTGCTTTTGGATCTGTTGGAAGTGCTTTCAGGTCAACATCTGGTAAGACAGAGTAATATAAAATATTACCTGAATCCTTCATCAAATCCAGCAAAGATTTCTGGGTATGCTTAATTATAATCATATGATTGATCCTTCTGGAGTCATAGAGCTTTTTGCAAGTAACTTATTCCATTGACACTGAAACACACTGGAATAAGTTGATCCAAAGTAATTTGTGAATCTTTGCAGGACTTCCCTTATCAAAATATAAAACAAAATGAGTTTTTACAGCTGAGGATGTTACCTGTTCTTTCTGCTTTACAGCCACGGGAAAAAGGATTTAATATCTTCCAGTGCCGAAGTAACATAGAAAATGCTTTGACATTTTTAAAGAGCAGATCAGTGAGTATTAACTTCCAAATTCACAACTGAAGCCAGTTTAGCTGGTGGAACATTTTCTTTGTTAACAATGATCCTTTTTTTTCCTGTAGCTCAAGCTCATAAATATTCATGTTGCTGACATTATTGAAGGAAAACCTTCCATTGTGCTTGGCCTAATTTGGACAATTATATTTCATTTTCATGTAAGTATTTCAGTGATGAAAGAGAATTTTAGCAGAGGGGAGAAACTCAAAAATGTGTTGACTTAACGTGGTTGAAAGATGAGTTAGTACAAAGGAGATTATATTCTGGCATCTGGAAGTAATAGCTCAGGGAGGAGATGCACCAGTACGCCTTCCCTGTGTCTTTTACCTGCTTCATCAATGCAATGATTACAGCCTAACTGATGAATGCTGTCTAGCTGCAAATGTTAAGAAAAGATAATGAGTTTTTTTTAAAGTAGCCAATTAAAAAATAGGCCAAACTTTACCTGTGTAAGGCCTGTAAGTATATGTAGGCTGAATACAGCCTGCATTCAAACCCTTCCTTGCAGGAACTTTGTTGGGGGGGTTTGCAAGAAACAGAGACTAGAGAGACCAGATAATGCAAATATAGATGTCTGATTTTATGTGGATTGATGAGTTTCACATTCTGGTCACTTGTCCACATTCAGGTCAAAGATATACCAGCTGGAGGCCGAATGCTTACATGCAGAATTGTTTTGGTAGGCACCTTACAAGTGCCAGAGCCTGAAATAGCATGGAGGCTGTCACAGTGATGTGTCTTATACAAGATACTGAGCTCGTATCTTTCATATCATGAGCTTATGGCGATCTTTGAAAGCACATGGCGTTGCTTTAATCATGCTGTAGGACTCTAGAGGATGATGGAGCCAAACTGTCTTCTAGCAAGAACACAGCAGTGAATTAACATGGGCATGCTGGGGTTGAACTGGTGACTGGGGCTCAGGAGAACACTAAGAAGCAAAGTTATTTTAACATTATTATAGCCTACATTTTTCTTGGTAAAGGTACTTTGGTGTTGAAGATTGTTGTACTGCACGTAGACTGTGCATTACCTTTTTAACCAAAGCCAAGCTTCTCTAACTAAGTGCAGATCTCTGAGGTCTGTTGAGATCTTTCCTGCACTCCAAGTGAGCAGGCAAATTCTGGGCATGCCTAATACATGACACTGTTGACAACACAAAACACAGCTGCCAGAGGCTGCTTTCACTGCTAGGAGGAGTAGAAAAGTGCTCTGAGTTGAGAGTTCCATTACTGGTACCCATATGGAAGTCTTTGGATGAATATTTCCTGCCAAAAAAATCACCTGAAGATGGTAATACAGCATGAAATGATTTAGATTGAACAGATAAAAAAAGCTGATCTGATCTTTGGGGGCAGAGTACTAATGTTACAGCTGTGATTGAGTTCTTTCCAATTGTCTGTGATTTTCTGCCATTGTTGTCATTGTAATTTTAACTCTCCCATCGTCTCTGACAGATTGAAGAACTTGCCAGGACACTTGCTTGTACTTACAGTCAGCCTTCACTTGGTTGTTCAAGTGCTGTTGATTCCTCTTCAAAGGCAAGCCCATCAGCTAAGAAAAGTGCTAAAATTAAGGAACGGTGGAAGATGTCCGCTACAAAGGCTCTTTTGTTGTGGGCAAAAGAACAGTGTTCACTGTAAGTTTCATCCAAGACTTATGAATAATATGTTACACGTTGTATTTCCTGTTTTCCTCTAAATGTGGTGATACTTCCCCGGTTTTTAAACATATTAGTGACAGCTTAGCAGAAAATCCTTTAGATTTTTAGATGTTACCAGTACTTTTAGCATCAGTCAGGCCTTAAATGTTTTGACATGAGCCCTTTAAATATAATAATGTGAAGCTAATCCTACTAATAAAGTACCACAATGTAAATTGAGTTGTTTGGGTTTTCTCTTTTAGGAGCTTCTGTGTAGTAAGCTAAGTGGAATGTTTGCTAGTCTCAATCCTCATGTTTGGCACTGGTTTACAAAGTCTCAATTCTTTTTATTCTTTTCTAGTGGAAAATGTAGGCTCTCTGCATTTCCTACATCTTGTGTTTCTCTGTCAAAGCACTGCATTGCTTGTTTCTCAGTGATATTGAAGTCTGTCCTGTAGCATCCTTTCTGAACTGTGATTGTGTTGAATGATTTTGTTATCAATGCATACTGTAGCTTTTGGTAAAGGAACAAATCTTGTAAGTCCTGGCCCATCGTTCTGTAACTAAATTTGGTCACCTGAAACCCCACTTCTTTTCCATTCCATAGCATATTCATAATATGGAGGCTGTTTCTGGAAAGTTGTCCCAGAATTCACTGTGGTTTGCAGAGCTGGACACCTCAGAGCACTGTCCAGGCACCACTTAATAGAAGATGTTTTAAAGACACTAAACTAAATAAGGGAAAAAATATTTTTCTTGCAGTGGTAGATCAGTTTTAAGGTCTGTATTTTCTAAAACGCCAGAGATGATTCTGGTACTCAGTGCCTTTACAGACAAATATCTACATGTTCTTCCGTGCTTTGCTAATTGTTTTTCCATCCCATAGAATACATTGATACTGAGCTCCAATGTGATGTTCAGAAAGGATGTTGGATCAACAAGAGTTCATCTTCAGAATGCAACATAAGATAAAAAGATTGAGTTATTTTGCAAAAAAGTATAAAATATGTAATTGTAGCAATTGGTAATACTGGCTCTATTGTTGTCTGATGATGCATATGCAGAAGTTCTCAATAACTCATTGGATTTGGTTCATACTCCATTTTCTTGAATGGATGTTCTATTTCTAAATTTGTACTTAGCACATCTGAGGAAACAGACTATAACATTTTGTTTCTAATCATTTTGGGGATAGGCATGGCTCTATCAATGTGACCGATTTCAAGTCAAGCTGGAGAAGTGGTCTCCCTTTTTTAGCCATTATCCAGACCTTACGACCAGGTCTAGTTGATTTGGAGAAGGCAAAAGCTAGAAGCAATAAAGAAAACCTGAAAGAGGCTTTCAGAATTGCAGAACTGGAGCTGAATATTCCACGGCTTCTTGAACCTGAAGGTAAATAATTTGCCTTTTTTTAATCATTGTAATCAAGAGTGAGATTAATATAATCCTGTATGTGTGGATTTGTAATTCAGGAAAAGAAGAAGACTGCCTAAGTTTGAAATGGAACACTGATCTTTAGTGTTCAAACCTGAGATTCTTTATATTATAACACCAGCTGCACTTAGGATTTGTAGGATTTTTGAATTGGTAGTAAATGCAGGAACAATATGCATAAGAAAGGATATGAAACTTTCCTGTTCATTGGAGAAACTTTTTCAATTTTTAATCATGCTATATTAAAATATTCCCAAGGAAAAAAAGTTCATTACATATTAATTTCTGTCAATGGTATGTTCACTGAGATGCTGCAAAATAAACACGTTTATGGTAATGTGTTTTAGTAACTGCAGCATAGCATGTAATTATGTGATCAGGCCTAGAAGGCTGCATGATTATATAAATGGTGTATTGGCTCTTGTAGATGTTGACATTATGAATCCAGATGAAAAATCCATCATGACTTATGTGGCTCAGTTTTTGCAATACTCCAGGAATTCACCCAAGTCTGAAGAAGACATGCAGGTATGTCATATGGTTTATCACTGAGGCACTTTTAAATGAACGTGCATCATGGATGTCAAGAATATCAGTACTGTCTTTGTCCAGTTTCTAACCTACCTTAATAACAGTTAGTAGATCTTCTGATTCAGCCATTAACAGGGCTGAATTGACTTGAATCTTCTGATGCTCTTTTGTGGTAGTCAGGATTCAATGTCATAGATATTTGATGATATATGTGGAATTGCTGTGCAGGTTGTGTTGTTTTTTCATTTAGCTATTGCAAAGGACATTTTCAACCCTGGCTGTCTTCATGTGTGCTCTGAAGTCTATCTGTCTACCTCCAGGGTAGAGGCAGACAGATTTGCAAATGTGCAAAACAACCAGCTTTAAATTTAATAGCTCACATGTAAAGTGGACAGAAATTGTCTCTCACAGATTACACTGGTTGAAAAAACAAGTTTTCTGTTCCTTGTATTCTCCCGTAAGAGCTTATGTATCAATTAGTTATTCACGTATCTCCATACTGATAACCTCCTTTTGGCAGGACTGCAATCAGTCTCTTTTCAGATGTTTTTATGTATCAAGATGCCAGGTTTAAAACTTTGGCCTTGCTCTACAATAGTGGCTGACCCAAAATTCATTAGAGTCCAAGAAATTACTGGGTTTTTTAAAATAGCTTTGAACAGGGTTTATCATATGTTCAAAATGTGCTCTTTTATGGCACAATGTAAATTAAAAACAAAGCTTTCAAAATGGGAAAATGAAATTTTCTATTCTTATTACCAGGAAGTAGTAAGAGAGGCCAAAAGCTGGTTGGCTGCACAGGAGAAGAAGTTAGCGAAGTTGCTGATCGATACAGAGAATGAAACATATTATCAGAAGTACCAAGTAAGTTGTGTTTCATATTTAACTGCTAATGTGAAAAGAATATATGTTTCTGGGAAGATTTTTAATGGTTTTCATCTTCATTGTCTAAACAGAAGCATTAAATAACTTTTTAAACAAGAGCTGGAAATCTGACAATTAATTTGATAAGCACCCTCATCTGATTAAGGGCACTTATCAAAGGGAAGGGTAGGATAAAATCCTTATTGTTAGGAAAAAGGTGTGCTGCTTGGTTTCTGAACAGAGAAAGGCCTTTTTGGTTTGTTTTTTTTAGAGATTAGATTAGTGTCTTAATTGATATAGTTGAAGATTTGGACAAAACTCAATACATAGGTCCTTTACAGGATTACCTTCACCATTTCTGTGGTAATAATAACAGTAGGTTTTACCCAACTGATGCTGGGTAGTAGCTAAAATTTCTGCTGTAGAATGTATTGAAGTAAAATTTCCTTTAGTTTATATTGTAGCCACAGTTTGTAATAAAATGGCCCATGGGGGACAGTGAGGGGAGGAATTTTCCCCTTAGCTTGGTGGGAGGGGAGAACCTTGTCTTGACTGTGCTGGCATTATATTAAATACAGATTTTGCTAGTGAATGGCACCTATAATTTCAGACACAAATACTGTCTGGAGACAGCTTTGCCTCTTTTCTTCCATCTTGTCTTCCTGTGCATCACACCCTTTGAAGTTAACGGAAATCAGACCAACTTGTTCAAAGGCAGTACTTGGCTTCATGAGATTGTACCTGAAGTCTTCTTCCATTAATTAATCTTTCTTTTTATCTTTAGGAAATGATGTCATTTATGGAAGCATTTAACCAAGGCAAAAAACCCTTTCTGCCTGTGTTGTCATCAAAAAGAAGTGAAGCTGAGCTGGTCGAGGGCCAGCAGCAGATAATAGAAGAGTGGGATAAACTGATCTCTCAGGTTAGAGGCATTTTTAGCTCACCTTGTTACCAGCATGAGCATGTTTAATGAAGAAGCCTAACTTGCACAGGGAGAAGCGGGGAGGTGATACTTTATTTGGGTTGGTAAAAGAGATATTGACCCTGAACCTGAAGTCCAGACAAACTGAGTGGTGCACAGTGCCTGAGAGGAGGCAGAAGATGACTTTGTATTACCCTTCTGAATCCTGAGCCTCAGGACTGAAACCTCTGCAAAAAATGGCCTGCACCTGAATATATTTAAGCACTCTTCTGATCAAAGTTTTTGGCCAATATATGCTTTAGTTCTTTTGGGACATAATTATGGCTCAGATAATGATGCAGCTGGCAAAAGTGTGTTAATGTATTCTTACCTGTGGCATGGATAGTGATAGAGTGAAATCTGGTTGGTCAGTGCTTTACAGTGAGTTTGATTCTGTCATCTCCGTCTGCCATGAGTGGGGATGTAGTGGTCCTTGCTGGTAATGCTCCTTATGGAATGGTGTTCCCCTGTCAGGCCCATGATGAAGGCTGTCTGGAGCATCCCTGTTTTGCCTGTGTTCTGCAACTAGTTTGCTGTAAATTTACCTGTTGCTGGACCTTGGGATGGTCACCAGCCAAGGATATCAACTGCCAAATTTTCCGTAGTATTTACTCAGTATACAGGCTGAAGAGCAAACCTGGGTCTCAGGTAAACATAGCTGATTAGCAGCTGACTTCATTGGAAGCTCCCTTTTCTCAGTGGTGACAGGTGTTTATTTGTTTTGTTTTGTTGGTTTGGTTTTTTCTCTGGGATGTTTTGAGCATCAGCTTACAGAGTTTATATCACTACCTTAGAGATGGGAAAGACAACAGTAGTGAGAAATTTAATCATTTGGTTTTCTTTTTAAGATTAATGAATGGAAAGTGAAGCTAGACCAGATGTTGCCCTCCCCTCTGGATAGCATTGAGGCTTGGCTTCAGGAATTAGAACATCTGGAGGCAGAAGATTTGCCTGATTTACAGGACCCATTTAAAGCAATGTTTGTCTTCAGAGAAATCATTGTAATGTTTAAGGTATGAAGATCACAACGGAGCATTCTGCCACAGTCTGACCTAGCAGAACACTTGCTATGGAATTGCTGTTTGACATTTAGGTAGTGGTGTGTATATGTTTATCTTCTGAAGATTAAAAGCTTTTATGAGCATACCTTTGAAAAATGATGAATGTAGTGAAGTCACTGCCTAAGTCTATAAGGAAGGTTTTTGACTTCACTGGGGTGAAATTAAATTTGAATACTATCTGAATGAGTAAACTAATATATTCTTTTTTATGTGGTTCCTGCAACTCATTTGTTTGTTAGGTAGTAACACAGGGTAATTGCATCCTTATCTTTATGCTTAATGCATACCTGTTCAGAAAAGCACTTGGGCTCAGGGTTACATTCCAGTGAGTTCACGAAGTTTGTGTATTGAAAGTGAAGTATTTGCTGAATCACTCTGTAATTCCATTCAAAGCACTAGGAGGTATTTTGATAACTATGCAGGTGATTTCTTCTGATCTTTTAATCATTGCACTGATAATAGTTTAAATGTCCTTTTGAGTCTGAAAAATTATGTAAGAGTAGATGTGTTGATGCCTGGTTGATCATCATAGTGTTTGGTTTTTTTTTTTTTTTTTAATGAACGGGGAGAAGCTGGATGTTTTCATGACATGTCCTTAAAGAGAATTTGAAAGAATGGGAAATAGAGGCTCTTGAGTGGCTTGGTAACGTCACTTCTTTGTACTATTGCTAGTCAGTTCCTCATATGAAAGATGTTTTTTAACTGGTAACAGGTTTGCCAGACTTTATCCATTTTATCTGATTTTTATTGTTCAGCCTCAGTAGTTCTGTCAAAGAATGAGATAGAGATATCATTGTTTTAGGGGTTTCTTCTTTCCCATTGAACATGTATATATAATCATTAAGTTCCTTAAGAAGAAACCCAAGATACTTAATCCCTGTCAAACCCACTTTTCCTAATGGGAAAACATTCTGCTGAGAATTCCCCACCCCAACCCCCACCTTTCCTCTGGTCATGCCTTCCAGTATGTCTCATGTAGGGATCTTGTTGCCAAGGTGGTGCCTTATAATGGAAATTTTACTTTCTCTTAAGATCCATCAGATTACCTGCCCATGTTCATAACCGTCTGACTGTAATAGTATTAAGGTTACAAATCAAGGATTTAAAATCTGTGCACTACTTTTGGGGTTGAGGGCTGCCTCAGGATGTAGCCATTTCCATTAACATGTTTTGGCAGGTTGTATTACATAGAAATGAACTTCAAACATACTTATTTTTATGCCACTTACGAATATGTGTATATTCTGTGCAATGCATTTTATGTTTGATTTTTACATAGCAAATTTGGTGCTCAGACATGTGCCTGTAAAGTATTTCCCAATCATGTGAAACCGCCTGTCAGAAGATTAATGTGATATGCCATCAGCATGGTTTTAGATGGAAATTTATTGAGCAATCAGATAAAGTATTAAGCAATAGGAGTGACATAATAGGTTTATTTGGACATCCACAGCTTCTCTGGGCAACCTGTTCCAGTATCTCAGCACCCTCATAGTAAAGAATTTCTTCCTTTAATCTAAATCTATCCTCTGTCAGCTTAAAGCCATCCCCCTTTGTCCTATTACGGCCTGCCCTTATGAAAGTGCAGAAAAAACTGATAGGATGGGTACTGTTGGTTAACGTTTCTTAACTAGATGCATAGTGCTAAGAGAAATCGGGCAATACTGCACGAACTATGCACTTTATGAGGTGATGAAATACTTGCATTGTACTTTAATGAGTAAAGACACTGAAATATTGTCGTGTGCTGGCTAGTTCTTAAGAGCTCTCACCCTAATGGCAGGTGACTTGCTGATTCCCAGATGTAAGACTCTAGAATTAACATGAAAGGCTTACCATGTCTTTTTCTCCCCAGGGCTTGATGGATTGCTTTGATTCTCACTTGGATGCCCTTCAATCATTTAAGAATGAAGATGAGAAGAATACCCCACTAGTCCTGCCTGAAAAGTTAGAGGAAATGAAAAGAAGGTTGTGATCTTCATATTCCTGCTACTTTGACTGTTGTATTCTAGCTCTGCTATTGTCTTGCTCTGCTATTCTGAAAAAAAAGCACATGATTTATCCATGCCTTGCAGGAAAACAGCATTTTCCACCTAAGCACAGATTAACTGTTAAGTGGAGCAGGCACTTACCTACTTATTCACTTATTGGTCCAGTGAATGTCTAATTATGTGTACAGAATGGGGCTCATCAACAGGGCCTTTATAAATGCCTTTTTCTAGTGTGGATAGGAAACATCCATTGAGGTTAGGAAACATGATTATTTTGTATGGGAAAATTTCTCAGGGCGATTTTGAAATTTCTAACTTCCACCTTTTAAAATCACTGAGATTTACAGGTTGTGCAACCCCATATATCTGTTGGAGGATATTTTAAAAAATGACCAGTGAATCCATGTCCATAAGCTGAGACACTTTGAAATACAGATGACAGATGCATCTTTTCTGGACATTCAAGTTTTTTCATAAATTGAGCAGTCAATATTGACTCAAAATTGTTGCTACTTAAAAAAAATGAACTGTCATTATCTTACAATTTTACTCTTGTCATATCAAAATAGTGTTTACATACATGTAATTTTGGGTTTTTAAGCTAAAAACCTTATCCATTCATGCTTTCTATATCCAATGATTTTGAATCAACTTTTAGAATATTTCACTGTTTGCAGATTCAGCAATATTCGTTTCACAAACTTCAACGCCTTGCTTGAATACCACTATGGACTGTGCTCAGCTATAGCCAATGAGGTGATGTTAAAGCTAAATATCTGGGACATGAAATATGGTGCAAAAGACTCTGTGGAATCACTGCTGGAAAGTTGGAATGTAAGTTTAAAATATATATATCACACCCTGACAGTAATTCTTCTTCCGCCTCTCTTTGAGTAAAGTTTGTGTCTGTCTTCATTGGAAGATACTACTGTAGTTGATAGAAGAATGGTAAACTTGTGAAATCTGGGGTTTCTGTAAAGAAAGACAGGTAGACTTCTATAGAAGTTTTCTTCCCTGCCTCCCCAGCATCTTCCCATTTTACTCTGAATGAGAGTTCTTTCTTTAGTTTGGAGAAATAGAGCAAGCTGTGACTATAATTTTCTCTCTGTCCTTTTTTTATTCTTTACTGTGAAAATTTCTTTCTTTCTAGATTATAGAACCAGCAGTAACAGCCCTTCCCTAGCGTAAATCAACACAAACCTCTATGGGGTAGTTGTGTACTTCCTATCTTCAAAGCCAGCTATCATTCACGATGCTGGCTAATGCTGCATTTTGCTGTTGCCTTTTCCTTTTTCCAGCTTCCTTACCTCCTTATGCTTTGTAGTGAATATGAATTGTCTTGGTTCATTTTGTGCTTAGCTCAGCTTCCGGGCTCAAGTTATTAAAATGATACCACGTGTAGGCTTATAGGAGGTGCTGGATTACCCTACCCCAAATATTGACAAAGCATACTGCATAAAGAACAGAGGCAGAGATGTGAAAATGCTATGCCATCAATTGTGTTCCACTTCTAGTTAATGGGACTCCTTGTGAATTCAATTTTAAGAATTTCTCAGAGGCTTTTCAGAGTGGCACATCACTGGTTAAATTAGTGGGAATTATACCAGCCTTAGAACTGTGGAAGGAGACAGCAAGAGGTTGTATAAATACTGGTTTTCCTGAGGAGTACTAACCTTCCCTGTGGTGAGATGGGAGTACAGACTTAAATCTGTGCTGAGTTTCTTGATTCAGTTGTTTTAATAAATACTTAATCATGTTATTTCTGCAGTTCTGGTTCATGGCTCATGTTATTTCTACAGTTGTGGTCTTTCTCAAGCTGGTAGAATATAGAGCTTTCACAAGGAGTTTAAGGCTTGTTGCTGGCTCTTCTTCTGGTCTCGTGATGTGCAATCCTGGCTGAGTGGTGGTGTGGTGGCCCAGGTTTGTCATGGTCACAGCAGAGGTTGTTCTGTAGACTGCTAGATAGCACATTTGTAGAAATGAGAAGCTTTAGAGAGAGAGATGCTACTCAGAGTGGGGCTGAAGATCAACCCTCCTTCGCTGGGTTGAATGTTCAAAGCAGACGTCCCCTCCTCTGCTCCCGTTTCTTCCTCTTTCACTCTTTCCATCACCAGTTCGGACCTTGCTTGATCTGTGGTAGGAATTAGGCATGTCAATATTTCTGTGCATGCAGGGAAACCTACCTTTCATCACTTTTCTAACGTAGGTGACTAAATTCTGTCTGACTTGTTCTAGATGCCATTTGTAAGTATTGCCCTACAGCTGCAACTTTTTGAAATAAGCAACCCTGACTTATGCAAAGCTATGACTCAGACAATGGCATTGAGGAATTAATATTCTCATTTAAGTTACTCTCAGAATGTGCAGAAAAAACCCTAGATCTGTTTAAGACTACAGGGTGCAAAGGAGTTGCTGAATGGGCTTTGCTCGATTCACTTTTAATGGCAGGTTTTGGACTCATGTTTAAAAAGAAATGTATCCCAATCTGCATTTCCTACCTAGTTTTATGTGGGTTAGTGTTACCCATGTGAATTACTTTTCCCTTTGGGCAGAATTTCATTGAAGAAAAGAGACTTGAAGCACAGCTAGAAACTGCTACTCAGATCTGTGAAGATTTGAAAAACAAAAACATAACCGGTCCTGACTTAGGTAAGTTTGTGAACATAAACTGATATGAAGACCTTTTATTTTGAACTGACGTGCTGTTACCAGTTTTACTTCCCTCTTATGTTTTGTGTAAAATACTGCTTCAGTGTAATTAACCTCTCTTGTTTCCAAGCATATAACGCTATTCCCCATTTGATGTCCTAGCTGGAAATCCTCAAGAAATTAGCAAACTCTTTAAGACAGTGGAGTCAAAGATTTCTGTGTGCAGAGACTATATTTCCAATGTAAATAGCACTCTACAGAAAGTCCTGTCTTCCTGGAGTAATTATATGGAAAACATCCATTTGCTAAAGACGTGGCTGGAAGAAAAACGAAATGAGCATCCAAATGAGGTAATGTAATGACAGAGATACTTGGAAGCCTCCTGGATGGAAAGCATTATATAGGACAGTGGTGGTGGTTGTTGCTTTTCTGTTCCTCGTTTTGGAAGTAAACTTCTGACAGGGTTCTGCTTAGAATTATTTCAATGCCTCTGTCTAGATCCCTGCTGAGATCCTGGCAAAGTGGAATTTGGTTCATGGTTCCTTAAATGAAGCTGGTAACTATCTCATTGAAGTCAGCAAAGACCAAGTTGGATCGAATATTGCCAAAGAGCTGAAGAAGTTGAACAGGAGATGGGCTAAGTTCATCAAGAGAACACAGTTTGTAAGTTTACTAGTTTCATATGACTTTTGCCATGCAGCCTTCAAAGTCCTGTTTTCTGGACTAAACAGATTGCTCATCAGAGATGAATAAATCTTTCAGTCAACTCGCTATTGCCAATTTTAAAACGGGAACAGAGAATACACAAGGGCATTCGGAATGTTCTTAAGTCTTTGTGACTTGGTTAAATGCTCTTTAGAACGCATTGGAAAATGTTCAAAATTTTAAATAGAATATTTTAAACCACTTATAAAAGGAAATATTTTTGCAGAATAAAGCTCTTTATTCAGTTTTAGAGATGGAAGTAATCAATTTGTTAAGGGCTTGTGAACCTTTGCTAAATTTTATAATCTCTGCCTCAGCTAGTAGAAAGAAATTATTGCAGCATAGATGTTTCTAGGGTTGTGCCACTTCACACCAGCTCACTTGGAAGATTTTTAGGCTGCTGTAAATTCCTATACGACATGCTTAATGTTACACATATTAAATTTCCTAGAATGCTTTCACAAGAATGACATTTTCATTCTGCCTGGGAATATTGGAGCTCTTAATTTTCTAAGATGAGCCTTTCACTGACCTTTATTAAAGGTACTGCTGTGACATTAAATGGTAGCAAAAGATTACAGTATCTTTGTAGATGAGCTTAGTGAGAATGCAAGAAGATCAAAGGAAATATATTCCCTAGGGTGGGGGATATCCCTGGTTTCCTAGGAAAACCCTTAGTAGGAGGTGCTATTAGGAAATACATTCATAAAGCAGAGATTAAAAAGGCCTCCTGCACCCTTACAAGGCCTTAAGGACTTCAGGAGTTATTTTTCTGTCATTGCTTTGGACATTATGGCTGTAATACTTTTTATACAGAAAGGCAAGGGCAAATGCTTGAGCTTGCCCTGTGACTGCTGTACCATTAAACTGGTAGCATGCTCCCTGGTCTTGATTTGACCAGCACCAGGTGGGGGATGCTGCAGCCAAGGAGTTGTTCTCCGTGATAGTGTGACTATGGCTGCTTGCTTATAGAGGAGGGGAAGAGGTTGTGCTATTCCATTTTCCCTCTGGGTTGAAAAACTGAACCTCACATGCCTTATGCATTTACTTCTCCTTTGATCCCTGTTGGGGGCAACAGCTGGGAAGTAACCTAAGAGGTGACTGTGTATTACAGGAAGGTAGTGGAGAAACACGTGAACTGATGACAGGAATGCACATCTTACCCTGCTCTTTGTTTATAGCTTGGTGAAGAGGGCACAGATACTGCTGAAAAGACCAGAGAACTTCCAGGGAGCTTGGAGAAAATAGAAGAACTCCTTGCCAGGGTGGACAGCTGGACAGCAGAGACCAGGCTCCTGCTTAGTGAGATCAGTCATGAGGGGCCTGTTGAGCCTGAGACAGAGGAACATTTGCAGGTGAAAATGGAAATACACTGTTTAAAATACTTGTTTGTCAGATTCTCATCTTTCAGCATGGAATTCATGGCTGGGGTAAAATGAGCCATCACTGAAGTAGAAATGAATGTGGATTTTGTGCTGTAACACTGGTAAAAAATCAAAGCAATGCTAGTGCTTTGTTATTTTTCAGGATCACTCCCAGATGAGCTATTAATGAATCTTCCAACATCAGTGTGTCCAGGTGACAAGCAGGTGCCAATGAAATGCCATTGGTGCTGCTGATCGGCAGCTTGCTCTGGAGTGATACTAATTACTCTCTGCCCAGCACAACATTTGCAGAAGTCTAAAACTTTGCAGGGTGCCAAGCTGAGAATTTCCCCTTGTCATACAGTCCTTTCTAGCACCTACCCTTCAGTGCAGGGAGGGTGTTTGAGGCAACTTTGGCTGTATTGAAGGCTTTCCTGTCAAAAACTGGAATACTTTGAAGTATTTTCAGGAGCATGCTGCGTAATTTGTGTATCTCGGCATATAGACAGTTCTCTACACATTCACAGTGAGCACTGATGAATTTTTTCCACTAGTCTCCATTGTTTTCCATGTTTGTCTGCCAGGGATTGCTAACCACTCCCCACCCACTGCAGATAGCAGGTGGCAGTATGTGCATATAACTTGTTAGCTTCAGTACAATCAGATTTGTTTTCTTCACCTGCCAGTGAAGGTGAGACTGAAGAAAGATGCCAACCTTATCACTAGAGAAGGTGGAGCACTGTCTTATGTTGCCTTTGCTATTTCTGCAGCAGAGCCAGTATAATCTAACAGTAGGAAGATGACCACCAGAAGGGAGGTTTCACTGGAGCTACTCTAAGTGCTAAAATTAAGCAGAAATCTTCTTTAGTACATTAAATCCACTTACAGTAACTGTGAATCAGAATTATTCTTAGTTTACTTTTGGTATGTGCCTTCTTGCACTATGTTTAATTGACAGAATTATGAGTGTGAGCCTACAAAAAAAATCTATTCGTATTTTTGTAATTATGGGCATATGTTTATAAAATAAGCCTCATTTTGCAGTATAACACTAGTTTGTTAAATAACAATGAAGTAACTAAATACAGCCTCCAAAAACGTAACTGTTATTGTATCTCCATGTCTGTGAGCAGATCAGATCATGTCGCTTATTACCTGCGGTACAATAGGTTGAAATCTAGAATAAAGCACTGATTATCATTAGAAGAATGCTAACTGACAACTTCAAACAGGAAAATGTGTTGAATATTCATAGATCAAAACAGCTCTCAGAACGACATTTCATGATAAATATTCAAATACTGCACACGACTTTTGCATGCAAAATATTCAGCTGCTTCCTGCTTTCTGGTAGTGAATGCCACAAGAAAATGAGAGCCTTAATAGGTGCTTACTTTTGGATGACTTCATGATCAGACAGTGCATATCCAAATGTGTGGTTTGTACATTCATTTGGAAAGCTATGTGAATGGGAGCACATATTTCAAAAATACTTGTAATTGGCTCTGAGGCAAAGACATGAGAGATATCACATTGACAGTTTCAGCAAACAGAATCCCCTGTGGATGGCAGCAAATGTCTTTCTCTGCACAGAGATTTTGCAGTGCAATACACTCACCACAATTGGAATATAAGATTTTTATTTGACTAAATATTGATCATCCATGATCAAGACTGGCTTTTTCATTCAGTTCCTTTAAACAAAAAGACATAAATGCCATAGAGGCTTCTAATGTTTTTCATTCAACCAGAGCTTGGCTGCAAGGGGAACTTCATGCCGAGAACAAGTTGTGGCAGCAGAAGAGAGATTGCAGTCCCTGGTGCAGAATGTTTCAAGTCAGGTGTCCCAACAACATTCTTATGCTGGGCTGCAGGCACAAATTAAAGAGGCCAAAGACAAAATAGAGGTACAACTTTTTTATTGTTACTGTACTTTATACACACAGACATCTCTAATTTTAGCATTATGTGATTATGAAGACTCCTTGTCAGTCATGTAAAATAGAAAAGGCTTTATACTGTTAGAATTGGTCTCCCAGGCTTTTGCTGGGACAAAACCAAGCACATTGCAATGATCAGTATCTCAACCAGAAAAACTTGAGTGATGTTATGAAGCAATAACTTTATGTAATTACTGACACTCAGGCATGTTCTGAAAAGTCTCTTTCTTCCAAGGCTGTCATGGGTGACATGAACAGCATCTTGTCTAAATCTGAGAAGAGACCCGCAGAGAAGGAGGCTGTGCTCAATTTTGAAGAATCCCAGAAAGAACTAGAGGCCTTCATTTCAAAGGCTGTGCAACTTGTCAGTCAAAAGTTCAGTCCTGAAGAATCTATTTCAAGATATGAGGTGGGTTTGTTTTCCTAAATAGCTGAATCTGAGTATTTCTTAGTGCTGTTTAGTCTCTAAAAGTCTAAGGTACCACAGTGAGAAAAATACCAGCTTTTTTTTAATAGTTATTAATGCTGTTCTCAGCTTTTTGATTTAACGCTGTAAGCATATATTATCTTGGCAGACAGTTTTGAGAGGGACTTTACGCAAGAGCATGTATTCATAAAACAAGGGGTAATGGCTTTAAGCTGAAAGTGGTTAGATATAGATATAAGGAAGAAATTATTTACTGTGAGGGTGTTGAGACATTGGAACAGTTTGTCCAGAGAAACTTGGGCTGCCTCATACCTGGCAGTATTCAAGGCCAGGTTGGACAGGATTTTGGGCAACCTTGACTAGTGAAAGATGTCCCTGCCCTTGGCAGGGGGGGTGGAACAAGATGATCCTTGATGGGCCTTTCTAGCCCAAAACACAACAATTCTGTGATTCTGTAGAAATGTCAGTCTGTACAGCAGTTAGTTCAGGACCCTGTCTTAAATTACTCCATCACCCCATCAGAACTCCCTGTCTTCTGAACTACAGCCATTTCTATTGCTTGATTAATAATGAAGCTTCCCACCAAGAATACTACGCCTGAATTCCTGGACAGGTTTTTAAAGTGTTATTATAAATACTGAATCTCTTCTTTATCCCAGTGTCAAACTAGTAAAAGAAAGTGTCCAGTCTCAAAATCTGGATCTCTTAAAGGGGGTCCTTAGTGAGATATCAAAAATGGAAGTGCCCAAATTTGAGTTGCCTCGTCTTGCACAGTGAGGCCTCGGCAGTCATGTGCTGGGAGCAGCGCAGAGCCTCTCTCCAGGCTGTCTCTAGGACCCTATTGCACTGATGCAGGCCTGTCACCCTCTCTCTGACAGGCAGAGCACATGGCCATGTGTATTCCCTAGAAATGAGGCAGAGTTCAGGGACCTTAATCTTTTTTTGGTACCGAATTTGCCCGTAAGAGAGGAGCTACAAGAAAACCATGTACTTTTCTCCAAAAAGCGTACACTTACACTGCCTGCAGAATGCTCTTGTACCCACTCATGCAAGTGCTACCACAGCCCATTCATGCAATGTATGCATGTTTTATGGATGGTTTTTGTGTACTACTCATGTAATTTTTATTAGATAAATAAGATACATTCAGTTCTGTTTTTTTTTTTTTTCATTATGATGCTTTTCTTGCAGGAATTTTATAATTCCCTGGACAATAAAGCTCTTGACAAATTTTTGAAAACAGCTGAACAACTGAAAAATATTTCATCAGATTGTGAAAAGCTGGCAGTGGAAGAAAAGAGTAAAGATGTTCGTAAAAGATGGGAGGTGAGGTAATACAGGAAGGAGGATCCACTGTTTGTTCTCATTAGGCCTGGCACCTTTGAAAAACAATTTTTTCTGTCACAATGTGTTCTGTGATTATTTACTTAGTAATAGTGTCTCACCACCTCACAGGGACAATGTGTTTGATTTTTGCAGGCAGTTCATCATGAAATTACAACCTGCCTCCAGCTCATAGTAGAAAGGGAAAAAAAGAAATTTAATGCAACTTTAAAAAAAATCAATAAGCAATTAGGCAAAGAGAAGAAACTCCTAAGTATGGATAAAACCAAAGGGCTCATCAAGGAACATGAGGTACCTGACACACACACTTCCTGCTCACCTACCTTTCTTTGTGAATGCTTTGTCTGTCCTTGCTCCTTTTTAGGTACATTGTTGCTGCATGTGTTTGTGGAACATGGCCCTTGTTCTGCCTGTTAGGTGAATACATAACAAGGAGGCCACCCAAAATATTCCTTTGCCTATTTTGACTGCAGATGTTTGCCTCCTTGCAGACTTTCAGAATTGTTGCATGGATGGAATCTTTTTTCCATTTCTTTTTTCTGACAGCCTTGAAACATTAAAACAGATCTACCTGTGCAGAGTATAAAGATAAGAATGATTACCTGTTCCGCTAGTCCCTTGATTTGCTACAGTTGCACAGATGGTATTAGATGCCTTCAAGTGAGAGTATCTTCTCACAGTGCAGTAGCTGCCCTTTACCTCTGTGTTTGTGCTATATGTTTATATACATTAGCCACAGAGTTAGACATCAGAAGTTCATGTTTCTCTTTGCCAGTGTGAGTTACAGTGAATCTTACATATTGCATAAGCAATGGGTTTCGCACTTCATTGCTTCTAGTATTTTACTTCATCTTGCTCTTTGAGATGCATTGATCTGGCCAGTTTAATACTTACAAGGGTAAGAAATTGCTCTGTTGATGAAATTCTGGTCTTTACTGATTTCAGTGGAGTTTTAGTCTTTGCTTCTCATGGATTCCTAATCAGCAAATATTATGTATGCAAGAGTAAAGAGAAACAGGTGTTTTCAGGTGCATGCTTCTGCTCATATTTTTCTTAGATGTTTAGTATATCTTGATTTCACCATGGGAAGTATTAATATTGATGGGAGATATTTAAAATAGGTTTTCCAATTCTACTTCTGTTGTCAGTGGGACATGTCAGTGTGAAGAGGATTTGGGACTTCTCATTATGTAACTAAATTTTCCCTACTTTAATTTCAAAATCAAGCAAGAGTCAGTATAATCTTGTGAATGCAGCTGTGGAACACGTTGCCAGAAATCCTAGTGTCATTCCTGGCTCTGAAAAAGAACTGAGGGAAAATAAATGCTTCTTTCCTGGTTTGACAGCTTATGCTTTAAGTGCACTCATCCGAGAAGACAATGGAAATAGAAAAAACTGTATGAGAATAATAGCATATCTGCATGACTTAACATTAAAATTATTCTGTTGCTTTTCTTTGTTTAGGCCTTTTTTTCACATGAAGGCAGCCTGAGGGAACTTAGCAAGACATTAGAAGACCTCAAAATACTGGGAAGACTACTAGAAGAAACTGTCCCAGGGATACAAACACTGACTGCAGACTGTGAACAAAAGCTGGAAAAGATTCAACAAATTGTGGCAGATACTCACACAGCTCTGCTGTCTCGAGCTGGAAAAGGACAGTCATCTAAGAAAGGGTGGGTGACTCAGTGCCTGATGTGCTGTAGCTTCATTGAAGTCAGATATATGGATAGATTTTATGATACTGTAAATGTACTGCCAAGTACATTACTGTGGACAACTGTACATTTAAACATTTAGTATTAAGCTTCATAAACTAGCAAGTGCAATATTTGAGTACCTTTCATCACAGATGAACTGTTTTTTTTAATCATTAGCCAGGATTTCTTTTTCCCCTTGTATTTCATGTTTTGTTCTTCAGCTGAAATTTCTTTTAAACCGTAGGAGCTCCATTACTGCTGCTGAGAATGGAGAAAACCCCAGTTCTTCTCAACAAATAGATATTGTTTCAGTACAGGAGGTAAGAAGTCTGTACTTACTGTAGAAAACAGTGCTCTGTCTAGGGGAGATCATTGCCAAAAGGAAAACTGATTCTTTCTCTTACTATTTCTATTGTGGAAGGACCTCAGGCCTCTGGTCAGATGTCAAAAACCCATTGTGCTTGGGAATGTGGACTGAGTAAATACTAAAAAGTAACATGCAAGGAACAGAACTAGGCATCTGAGGAGATGTCTCCAACTTTGCATTTTATCTTTCTAAAGGGTGGTTTTCAGCTGCAAGAATCATGTGTGAAGCTGTGTTCAAGTTCAAATCCTCCATAGTGTCCCAGTCATCTGATCAATCTTCAGAGGACAGATTAAAAATAGTGAGGAGTTGGAGGTATTTGCCTTAGAAAAATACAGGGAGAAACAGAACACGTGTATTTTCTTAGAAATAACTTCAAGGAGAGAATATGCTGCACTTTGCCATTTGTATGCCACAGATGTCTCATTTAGGGTAAAAATTAATGCAAGTAAGGCTGAAGACAGCTCATCAGGCAGCCTTCTGAATGGTGATTTATAGGAAGGGACCGGCTGCATTTACCTGAAGTTTGAAGATACATAGGAATTGGCTATTGAGAAGGAACATGTCTTGTAAGGCTGCTAATATTGTCCCTAATACAATGATGAAATCTGTTCTGGGTAATCAAAAGTATGAATTGTATACCATCAGCTGACTTCAAATTGAGTAGTAGAAAGTATGCTGGAATACAGGCAGGAGATACGCAAAAGCATGTGGTGTAAGCAGCCTGACAAAAGCTGCAGAAGACAGTTGTGGTTTGCCCGTGTATGTCCATGGAACTGTAGCAAAAACTTTCATAAGGGGATTGTACATGCCAGGGACCCACTATCTGTGGAAGGAATGAATGACCTGGCTGCAAGTTTTCAAAAATTTGCTCTTTTGTTCGTGATAGAGTTTAAAAACAGCTTGTATTCGTGAATGGTATCTCATTTCCTGTGGAACGCTTGAGCAATTGGTCTTCTATGTTTGTTGGTCTTCACTATTGACACATGATGCAGAGGTCACTGTCACCTTTTTATTTTTACGTAGTCCTCAAGACCTGTTGCAGATACAATTTTGGAACCAGATGTGAAACATCACAATGGAGAAAGCTGTGCAAAGAAATTTGAGGAAGACAGTGATTTGTCCGTATCAGCTTTATTAGAGAGGTATTTTTTAAAGGATAAAATATATATATATTAAAAGATGATACTATGCTAGACATTCATAAATCAACAATGTAATAAACATAGGGTACAATTTAGCTATGCAGAACTCTGTTGAATAGTTTACTGGCTGTTGCTCTGTAATTGGTAAGAAAGCACTAGAGTAGCTACATACTTCAACCATTAGGATTTTCTAGCAAGAACACTTAAAGTTATAAAACAACTGCTCTTTTCTTGGGCCAGAAAAATTTGTACCTGCCTTACTAATAACTTAAAAGTATTGCAAAATTTTAAAGAACTGTAATTTTTGCATTCATAAAACTGAATGTAGAGTGTGCAGGCAGGCATTCATACTTGAAAATTAGCCAGATGAGCAATTTTACCAGCTGTTTTATGTGCTTCTCATCTATGCCCATTCGTTTGGGATTTAGGTAAAAATACGCATTTGCAATAGACCGTGCTTATTTTATGTGGTAATCTATTGATCAGCAAGTCCCATACCCTGCTATGTTCCATTAAATTACAAGTCATAGTGTTTCTGTAAGTGACTGCTTCTTTCTTTAGCTATAATACACAGGTAAGGAACGTGGAGGAACTTTTACGAATCAGCAGAGATAAAGTAGCATCTGGCTTTACTGATGAAATAAAAGGCACTTCGTGCCTTCAGAATAAGCTGATGGAGCTGCAGGTAAGTATTCGTCTTTCACAAATATACTTGGTGCCTAAATTGCTATTTTCTCACCTCTTTGTTATGTGTATTGAGGAAAAAGGAGCATCCTTACAACCAGGTTTATTAGAAGTAGAGGGGAAATCAAAGGTTTAGCATTCAGGAGAACTGCATTCCTACTTAGCACTGGAGTTTTAGAAGTGTTGCTGGAAGAAGAAATTAGGGTGTCTCAGTTTGTGATCTGCAGGCTGAAGTAGGTCTAATGTAAAAAATAACTACAGAAAGCAGCTTTTTTTTCAGTAGGAGTGGTAAGTGATGGACCATGGTCAGGGCTGGAGGAGTCATCACTGAACCGTCAAATGGCAGTGGTTTATGTGCAGAATGAAACTGTTCCAGAACTTGTAACTTGATTATGTTTGTGAGAACCTTAAGGGGATGATAAAAGGCCCATAATTGATGTTGAGAAATTTATTACTGCAATTTTTCAAATCTTTGTTTGAAAAGAATACAAAGCTCATCTAGCATCTCAGAACTTTGTTCAGTTCTAGGTTTGTTTTTTGTTCTTTCGAGCACAGCTAAGTTGAAGTATCTTCCATTCATGTAGTAAAAAAGGTTGAGCCATATTTATTGAACCTTCTCTAAAATGTAGACAAGGTATATGTCTGACCTGGGAATTTTCATCATAAAAAGTTGTGAGGGATTTCATGTAGCTAAAATAGAGTCTTAACGAAGAAGAAAGCAATAGATCTCTTACTTTTGGGTGATGTTTTCACTTTTTCTGTAGACTCTTGTGACTGTAATTTTATGAACTGCCTAATCCACTGAGAAATACATTATGATATTAATGCAGGTAGTGCTCTGTATCTTTCAGGTGATAGAGAGTGAAACCAGTTCTGGTTGGGCACAATTGGAAAATATCTCCTCTACCTTAGAAAATCTTGTGGTTGAAGCACAGCAGGCTGCTATCTCTGAGACAAGAGGCAAACTGAAAGAAGAATGGAAAGAGCTTCAAGATATTATAAATACCAGGTATAGAATAACATTTCATAATATTAGCTAAGGAACTGTTCATTTTAACTAATTTGTGTGTTGTGAAGGGAATAATGTGCACTACAGAAAATACCTGCACATTTTTAACCTTTAAAAAAAGTAATTAATATGATTAAGCTTTTCTTAATTATCCTTGCTTCATACACATACTGCATATGTATCTCTCCAATAAGCACAGCGCCAGATCTTCGTAACATGACTGTGCAGCATTTCCATGTTTACTGTTATTTCCTTCAACCTTCTGGCTAAATTCACTGGGATTCACACTGCTTTTCTTATAAATCAATAGAAAAACTCCTTTGACCTCAGGAGGATGAGGATTAGGTCTGTTAGTCAATTACATTATTTTTGTGCTGTAAAATGTTGTGTGTCTTTTCTTGCTTGTTTTCAGTTCATGTTTTGTTACCTTTCTTGTAGAACAAACTCATTAAGGACTGCATTGGAAATTGTTTTGCCAATAGAAAATGAATCCATTCTTCTATGTGAATTAGATCAGCGGCTGAAAAAAAAGGACATCCAGCGGTTTAATCTGATCAATAGTGATCTTGCTTATAGGGAGCTAAAGGTAAGGGAAAATGCAGAGACCACACCTTAGCCAGAATATTTTTTAATATATCTAGTAACTGGGAAACTTAATGGGATTTTCACTGAGGAGTCTGGGACCACTTGCCAAATCTTCTAAAGACGGTAACAGCATTTTACTTTCTTTGCTTTAAATGTCATTGTTCCTGTACAGCCAGACAGGGACCCTCGATAGGTTCTACGATAAAACCCATGGTCGTGAACATTTAATCTTAGCTTACTTTCCTTTGATTCAGATTTAGTCTTCCCTCCTGGCTTTTATATCACTTATTTATTTACATAATGTGGTGTTAGTCTGTGAGCCAAGCTAAACTGCCTGTGTCATATCTGCTGAGGTGTCTGAGCAAAACTCAGGATGCTTTTGGAAGCTCTGCATGTATGCAGTAACTTGTTCATCTGCTATCAATGCCTTATACTTAGGCTCTTATCAATGTCTTATACTTAGGGTGAATATTCAAAGAATCATAGAAAGGTTTGGGTTGGAAAGGACCTTAAGCTCATCTAGTGCCAATGACCCTGCCATGGGCAGGGACACCTTACTCTAGACCATGCTGCCCAAGGCTCTGTACAACCTGGCCTTGAACACCTCCAGGGATGGAGCATTCACAACTTCGTTAGGCAATCTGTCCCAGTGCCTCAGCACCCTCACAGTAAGAACCTTCTTCCTTATATCTGACGTAAACTTCCCCTGTTTAAGTTTAAACCTATTATCCCTTGTCCTATTGCTACAGTCCCTGATGAAGAGTCCCTCTCTGGCACCCTTAAAGGCCCTGTCACATATTGGAAGGCTGCTATGACGTGTCCACACATTTTCCACGCTGAACAGCCCCTGTCTTTGTTTTTAGTCCTCACTCTCACAGACTTACCAAACCAAACTGCTTTAGTATTTTTCTGCGCAAGAGACTTTTTCCAACTGTCTCTTTCCAATTTCTCAGCCTTACTTCATATGTGAGGTGCTCCAGCTGTCCAGAACTGCAAGTTTGCATTTGTCTTCTCTTGGCTCTCAAGCAAAGCATGGTTTAGGTGTCTCAAGCTGTAGGACAGCGAACATGTGCACTCTCTGTCTGAGATAACTCTTTTGGGCTGGAAGGACCCTGTTTTTTTTCCCAGCTCTTAGCACTTTTGGATTTTCATAACACTGACACACTGCTGTTTGCCTGAGGGCTGTAACCAGGTAGAATGCAGACTTCACCAAGAGATTTTTAAATGCATGTAAGTCTCCTCAAAAAGTATAGCATGATGAAATTAAAAAAAGAATAACATCTATGTGCCTGCCTATGCTCTGAGTGATCTCCCACTGCAAGAGCCTGCTGGTTTCAGTCCCAGGACTTTCGTCATCTTTCTCTCCTTTTTGACTGATTGCTGGAAAGAGGCTTGGGGTTTCTGTTGTACTGAACAAATTCCCTGTGCGTGGTGACTTAGCTGTTTCTTCCTTCCCTCCACTGGAGTGTAGATTAGGAAAAAAGGGGTTTTCTTTCTTCACTGCCCTTAATAAAATTAATATAAATAAAAAAAATTATAGCCACCCTAATAATGTAAGGTTAGTACTTATTTTATTGCTAGTGTAATTTATTTTTCAGTCATAAGTTCAGCTTTAATGCAAGATACAGGTTTTCCTTCACTTGCTAACACTGTTGGTCATTCTCTCAATTTTAGGAACTGCAGAGATCCATATTAAATCAGATTGAAGTGTGCAAACAGTTGGAACACCTTGATAGTTCAGCAAGAGATGAATTTAATCCAATAGATCTGCAAGCTGCAAGTAAAATTATGATTTACTATCAAAATCTGTTCGAAGAAATGAGCCATAAAATGCAGATCCGTGAGACAGTCCTTAAAGATCTGGAAATTTTCATGGCCTCATTGAGGAAGATTCAGTGTTCCATAAAATGCCTCACAGATCCCCCCGGTGAGCCTGAAATACATGGAAAAGCATTGAGAGAGGCTGCACAAGAAGTTTCTCGTATGGCAGAAGAGGCCAAATGTTTGGATGAACGCTTGAAAACAGTTGATATCTCTTTGGAAGATTCTGAATGTGGGAGAAAGACTTGCTGTGAAAACCTTGTTCTGACTTTATCTGAAGAGCTAAATGTGACTTATGATCCCTCAAGGGAGCAGATACTTACAGACGAAAAAGATTTGTACAAGACTTTTTCTGCAAAAAACAATGAACTCCTTAAAACCATTCAGGATCTACGTGGCAGAATTAACAAAATAGGCTTGAAGGATCCAACAGTTCCAGCTATTCAACAAAGGTGAATTTGTTTTTAAAACTCTTTCACTTTCATAATTTCACTGAACTCAGAGAGCCTGTGACACCTTCACTGAAATCTGAATGTGTGGTGAAGTACCTGTGGAGCTTTGGAAGAAACAGTGAACTTAATGTTCTATTTGTTTTGCCACAGCCTAAATAAGGAAGCCTTCTCCGTGTTTTGTTTCAGACTCCTATGTATGTGTTTGTTTGAAGCAGCATTAATGAAGAAAAAACAGGAGGAGGTTGATTATGATCTTAATTTTGAGCGAGAAAACTGTCAAACAGGGAGATGGGCCTTCTTGCTGAGCACTAATGCACGTGGTCCGAAACTTTGCCTTCTGTTATTTTACCACAACCTGAGAAAGCAATAACATGATCTATGTGTCTCAGATCATGTTATTGGCTGTCAGAGGAGCTTTGTGCAGCCTTGCAAAGGATGGATAAACAACTTAGTACTGTTTATGGGAAGGAAAAAAGTAAGGGGAGAGGGGATGATAAGATGTGGCCATTTTTAAGTTGTGAAATCCTACACTATGGCATAGCTTACTTTCTTAGACCGTATTTTAAGATAGCCAGAATGTGCTTACATTTTAATGCAAAAGAATTCACTACGTTCATACAGACCCTATTGGTCTCTAGGATTTTTGATTACTTTCTCAAAGGGCTTAGGTCAGCATAACTCATCTGAAGGACCGTGTCAAATTACTTCAGAAACTGAAGATCAAATTAGACTTACTATGATGTCATTCAATATAGCATGTGCAGCTCAAGATGAATTTCTTAGGAACTCTATAATTACATTGGGGAAAAATCAGATACTTACTTTAACATAAAGCTGTATTTCGTTTTTTTCCTAATGAAGGGTAAAATCGTTAACAGAATTGGAAGAAGAATTGGATTGTGCTGCTGTTGAAATGAAACCTATGCAAGAAATTGCTAATAAGCTCCTACAGATCAAAGAGGAAAAAGCAGAGGAAGCAAACGAACAGTGCAGAGTTACAGAGAGATTATGGGAGGATACAAAATTCTTGCTTGCTGAATGGTAAGGAGAAAGGCTACATCTTAAAGTCGTATTGTACAAGTAAGAAGTTTGCTTGTAAAATGAAACAGCAAAAAAGCCTTAGACCATACTTCAAAGTAAATGAAATACTGATACAGTAGCAAATGTTACTGTTAAGATGCTATAACTGTCATAAAGCAAAGGATTGTACATAGAAGTTTGCAGCCAGTGCTCCTGAATGTTACATAGTTTTAAGACATCACAGTCTCATCATTTAGCAGGTATGTACTGGTATGTTGGACTTAGTTGGTACCCAAAATAAAAACCTGGCTGCTGCTGGGAATGATGTGCTTTCTGTATTTGCTGTGAATTTCATGCCAGCACATTCAAAAAGAAAAGTCAAACTGAAGTAAATGAAAGAAGACAGCTGGAAAAACAGTCTCTTATTCAGGAAAAGACTAAAGGAGCTTGGTTTGATAAGTCTGTGAGAGTGAGGACTGGGAAAGGCTATGATTGATCACCCAGGGCATCTGTCCTTCTCTTACAGTTTTTAAAGGTGCCTGGAGGCTTTGTATGGACTGGCACAGTTCTGCTAATCCTCATGGCTTGCACAGGTGTCAGTAGGAATAATCTGTTCCCATATCCCAGTGAAGGCTGGGCTGAGGTGGCATTTCCCACTGCCCAACACCCAAGCTGTTGTGATAGATGCTGCATGTTGTATTCCAGTTTACTGATGGCTGAGCACAGCTTTCAGGTGGAGAGTATCATACAGACAACTGCTCAATTCACATCACAGTTAAATGTAAATCAGAAGTATCCAATGGTGAAGGGAATTTTTGATTGCAAAACTTGTCCAAATACCACACCAGGTATCCCATAGTATCGCAGGGTTTATGACTGGTACAATTTATCTCCCTTTTCTCTCTTCCAGATATAGTAATATAAAATCCCCACGTTTGAATATAGAAGAAGGAAACTGACAAGAGGTTGAGGCTGCTTTTTTATGCTTAGGCCTTAAATAATGCATCTCTTTTATTTTAATAGCCAGGAGCAGTGTGCAAGGGCTCTGGAGCTCCTGAAGCAGTATCAAAGCTGCAAAACTAGTCTGACCAGCATCATCCAGAAACAGGAGATTGTGCTTTCCCAGCAAACTTCTTACATGGGGAAGGAGAATTTGAACAGACTAATAACAAAGGTGAGTTACAAGAACTTACTGAAAAGGAAACAAAAGCCTTTCCTGGGAGCGTTTATATTTAAGTTTGCCCTTGTACACTCAGCCTTCAAGGAGTATGTTAAGACCTTGCTTCCACTTCAGCTTCCAAAATAGATTTAGAGCCCATACCCTGGTTTTAAGTTGATGTCTAGTTCTGCATAGTGAATCTATGTGTTGTTTCATAGATTTGGAGGGATTAAAAACCAACCAACCAACCAAACCCAAAACAAACACAAAAACTCAACAACAAGGGAAAACTATGATCTAGTATGAAAATAAGACAAAATCCTGTCCTACCAAAACTACATGTTGAAATCAGCCATTTTCACCCATACCCTTTAGAATATTTATTTTCTACCAAGTTAAACAGCTTATAGTGGGCAGTTTGTAACTATACAAAATTAGTGAATTACTTTGTTGCTGAGAAGATGCTTTAAAATGTTGTACCACCAAAAGCTAAAATAATAGGTAATGAAGCTCTTGTGGCTGCTTGCTTCTCTGCCATCACTGTAGCTTATAACCAAGAATTTAGACCTGTATTCTCTCCTTTCTCATGTTGCTGGGTCCCAGACAGGGCTGTGGGGTTTGTCTGCACTGTCCATTGCTGTGCAGAAATCTTCAAGCAAACTGGATCAGGAACAGTAGCAGTAAGGTTATGTCAGCATGGCACATCTGCTCAGAGACTGTGCCATGGCAGATCTGTCCTGCTTTGCAGGCTGGAGCTTGTGTACCTCACTGTATGTCATTGCCATCGGAAACAGCGTAGAGCTTTCTGACATGGTGCTGCCTTAGGATGTGGATTAGGAGGCCAAAATGGTTTTGAGTGATTTTACAGTGTTTCCTCGAGCTGCTTACACTTGCAGCGTGATTCTCTGCCATCACACTGACTTCGCTGACCAAAATTTGTTGTGGTTAGAAGCCATAACAACATAGTTCAGTATTTCTCCTCTCACTTGTCATGTCACAAACCTACTTGGAAGACAGACCTTCTGTATAATAGCCTTGGCTTCTGTTATTAGCATTTGCTGCACGCTGTCTGTGATAGCAGTTAAAACATTTGCAGTAGCTTTTACATTAGCTGAGGAGACTGAATGAGCAGATATTGCTGGACACCCCCTCAGTTTAAAGTTTACCACCTTTTCAGGCAAAAATTGGACAGCCAGCTAAATTCTTCTTAGCTAAGTGAATACAATCATTGGACATAATTGTCTGTGGCTAATGGATTACTGAACAGCAGCATGTCCATTGTGACCATTTTACTGTACAGGTTTCACATTTCCTAGATGGGTTATATAGCAGGCTGTTCAGATCTGATTTTTAGGCTTTCTCATGAAGCATCAACCATAGATTGATGAACACTTGCTCTCAGGAAGTGCCTGGGATGGTTATATTCAAGAAAGAATGTAAAGTTTTTTCCTGCAGGCTTTGGGATGGTGTCTCTGTGTGCCACACTGTTTAGGTGAGACAGAATGAGACTCTGGCATCTCTTATCACTCAGGTGTATCACATTATTTCACCAGTGAGACTTCTGGCATGTCATATCACTCAGGCTCCTGCTGCAGGGGATATTGCCTGCATACCCTGGTCCCTGCGTGTATGAAGACATTTCTCTGGTAGCAGCCATTCATCCTCACCCTCAGTTTTGCAATTGCCACTCTCAGAACTGTGGTCTGCAATAGCTGTGGCACAGTACAGGCATGTCCTTGAGGACTGGTAATTTTTTTATTTATAATTATGTAAATAGTAGCAGAGAAGCTCCTCTACTTTGTTCTGATTTGTGAGTGCTGCTCCGCTTACCACAGTGGCTGTAATAGGCTTGTCTCCGGGACGTTAAGAGCTTTTAGTATCAAGTTGCCTAACACTAGAGGTCAGTGTTTCTTTTCTAGCGAGCTTCCATGTTGTTTGTAAACACTGACGTTACAATTAAGCACAAAGAAGCAGCCTAGTGTTTAAATAGAAAGTAGGAAAAAGGGACGTACCAGTTTCTGGCAATGGCATATTTGACGGTGCTATATATAAGTAGGATTTAAGCTTTTATAAAAAAGCAGTTAAAAACCTAGGGATCAGAATGCCAGGTTATATTTTTTTGTTAGTTGTAATAGTATCTCAGATGATTTATATATTGTGCATTGTTTATTTCTGTAATTGAGGTTCTGTGTATAGATGTTCAGTCCCCTTGGATCTTTCAATTGCAAATTTTAAAGCAAACCATAGTTTTGGCTCTCTTAGTCAGAAATATATTATCCACAGTTCCCACTCAGCTGCTTTGTAACCAATAACAGAATAATACAGATTTCTAACAAAGAAATGTTCCTATCAGCATGACAGGGATATAACAACACAGGATGCATTCTTAGTCTCGTCATATATGAAATTCCTGATATAAAAAATAGATTATTTTTTGTAAGGCTGTTGTTTCTCTAAACTGAACAGTGCATCATTTAAAAATATTTTGCTGAATAAACAGTCATAAGTACACATGTTCATAAGTATCCATTTGACATTTTTCACAGATTGAAGAGGCAAAAGAGGAATTTAATGATCATGCTGAAGATGTAGACAAAATAAATCAGATCTGCAAAAATCTTCAATTCCAGCTCAATAAAATGAGAAGCTTCGAGGAGCCTCCATTTGAGAATGAGGCTAACATTATTGTGGACAGATGGCTGGATGTATGTAAAAAGTAAATTATCAGGGTGGTCTTATCTCTTATGCATTATAGTAATTGATTCTGACATGTGTGTAATATTTGCAATAAATTAAGTGCAGAGATTCTTAAGAGATAAATCCAAGTGTTTACCAGAGCAGAGCTTGTCGAGCGGCTCTTGGCGTAATGTTTCTCATCCCTCAGGTAGTTTATATCGTGGGTACTCCTTGACGGTAAATAAATCTAGGAAAGGCAGAAAGGCAATATTTGAGCTTTCTGCATGAATCTGTAAGCTTCCGTAACAACTTCTGTGGATTTAGACTTTGGAGACAATCTGGAGAATTACAGTGCTGGTGCTTTTGGTAAGAAATGTTTGCCACTGTCAATCTAAGCAGTGCATCAATACTGAGATTAGATGGTATTTACTGAGAGTAGATAAACATTAATGAGCAAGGCTCCTTCCTAAACCTGCCCTAAAACTGGCAAGCTGCTGTTGTGATTGGTATGTTTGGTGACATGTGTGGCAGGGATTTAAATATCTTCTCCATGACCAGTTCACTGTGAAGGCATGAGATTTTTTTTTTCCCCTTGCTGCACTTGTTTTTGTGGGTGGTTTCATTTTGCTCTGATTTTATTATGCTTATTTTGCTTTTAGAATATAACTCTCATTTTGAAATCCATGTGTGTTTTCTGTACATAAATCTCCTGGTAGATCAATGAAAAGACTGAAAACTACTGTGATAATTTGGGAAGAGCTCAGGCTTTGTGGGACAAACTTCTTAGTTTATCTGGCACAATCGACGCTTGGGCACATGCAGAGCTTAAGAACGCAGAAGCCCATTGTCTGACTGAAGAGAACCTTACACAGTTGAAGGTAAGTTGAGTGGAAATTTTTTATTCTTAACTGGAATGGTCTGGACTTTGGACTGTAAACATGCACATCACAGAAATATCAGCACTGCAAAAGCAGAGGAAATTGTAACATTTGCAATTGTATATGCATAGTTTCACTCAAGATACTGTACAATATATCGGGGGTACAAGTCTTGGAAACTAATAAATGGAGTATATGTATACTAAATTGTTTGAAATTAATGCCACACGGCAATTGCTGCTTTAGACTACAGAAACCCTCTCATTCCTTTGTGCTGTACAAACAGCAAAGAAGGCTTGGAAAGCTTGTAGTCTAAGAGTACAATGGTGCACGTTTCCTTGTGCCTAGAGAAGAAAGAGAAGAGATTGTGTATAGGGTAGTGATTAGTTTTCTAGTTAGAAATTGCCTATCAGTGGAGATGCTGGAGCCTCAGAAATGATCGGACAAGGCACGGTTCAGGAAGAGGTTGCAGAGGTGACTTATTTGTTCCTGCAATTTTCATTCTGGTGTGTTCTCCAGCAAACATAGTGTGGCCTTAGTAATGGCTGGTTGCTAAAGGTCTCCAGAGGCTGCACCAGCAGAGCCTGAGCTGCCCCTGCCCCTTTTGCACAGACTGTAGCTTTAACTCTTGGTATCAGGGTGCAGTTGGATGTAAAAACACACACACAAGCTCTGTGCCGTTGAAGAGCCTCACATACAGGGGTAAATATTTAGATTTCTGGCTTTAGATCCATAACTAACCAGCTATGCCACTTTGTTGGTATATATTAGCTATATGCCAGTATCTACTAAACAAAAATATTTCCTGCTTGCATAGCGTTGAGACATAAATATATTTCGTATATGCTTGTCTGAAAATATGCATGCATTTTTTTCTCAGTGTTTACACGCTGCAAATGCCATGGTTTTAATTACACTTATTTGCAGCATTACTGCTACCGTTAGCACAGAGCACAGCTCATGTGTTTTAATTTGCAGAGCAGTAAAAAGCCAAGGTCTTCTTTGTATATAGATCTCAATGAGCCAGTAGTATAAACACTGTGCAGAGGTTGATCTTTTGTCACATTGTTATTGCTTTTATCATTGTATTGTTGGAATTTACCTGGGGTGGTTCAGGCCTCTGATGGCTCCAGTAAAAATGCACCAGCTGGCAACTGCTTCTTAAGAGCCATTTTATTACCTGGAAACTGCTCAACCTCGTCATGATGTGACCATGCCCTCAGTATGCCTCTGTTGGTGCTTAGGAAGGGCTGTGCTGGAAGTGGCTGCGATAAGGTTCCTCTGCTGCTTCTTGCGAGAGGATAGCTCTCAAAAGAGAGGGGAGAAGAGGGCAAGGGAGAGAGAAACCATGTTTTCTATGAGCTACTATAAAAGCAGAATAGAGGAGAGAAAACTGAACTCTGTGTTGCTATTTTTTTTTTTTAAATACCTCAGAGTGCCTCAGGTTCATGTATCCATTTACTATTATTTCTTTTATTGTTGATCCTGAGGCATCTCTACATTAATGTTAATTACAAAAAAAAAAAACCCAAACCAACTGTTGCAATATGTATCATGTTATATAGGGTTGAAACCCAGGGTCCTTTGTGACCACCCAACAGAACACTGGTGCTCCTGCTTTCAAGAAGCCTGCCACTAAAGAAAAGAGTAATGAATTATTTGACTGTATACTTAAAGATAATTTCAGTATAAATAATGTGGGAGAAGTCCTGCTTTCCACTGTAGCAAGTCTGCAAACGCAAATGGGAACTCTTTTAAGGGCTGCAGCATGTGAACTGGTTTTGATGATTGCTTGTATAGAGGCTGTAGAAAGAGTACTTTGTCCTGAGGGAGTTTGGAGTATCAGTTTGGGAATATGAGACAAATGTGACTATCTTGTTTCATAAGTTGAACCTGATATTTTACTTCCACATTACTGGCTTGTTCCAAAATCCATTCAAAGGTAGAGGTCTTTTCATATACAAAGAATATAGGTTAAAAAAGTGCGTAGAGCATGACTTGTGTTTTATCAAGTCCCTACCAAAGTATCATCAGAATGCCAGTTCTAGACTGAAACATCTGAGAATATCTCTTTTTAATAGTAGCAGCAAGAAATACATAGAAAATTAAAGATTATTTTCTTGCAAATATATTTTGTTTAATATAGAATCATAGAATCATAGAATAGTTAGGGTTGGAAAGGACCTTAAGATCATCAAGTTCCAAACTCTTGCCATGGGCAGGGACACATCCCATTAAACCATATCACCCAAGGCCTTGTCCAACCTGGCCTTGAACACTGCCAGGGACGGAGCATTCACAACCTCCTTGGGCAACCCATTCCAGTGCCTCACCACCCTCACAGGAAAGAATTTCCTCCTTATATCCAATCTAAACTTCCCCTGTTTTAAGTTTTAACCCATTACCCCTTGTCCTATCACTACAGTCCCTAATGAAGAGTCCCTCCCCAGCATCCCTATAGCCCCCCTTCAGATCCTGGAAGGCTGCTATGAGGTCTCCATGCAGCCTTCTCTTCTCCAGGCTGAACAGCCCCAACTTTCTCAACCTGTCTTCATACGGGAGGTGCTCCAGTCCCCTGATCATCCTCGTGGCCCTCCTCTGGACTTGTTCCAACAGTTCCATGTCCTTTTTATGTTGAGGACACCAGAACTGCACACAGTACTCCAGGTGAGGTCTCACGAGAGCAGAGGAAAGGGGCAGGATCACCTCCTTTGACCTCTGGTAATGCTTCTTTTGATGCAGCCCAGGATACGGTTGGCTTTCTGGGCTGCAAACGCACACTGACAGCTCATGTTCATTTTCTCATTGACCAACACCCCCAAGTCCTTCTCTGCAGGGCTGCTCTCAATCTCTTCTCTGCCCAGCCTGTAGCTGTGCCTGGGATTGCTCTGAGCCAGGTGTAGGACCTTGCATGTGGCATGGTTAAACTTCGTAAGGATGGCATCAGCCCACCTCACAAGCGTCCCCTCTGGATGGGGACGATATGAAGATTGGCTGAGAAAGTTGGGACTGTTCAGCCTGGAGAAGAGAATGCTGCGTGCAGACCTCATAGCAGCCTTCCAGTATCTGAAGGGGGCCTATAGGGATGCTGGGGATGGACTCTTCATTAGGGACTGTAGTGATAGGACAAGGAGTAATGGGTTAAAACTTAAACAGGGGAAGTTTAGATTGGATATAAGGAGGAAATTCTCCTCTGTTAGGGTGGTGAGGCACTGGAATGGGTTGCCCAAGGAGGTTGTGAATGCTCCATCCCTGGCAGTGTTCAAAGCCAGGTTGGATGAGGCCTTGGGTGATATGGTTTAGAGCGAGGTGTCCCTGCCCTTTTCAGGGGGGTTGGAACTTGATGATCTTAAGGTCCTTTCCAACCCTAACTATTCTATTCTATGAAAGAAGTCATTCAGAACCTCAGCCTTCTCCAAATCCTGTGTAGCTAGCTCTCCTGAGAGCTTCCTGAGGGGGCCTACGTTCTCCCTAGTCTGTTTTTTATTGGCTATGTACCTGTAGAATCCCTTCCTGTTATCCTTAATATCCCTAGCCAAGTTTAATTCTAACTGGTCCTTAGCTTTCCTAGCCTGGTCCCCAACTTCCTGGACAACATCCCTGTACTCTTCCCAGGCCACCTGTCCTTGCTTCCACTTTTTATAAGCCTCTTTTTTCATTTGAATTTTCCTCAGCAGCTCCTTATCCATCCAAGGAGGTCTCCTGGCCCTCCTGCTGCGCTTCCTTCTAGTTGGGATGGAACACTCCTGAGCTTGTAGCAGGTGATCCTTGAATATCAACCAAGAGTCTTGGGCCCCCCTTTCCTCTAGGGCTATATCCCATGGAACCTTACTAAGCAGGTTCCTGAAGAGGCCAAAGTCTGCTCTCTTGAAATCCAGGGCAGTGAGCTTGCTGCACGCTCTTCTCACTGTCCTGAGGATCTCGAATTTGACTATCTCATGATCGCTGCATCCAAGGCTGCCCTGGAGCGTCACATTTCCAGCAAGCCCTTCCCTGTTGGTGAGCACAAGGTCAAGCATGGCACCTCTCCTTGTCGGCTCCTCTATCACTTGCAGAAGGAAGTTGTCTTCCACACAATCAAGGAACCTCCTGGATTGCTTGTGCCGGGCCGTACCGTCATTCCAATAAATGTCAGGGTGATTGATGAGAACAAGGGCCTGTGAGCATGACACGACACTTTTCCTATCTGTCTATAGAGTGTTTCATCCGCAGGTTCTCCTTGACCAGTCGGTCTGTAACAGTTCCCCACAGTAACGTCTCCCATCGCTGTTTTCCCTTTAACCCTGACCCACAAACTCTCTGTTAACTGCTCACCTGTCCCCAGACAGGGTTCCATACTCTCCAGCCTATCCCTAACATAAAGGGCAACTCCTCTGCGCCTGCCAGGCCTGTCTTTTCTAAAGAGTCTGTAACCTTCCATTCCAACGCTGCAGTCATAGGAGCCATCCTACCATGTTTATGTGATGCCCATTATATCATACCCCCGTAGACGTGCACACATCTCTAATTCTTCTTGTTTGTTACCCATGCTACGTGCATTTGTATAGAGGCATCTGAGCTGAGCTCCAAATGAAGCTGGCTCATTGGCTGGAGCAGCAGGAATATCTCTACATTGCTCCAAGCATTTATTGTAGGTGCTGGGTGTGTTGGGATGGGATGATGCCCCCCTCCCCCAGCACGTCTAGTTTAAAGCCTCCTTGACCAGTCTGGCAAGCCTCCTACCAAAACTGCTCTTCCCCTTCTTTTATCAGACCAGCTCCACCAGCCCCCGCTAGACCTGGCCTACAAACTTGGTTCCTGTGTTCAAGACACCCAAACCCCTGACTATGACACCACCGTTCTAACCATTTATTAACCTGGCTAATCCTCCTAGCTTTTTTCAGGTCCTTCCCTGTATCCTGGAGAATAGACGAAAAGACTATCTGAGCTCCAGAGCCCTTAACCACCTCTCCCAGGGCTTTGTAGTCCTTCTTTATGTTCCCCAGGCTACTACTATCTATATCCCTAGCACCCACATGTATCACCAGAAGTGGGTAATAGTCCATGGGGCTTGCTAGAACAGGCAGCCTCTCTGCCACATCCCTGGTCTGTGCCCCTGGCAGGCAACACACCTGCCTTGAGACAGGGTCAGGCCGACAGACGAGTGCCCCTGTCCCTTTCAAAGTAGAGTCCCCTACTACAACAACCGGCCGCTTTTTCCTGGCAGCACCAGTACAAATACTCTTCGTTAGTGCATCAGCCGACTGTTTCTCGTGCGAGTGCGTTTCCTCATGAGCCCGCTGCAGGACAGCAAAGCGGTTCTGTGTGGGGACAACAGATTTAGGGGGAAGTCCCTTGCTTTTAACTGTCCTTTTCCTCCTTTTTTTGTTGGTTTTTTTTTTGTCACCAATTCCCAGCTTCACGGGTTAATGGCTTCCTTCTTTCCTCCATGAGCTAGAGGGGAAGCTTAAGGACCCTGCACAGTTCGTGCGGGAGCAATCATTCCTGCTTCCTCTCAGCTACCCTGACATCTTGTAGCCTATTAATAGCATGCTGTAGCTCAGCCACCTGCTGCAGGAGGACCTCCACCAGGGAGCACCGAGGGCAGCCCTGCCCATTGTGTACCTTTCCCTCCCCAGACCAGTACAGGAACTCTCTACACCCCGAAGTCTGTGCTGCAGCCTCCCCTCTCATCAGCGCTCTCTGGGTGCCTACGGTGGCCACCGCCAGGGCAGCCAGAGCAGAGGTCCCAGACCGTCCCTGGTCATACGGCGAGTGCTCACCATTCCGCATGCCTGCCCGCGCAAACTACCTCGACCTGCTCTGTTTGCCCGCTCTGTTTGCTGCTATCCTGGTCACTCATGGTCACTCACGCTCCCTGGGGCAGGTTTTTAACCATTCAGGGCTAGCACTGTTCCTCCTGGCCATAAGTTATTCTACAATAAAAATAAAAAATAAAAATATAATAATCATAATACGTATTATCTATTATATAATAAATGTTACTAATAGTAGTTATATATTATAATAAGTATATAAATATAATCATACAATAAAATAATAACTATTGTTAACTTTATGATAGATTTGCATTAACAACTGCTTTGCCTGCAAAACAGTGTTTCTGACTCAACACAAAAAAAAGTCTGAATTATTAAAATTAAAACCAGGATATGGATCAGCTGTGGAAGCTCTATATGCCACATTGCAGAATCACAGTATGAGCAATGTAATTTTCTAAGAGAAAGATGGAAGTTTAATCTGGGGGAAACAGAGTTACCGATGTGGTTTTCCACCTTTAGGCATGCTTACAAGCCCAAGAGGAGAAACTGCAGAAATTTGACAACACAGTGGCTGAGATAGAAGAACTTCTAAATAGTAATGAACCTCCACTGGAGCTACAGGTACGAAGACACTTTTACAGCTAATATGGCAGTACTCATTACTAAAGGCGTGCTTCTGTTATCATCTTTGCCACAAGCATGTCTTGGTTTGACTTAAATCAAGCCAAAGAGAATTGGAAGCATTTTGTTGGCTATTAGCAGTGACTTTTCATTCAAGACAACAGTCTTTCTACAGCTGTTAGAACCAAACCTGTCATTTTAAACACAAAGGCCTCTTTCAGTCCTGTGTCTTTTAGGAACTTAGACATGACCCAACTGTTTTGCAGACCTGCTGAAAGAGGCCAATATGAGTGATATCTGGCTTTTAGCTGTTGGCCAGTAACAGTGGGCCTCATCATCCCTTTGGTGATCCCAGTAACTCAGCATGCTGACTGTTTTAAACTGTACCTTTACCTGGATATGGCTTAAGGTAGCTTGGTAGCATGTAGCTATTTGCATAGAGTGGTGTTTTCCTGTGATGTTTTCCTTTGGGATATTATAAGGAAATCTACATCTTTTTGTGTTAACTTCATACAGCAAAGAATAAATTTATTCTCCACTGCTTAAGACCATGTTAGCCTACCTTTATCTTGTACCAGTTCCCTAAACATGTGATTCCAGTGTTCATCAGATGCACCTTGAGCTTGACCTGGTTTGCTTATTTGTGTTTAACCTCAGCAGGCAGTGAACTCAGAGGAGATTCACTGGGTAAAGTGATCTAAGGAGCTTAGGAAAGGACTCGGCAACCTTGTACCATGCACACTGCTCCTTGGGAGCACCAGATGCCCTTGAGTTGCTGTCTCGTGCAAATCTGCACAAGCCTTAAGGACAAGGTTAAGGACCTATTGTTCCTTGTGACTGGTCTGAGCCAGAGCTCCCTACCTTTCTGCTCTCCTTGCCTGTTTGGATCAGCATTTGGATCCCACATGCAGTGGGATCACTGCAAGGAGGTGTGTTATGGGGAGAGCTGGCACCCTCTTTTAAATGGTAGCCAAAGTGCAGGTAAGGCCTTCATCCAGCTGAGGGTAGACTCACAAATAAATTTGTTAGTAAAGCAGCATCAGTAAATGATATCACAATTAAAGATGAAATCAGCTGTGCTAGGAAGAACAGGGCTTAAATACTATTATTTTTCAATTTGTGGAGTGGGAGAGAAAGAAACTGAAACAAGCTGTGTTTGAAATATCTGGATTTCAGGTGATGTTATTGCTTTTTATGTCTGTCATGGAGTTCAGTAATATTCTAGGACACCAATCTGCTGTAGTTTCTTAACTATGTTTTATTTTCAATTTTAAGGTCATCAGATCATCTGTTGTGCAAAAAATGGAGCTAATAAAAGAGCTCTTGTCAACGAAGAGGGGGACCAGCGAACTCAGCTTGAATACAGCAGAACTAAAAGGAGACCTTGATTTGGCCAAGACACAGATTGGAATGACTGAATCTCTTTTAAAAGCTTTATCTCCTTCTGACACCTTAGAGATCTTTACTAAGTTAGAGGTAGCGTGCCACAAATTATGCAACTTTTATAATTTTGTTCATTATTTCTCTCCTGGGCAAGACTTCATAAGTGTTTCTCCTATGTATGTTGTTAAATTCTAGAATAACTCAGGTGAAGAGCCTGGCTTGAATGTTTTCTTAAGCTGCCAGAAACATGAAAGAAAGCCTGTTTTCACTGGATGTTACCAGATTTAGTTAGTTAATCCTTGCAGCTATTACAAATAGTTAGTGATGGGCATGACAACAGTGTACTATCCTCTGTAGGTTGAAGCAGTAGTGGGGGTACTAGGTTATATCCTTTCCAAGACTGGGTAATACACAGAGGTTGTCTTTGTGCAAGGGAAGCTCCCAGTAGGCAATTTGAGCCAACTTTTCATACTGTTTGCAGCAGGGAGAGAGGTGAATAAAGCTACTTCTTGCTTGGAGCTTGAAGGCTGGCAAGATTTAAGCCTCCTGTTGAGGAGTGGATTTTGCACATTCTAGCCGTCAGACTGTTAGTGTTTGGGGCAGTGAAATCACAGGCATTGGAAGAAAGATGCTTTTTAAATTAATTCTCTTAGCTTCGTCCAGGTTGTTTTTCAACCCACAGGGACTTGACCTACAGAGTAAGGCATTTAGGGGTGGAATAATAACTGTGGCAGCTAAGGCATTATAATTTCTCAATATTATATTCTCTGGAACATACTATATTACTGTGAACTTCACACACCTATTTTGCATGATGCCAAAATGTGCAAGGGTGACTATACGTGTGATTATGCATGCATACAGATGTATACATACTGCTCAAGGAGAGTTTGGTGCTTGTATTTACCTATTTGATTGCCTTATTAATGCAGTATACTTTCAGAAATTATTTTGGCACATAGATAGGACTAAATCCTTTTGCAAAACCCTGGTTGGTGCAACAGTAGCTCTGTACAGGGAAATTCTGCTTGCACTTCAGCATTTTCTTTGTAACAGTTGTCCTTTTTTTTTTAATATTCAGGAGATACACCAGAAAATTCTGCAACAAGAACACTATGTGACATTACTCCAAGAAGAGACAGATTGTCCTGATGTGGATGAATTAAATAAGCAGCTTAAATGTGTCACTGATTTATTTAATAAGAAGAAACATGTGTTTCAAGATCACTTTATTGGTGTTCTGAATCGTAAGCAAACACATTCGTATTTACATAGGTTTATAGGTTTGTATTGACCATCATAATTTCTTAAAGGTTATACAATTAATTTATTCTTGGCTTTGTGTCTGAAACTGGTTCAATAGCTCAAACAGCTTCAGGATTCTGAACAAGATAAAGATTTGGATAAAAATGGCTTTTAATTCCAAAAAAACACTCAATCTGAATCAAAGTATTTTGTTTCTTATTTTCACATGTAAAAAAAATAGGTAGAGGAAATATAAATGATAATTCAGGAAAATATGTCAGAACATTACATGAAAAAATACAAAAATCAAAATGTTTTCATTTTTTTCCAGTCATTTTTTACTTAATCTTAGTTATGAGAGTGAATAACCTTATTAGGTAATTTTTAGTTTTATACAGATACAGGTTGTGCAGGTGTAGAATTAGGCCCAAAGGTAGTCTCATCTTCAGATAGTTTTTGAGTGATATTTATTTGTGTGGAAATGATAAAAGTTGCCGGTAGGCAAACCTGGGAAGGAGACTGTCCCTCCCAAATGAACAGGTATGTTTATTGCCAATTAAAAAAAAGTATGAGCTACAGCATTTTTTGTCACGTGTTCCAGTGTGCAAAGCAACCTTTGACAGTAGCACTGACAAATGTAATTACAGATTGTCTGAAATCTTCATGTTAAATAGGATTTTCTTTTACACAATACAGTTAATGAAGAAAATTGGAATGTATCTTTTTTTCAGGTCAGTGCAAGAATTTCAATGACTGGTTCAGTAGCACTCAGCTGTCTTTGAAGGACTGCTTTGATCCATCAGAAACAAAACCGATACTGGAAGAAAGACTGCAGAGGCTAAAGGTAAAGTATTAAAATGTTCAAATTTCTGAAGTTGACTGTACTCTAAGTTTTATTTTTTACACAGCAGACTGTTCTTGGGAGCAAATTCATCTACAGTAGTTTTGTAACTTGAAGCTGAAAGAACATTTCTTGTAACTTAAAGCATTATGTCAGTAAGTAGATTGAAAATAAACTATTTCAAAATGGAGTATCAGTGTTCATGTTCAGACATAGCTGGGCAAGTGAGAGACAGGACAGTAGTTAGTGAAAGTCAATGGACCAAGTTCTTCAGTGTGCAAAGATGCAGAAAATCAAACAGGGGGAGAGTAAAATGAAATTCTGACCCCCATTTGACTCAGGTACGAAAAATTACGTTCACTTTTCTGTAGCCAGATTTTCACTCTAAGTCAGACAGAATCAACAGAAAAGAGGGAAAATCACAGTATCTGTGAGCAGCAGTCACAGTTAAGCAGCAGCAGAAGACATAGTGATGCCAGTGCTAGATTTGAATGCTGCTTGCCTATTTCTTCTCTGTGTATTTGTACTGTAGAGAGGAAAATCCAAGTCATCTGCCTCCCTTTCTCCTTATTTTGCAAACAGCAACTTTTCCATTTACAAGTGGAATTGTCAGCAAACTGTCAATTAACATATATTCTGTTTCAGGGACTAGAACTACTGTAGAAAATATTGTGGAGATAACAGGAATTGAAAAACTCTTGTAACATAAATATCTATTGTACAACAGAAAATTTGACAGGTGCATCTTGTGTTTGTGCTCTTATTCAGCACTTCCTAACATCTGAAGGTAAAGACAGAGATATCCAAGAGGTTAAAACTTTGTTGAATAAAGTGAAGCATTACTTACCCAAAGCAAGCATTAACCACCTTAACAGCCGTGTGAGAGATCAAGAAGCAGAACTACAAAGACTGATTTCCAAATGTCAGAAACGGGCAAAGGAACTTGGTGCTTCTCTCCAGCAGCTCAGTAGGTAGGGAACTAATGTAGTTTCTGACATTTTAATCACAAGGGATACAAAATGATTCATTATTAAACAGCCATAGTGAATGGCAAACAACCCTGCTTTTTTATTAAAGATGGATTTTCATAAAGGGTAATGAGGGTTTTGTTGTATGCTTTGTGTGTTTTTTCACTTCATAGCAGACTCAGTGTTATATGGGAGTATGTGCTTATGGATAGTCTCAGTGACATGAACTGAGATACTGAAAATTAAGCTTGTGCTTAAAACTGCATGATGAGGCACATTATGTTACTTTTTGTAATGTCTCTTATTTTCAGCTATGTTTGTATTTATATTCTCTTTAGCCTTGAAGAAAGCAGTACAGTGTTGGAAGGATGGCTCACTGCTCAGGAAGAAAAACTGAAAGAGACCAAAAACGATGAGACAAAACTTGAAAATTTGTATAGAACACTGTTAATGCAGAGGTATTGTTTTCTGTGGTCTCTAAGAACTGTCTTCTAAAGAAGTTGTTGTCACAGCAAATAGATGTTTATTAATTTTTTGTATTTTTCAGAAAACCATTTGACTCCATGGCTCAGCTTGCAAGTTCCTTGAGGGAGGCTGGGCTAACAGAATATCAAACTGTTTCAGAAGCCAGTGGTCTTATTAGTAGATACCAGACACTGATAACACATGTAAGTGAAAAGGCAGGGAATACCGAGAGACTTCCTGTGGAAGGACAGAATTTTGAAGAACTTGCCCAGGATGTTTCTTGCTGGATCAAAAAGCTCGAGGAGGCTATTAATAAGCTGAGTTCACAGGAAAGGGAGTTGCCATCAGACGAAAGGATTAATCAAGTAAAGGTATTGGGTGAAAAGTATTCCTTTTCCACTTCATATTTCATTCTAATATCAGGGGAAAGTTTTATGAGTCACTACCCCATAAAAGATAATGTCACTGCTGATTGCCTGTGGTTTTGTTGACTTATTTGGGGGCAGAGAAGTGTGTTTGGGTGGGTTGATTGATTTGGTTTTATGTAGTTTTATTATGCACATGAGATTCTCTGTTGTATGTCTGGGTGGAGCAGCACCCGGTGGTTGTGCACCTTCCCATCATAGCCTGCTCCAGAGGTGAAGAGGGTGGTCAGTATTATAGCTGGGACATCTCTCATGGCTTTGCAGGTGTGCTGAAGTGCCGTTGTGCTGGGCTGCTCCACTGCCTGGGTGGTGGGTCTCTCGGGCATCTTTGGTATCTCCTCTCTCTGACTAGTTAGGATAAAGATGCTGGGTTTTACATGTGGAAGGGGTGGCATTGTGACAAATCTCTTTCTCTAAGATTTGAAGCATTTTTATTTTTTTTTTATTTATCAGCACAGTACTGTGGGTTGGGTTTGTTGTTTTTTTTTTTTTGTAGAGAAAAATCAATAATATCAGCTTCATTATCCCAGACATTTGAAAACTAGGTGATCTGTCCATTTATGAATCAGTTATGCAATATATTGGAAGGAGAATTCTTTTGTCTTGAGCAGCAGTGTACAAAGTATGAACAAATCATTGGTAGTACCTTCTATTTTGTACACAAAAATAGTTGGGGATGGACTGTATCTGCTTCTTGTTTAATACAGGAAATCACAGCTCTCAAAGATGCAGGAGAGGCCAAAATACAGAACATGGTAGCTCTAGGAGAAACTTTAATGAGAAATGAAAAAAATAAAAAGCCAGCGGTTCAGCAGACTATTTCTGAGCTCCAGCACAAGTGGGAAAGCACCTGTCATCTAGCCACAGAATACAAAAGGTAATGTGGAATTTGTCAAGAGGTAGTTCTGCTACATTGACTTTCTTCTCTTCTTCCTGTATGAGTCCCATTGAATTTGTGGTCTTCGGGGGCAGAATGAGACAGCTACAGAAATCCTTGTCTTTCTGCAGTGTTGGATTGAAAGGTCAAGTGGGGGGTGTAGCCAGGAGGTGTAAAGGATGTGGCAGGACAGCTGATGGGGTCTGCCCAGCTTGCCTCAGATTTGCTTTTGATACTGAAGTAGCTCAGACACTCCTGTAAGGAAATGGAAAAAAAAACAAAACAAAACCAGCCCAAACAAATATGCACCCAATGCTCCTTGTTTCATTAGGCTGTGCAGTGAGGGTACACTGATTTAGCCACTGTGGTGACCCTTCCCTGCTCTGTGCCCCAGGCATTGTCCCTAGCAGAGGTGCGATCCACCTTTCCACGGATTTGTACTGTTTCAGAAGAGAGTTTGGGGGTAAATCCAGGAGGTTGGGATTTTTGAATTGTTTTTAAAGCCTGTTTTATTCTGGCTTTCTGAGAGACTTTCTTGGCTCTAGAAGCTGCTAAGGCACTTTAGTGTTGCTGGCACTGTGGGAACTGTGTCTGAGAGCCAGACTGATCCTTTAAAACATATCAGATGATTTCAGGTGTGTTGCATAAACATAAACTTGCACATACAGACACTTTCAAGATATTTTTTTGCCATAACCTCCTTGAACCAGCTTTAAGTAAAAGCACTGGAAACTTTGCTGTATACTTCTTTAAAAATGTCCAGGGAATGAATTACTAAAAGAAGTATTTTTGAGAATATTCAGTTGCCTTCCCTTATTACTGAGCACTTGGTGCAAGCAATACAAGTGGCATTCAGAAAGGTAGAGCATTGGCTGTATTGGATCCAGTACAGCAGAATGCAGAGCACCCTCTTCACAATATGTTGGAGGGAGGAGATGGGGTGCTGAGTATGTCTGAAGAGATGTTCATGACTTTGCAGGATCAGATCTGTGAATAACAGGTGTGACATGGTAATGGCAGCAGTGCAAAGCTGGAACAGGGAACTTGAAGCAAGAGTACTTAACATATGTGAGGCTAACACTTTATTTCTCATTTTCCAAAAAACACAAATCATAAGGGGCAAAAAATGAAACACTTAAACTTTGCTTTTGTCCTCACTTGTTCTCGTGTACTTTACAGAATTATAACCAGACTTTATTTATTTGGATTTGATTGTGTGGGATCATAATTTCAAATGTCGGCATTTAAGTTCCATCTGGAAAATATCTGAGCTTCAACACTAAATGTGAACATAGCAATCTTACTTTTGTCTCACTGATCATAGTTGTATATTTGCTGTGGGCAAATGCAACTTGCACCTGCAGCAGGCCAGCATGCATGCTCATAAAGCAAACAATCTGCAGTCCAATGTCAAGGTCAGGAAAGTAGGCACTGGATTGTGCTAGCATGACCCATATTCCATATGCTAGTCTTGTTGTCTATATCTCTAAAACACTCCTGCACCTCCCATCTCAACTAATGCAGTCTGTATCATCTACAGAACATTCCCTTTCAGGAGACTGTCATAAGAAGTTGTTAAAGAAAATGGATTCATAGCCATACTGTAGTTTTTAAACAGAACTTCTGCTGTAATGAAATGTGAAAAAATACGAAGCCTGAGCATCACGTCTCAGGTGCTAGAAATTAAGGCTTTAGAAGACTAAGGTTTTAAGCGAGTTAGTCACTTGTCCAGTTCAGTAGCAATAACTTCAATAATTTAAAACCTGAAAAAAAGTATTCAGCATGCTCAAGTTCAGTCTAATTGTTGACTTGTTCAGTTTGACATTTTCTGGGAAATTAATAAAAAATTTTAATACTATTAAACACAGTATTCTTTCTTAGTCCTCAGGAGCAACTTCAGTTCAACAGGGAACAATATGAACAAAGCAAAGAAGATCTGAGACTGGCTTTAACCAATCTGGAGAAACAGCAACAGGAGATAGGTTTTGCCCTTCAACCTGGTTTACAAGAGAAGCAAGCTCAGCTGACAAACTATTCCAGCCTCCTGCAGAAAGCAGAAGATTTGACTTCCCTATTTAATGAATTGAAAAGCCAAGAAGATCACCTACAGGGTCATGCTGGGGATCCTTGCTTCACAGAGTCGGAATGGTTGGAATTAAAGCAACAACATGAAAATCTGCTTAGCCAGCTACAGGTTGGAACCTCTCTCTCATTCCTTACAGGATTTTTGGTATGCCTGTTGATTGCAGTTCTCACTGTTTGCCTGTAGTGTCATTCAGATGGCAAGTTTATAGGTAAAACTGGAGGTTGAAAGTTTCTCTGTAGAGCAGGGAATTTCCCCTCCCCCCCAGTAGGAAAAAGAACATGAGAAGATCACTTTTTCACCACCTTGTGCTTTGCAGAGGGATAAATTTAAACAAATGAAACCACAGTAAGTACGAAGAACATTTTGTACCTGTATAAACAAATTCAGATAGCTGTAATATGAAGCATTTGTTCCTATAATAAGTTGGTTATTTTTTTTTTTTTCTTTTGGAAGGATGTATGGCTTTTTCTGCATCTTGTTTGTTATTGGTTCCATCCAGTTTAGTGCAAATTGCTTTTGCACCCTATGTGGCATTCTGCATCTAATCTTTAATCTGTTTTGAATAGCAGACATCACTTTTAGAGGTATATTATTATGGAGTGTAAACTCCTCTGCTTCCTGCTATTAATGAACATTTTGTTCACCGTGGAGGGCATGATGTGCTGACAAGAGGGATGGGTATTTTTTGTGCACCTGTGGTTAGCTATATGTTTTATAGCAGGCAGATTTTTTGTGCTGCTGAGGTCCTGGAAAAGCTGTAATAATCTGTGGGCAAATTACATTTGTTTGAGCTAATGGTAGACTAATCCCAGAAATTCCTTGGTTTCTAGACCATAGTGCAGACATTAGAAGGTCACGTTCAAGAGCACCAGGAGTTTCAGGATATGGTATCAGGCCTAAGCACTGAGTTGAAAACTGCCTCTGAGAAGCTTGCTGACTGTGAAGGTCCAGCAACAGAGCAACCATCAGCAGAGCAAGCCCAGTTGAAATCACAGGTATGCTTCACATTTTGCATCATGGAGAAAGTGGGTCTATGTCCTAGGGGCTTGTACAGACCATCACGGAACTGGTAATGTGTCAAACACCAAAAAAATAAGAAATCTTTCCAAAATATGAAGTATATGTTATATTCATTTTATCAAGATAACTGTAGGCCCAAACACAGTCTTAATGAACTGAGTGGACTTTTATTGTCAGCTGAAGACAGGATTGTCCTAGCTCAAGCACACAGGCTTCTTCAATTTTGTTGTTCTGTTTGGGGTTTGTTGTTGTTTGATTTTTGTGGGGTTTTTTTGTTTTCTCTCTGGGTATAACTAGGAGAGAGATTAAATTTGGTGTTAGTCGGTGTCTTTAAGTTAGCCAGAGCAGAAAGCTTAGGAAGATGTTGGTGAACATTTTAAAGAAGTGTCCTTCACAGATGAGTAGACATTCGTTTGCACTGTGGCAGGTTGGATAACAAATTCTCGTAGCTGTGAGCATAGAGAGCTACTGAAAGCTGAGACAGTAGCTCAGATATGGATCACTGCAATTCCCCATCCTCCAGAATTTGCTATACCTCTAGGAAAAAGGAGTAAGAGAAGGTGGGGATTATTTGCTCAGAACTTGGAAAGATCATTATACACCTCACAGCATACCGTCTGATTATTTTATCATTGTCTTGATGCTTATAGCTCAGGTGTTCTCAGCTTATTAAAATGACTAGCTAAAATTACTAGTTTAGTATTTGACCTTTTGCAGCAAATAGGTCTGCCTGTGCTTTTCAGCACACTTTGTTGTTCACAAAGATTTTAATGATTGACTTTAGATCTTAACATTAAATATATTGAGTGAGGATACTTTCCAATAAAATGTTTCTTTGTGTTTAAAGGAACAACAAGGACCTCTTAGTAGAGGCGAAGACACGTTAAAGAAGATTTTGGTTGTAGCAGAAACTGTTAAACAAAACACCTCTTCATCAGGACCGAAGTTTATTAAGGGTGAGATTGAAACACTTCAGAGTGAACACAAAAGTCTGGAAGAGAGACTTGAAAATGTCAAGCAAAAGAAAGAAAATGTTTCAAGTGGAGCCCTTGAGTTTAAAGATGTGTTTGGTACTGAAATACAGATGAAAGATAAGGCAGGTACAATGTTGAAGAGAGACATACAGGTCACTTCTGATACTCCTGTTGCTGCAGAAGAGAGCCTGACTGCACTGGAGTTAAAGGAGCCTTCAGAAAAGCATGATGTAAGTGTATTTGTTGACAGTAATGACAGTGGAAGATGGGTTAAAAAGGCATCTGTCTCTCAGATGCATCCTTTATTTCATTGAAATTAAGCCTTCTGTAAGTACATGTGTATAAAAATCAAAGATGTGGTGAAGAACTCCCTTAACTTGTTATATGAAGTCTATAACAAGCCAGTAGTATCTATTCAAAAGTGCAGTACAGCTTTCTCTTGCACTTAATTAGAGCAGGTATCATTGATCAGGACACAGAGGGAGAAGGTATACAGATGAGAAAATTTCAGGTACACTGCTGCAAAAGAACTCTGAGAGCTTCTTTTAAACCAGTAAGGCTTGTTTACAGCTGCAGCACAATATTAGTTCTGTTTGTTTTCCTAGAAAACGATTTTTGCCATTCAGAGATTTAATGGTAAAATACAATATTTACAGTCACGCAAGTAAGTTTTGTTTGATATCATTTCTCTTAGGGTCAAGATGTAAATGGAAATATGCCAGAGAAAGAGAAGCAAAATGATCCACTTTTGGAGGAAAACAGTGTATTGTCAGACAGCCCTTTACAGGGTGTCTGTCAAAGCAAGGATAAATTGGGGCAGACTGTTCAGGTGCCTGACCAATATGTTCCAGTACATGTCAGTATATATATATCCATGTGTGTCTGTCCACTAGAAATGCATATGTAGTTCCTTAAAATTTGTAGTCTTACAGAGACTTAATTTACTTCTCTCATGAAAGGAGTAATAAAGTATCTTCTCCAAATTATCCCTTCAGCCTTGCACACGAGAAGTGTGAGAGAGATCAACGTGATGATTTCTATAAACCCACAGGGCTTGGACGTGCTTTCTCAATGATGCAGAACCTGCAACATACCTGTAATTTCAACAGGTTTGGTCAACTATGTGATGACAAATGAGAGTTGATGAGAGGTCACTGACCTAGCACTGCTGATCTTTAGGGGACATAAAGAAAGACATTCACACTGTAAACAACTTCACATGCACAAAGCTGAGGGAACAATTTGGAGAACTCCCTCACTGAACTGAACATTGAGTGGTAACAGCAGTAGGGAGAGATGACCATCAAAATTATGAGAGTAGAAACCATCTGTACTGGCATTTCTGGAGAAGGAGCAAGACCAGTAGTTAAAAGTTACCAAATGTGTCTAAATAGAAACTTCTATGACAGTATTAAAAATCATGTGAGCACTTACTCCAGTTCAGTTTCTCCTGGAACTCTTCATAGTGATTAAGGTCATGATATGGCAAAATGATCTGAACAGGTGTTGCTAAAATACTTTGGGTTTGGGTTACCTCAGCCTTTTCCTTCATTCATTAAGTTAATTGAAGATAGCTTGTGGAGTGTGTCATTCCTTTGTAAATTCAGATTTTGGACTGTGGCTTTTACTAGTTGTAAACTTTGTATTTTTCAAAGCAGGGGGATGCCGATAAAAAGAGCCCAAGTATGCAAAAGCGTGGTAGGGTTCAAGATGAAGTTCTGGACAATGCAGCTCAGGGTGATGAAGCAGAACTGCAAGGACATCAGAATGGTGTTGGTATTGAAGGTGATGACACAAGAAAGGCAACCCATCCAGCAGAGGTAACCAGACAGGAGATTATGCAACAGTGGTTGAGTCTAAGGGTACATGTAGTGGGGATACCTCTTATAAATAGTGAAAATCTCAAGTTACATCAAGCTATTTTTGTCTGATGTGCTGTATACTTGGTATGCATTAACCCTCTGAACCCTTTTCTGTACATTTAAAATCGATATGGAGGGATTTTTTTTTTCTTCATTAGTGGCTTCCTGAGGATATTGCATTCTGAGTCACCTGTATGTATTGTGAGGTCATCTTACCATTTTCCTTGAATTCTGTTATTGTGCTTGAGTCTCATTTATTTAGATCTATAATTTACATATTTTCGTGCACCCTGGTACAAGGGGAATTTTGACAGACTAGAGCAGCATTTAGGAGTGGGAAGAGGCTAAGCTCATGTTGGAGATAGAAAGCCTAAGAGGGGTATAAGCAGTGTAGTTGTGATAAGATGGAGCACAGTATGCACCCATGAGCTGGCTGAGAATTAGGGTAAATTTATTTATTCTGGTTGTTCTTGGCTACTTTCAGTACATCTGAATTGTAGCCACCAGATGAGATATCTGTGCAGCATGGACAGGTCCCTGATGCTGTGCTCTCCCCCATAGTCATACTGTAAGGATTTGCCATTCTTTAGTTTGTGTGGTTGGCTGATTTATCTGTCTCCGTATGACAAACAAACTTGGGCAGAACTTAAGAGTCAGCAAATGCCTTAGCATGTACATGCAGCAAATCCCCAGGCTGCCCATGGGAATATCCTGCCTGGCTGGGTGTCATAACCACAGACTTTCTGTCTACAGTACAAGACTGGAGCCCCAGGAAGAAGCTAAACCTTCTAAAAAATGCATTCAAGACTGCATCCAGGGGTACACAGTTCAAGGTCCATGCTTAGAATAATGAAAGATGCCCAGCGTAGGTCAGAGGAATTAAATCTGCAATTTTTCTACAAATTTATAACAAAATTATAGCACTGCTGCTTCTAAATGGTTTCCTCTGCCATAACCCTGCCCACAATAGAGATGTAACTGTGGTTTTCCTCATCTACCTATAATTACGGGCTTTGTAACTTTGTCATCTGTTATTGTCTGTTATTACTACTGAACAGGTTTGGTTAGGGCTTTTTGAATACTTGTTTGTTTGTTTGGGTTTTTTTTTTTTCATTTCTTACAAAAAAGGAGAAATGTAATGATGTCAAGAATCAATCATATAAAGAAGACATGGAACAGGTTCAACAAAAGGTGTGCCAGAAGAGTTGTGTCCCAGAATCTTCAGCAGCTGAGAAAGATAGTCTGCAACCTAATCCCTCAGTTTTTGCACATCAGGTAACCCACATTCTGTTATTTCAAGCTAAATTTCTCACTGCCTTTTTTGCTTCCACATGGGCTTCAGCTGAAGTTCTGTTGTAAAAGAAGAGGAATTATTGTCACATCAAAATCGAGACCATTGTGTGTAGTTCTGCTTTGTGTCCGTGGTAGTTACAAATTTTATCCAAAGGGCTAGCCACACCATATTTTTCAGTGGATCTGTTCAAAAAGAGAAATATTGGTTTTCAGAGCCATCATAATCAATCTTTATGATATTTAGGATTTCTATTTAAATTATTAATCAATGCAACTTATTTCCGTGTTATTGTAGTTAGCTGTGATAGTTTTGCCATCACAAGGAGGGCAGATCAGAAAACTGAATTCCAAGGGTAATCCAGCATAAGAAAATAAATGAGAGAGAGAGAAAGGAGAATTAATTCAAGCTGAACGAATAGCAAGGTGCAAATTTGAGAAGGATGTAAAGGTCCTTGAATGCATCCAGAGGAGAGCAACAAAGCTTGTGAAAGGGCTGTAAGATTTGTCCTATTAGGAGCACCTATGGACTTTGGGGTTGTCTAGGTTGAAGAAAAGGAGGCTGAGGGGTGACCTCATTGCTCTCTACAGGAGGAGAGGTGGAGAAGGGTGGTTCTGATCTCCCTGGTATTCACGATAGCATGCATGGAAATGGTCCAAAGGTGCACCAGGAGGGGTTTAGACTAGGTGTTTGGAAGCATGTCTTTACCAAGAGGGTGGTCAAAAACTGAACAGGCTTCCTAGAGAGGTGGTTGATGCCTGTCAGTTTTGAAGAGTCATTTGGGCAGTGCCTTTAATAACATGCTTTAACTTTTGGTCAGCCCTGAAGTGGTCAGACAGTTGGACTAGGTGATGGCTGTAGGTATCTTCCAAATGAAAATACTGTATTCTATTCTAGATTGACTAATTTTTCACTTCTAAATGTGATCTTTAGGCATGTGTTTAAGCATGCCAAACTTGTGGTTTGCAAAGAGAAAGGGAAGTAGGTTTTGCTGATTTCCTGAGGAAGGTATTGGATAAGAAAGGATTTAGAGTGAGGGCTATGCCTTAGCCTGAAGCCAGAGCCATGTTTTGTTAGTTTCCCTTGGGCCTACACTGTGAAGAGTCAGCAGTGGAACCCTGGCTTTGTACCTGAAAGACAGTAGCTTCTTAGCAACACCCATGCTCTTACCTTCTCATTTCTTCATCCCTCTCCAACCACCTGATGATACGGAAAACATACAGGAAACATTAAAACTAGTGTCTGGGGAGACTGATACTATCTATATGTCTGGGTATATGGGGAGGCAGTGCCACAATATACATTGAGAACATCATGGAACAAGCAAAATGTCTACATAGCAAGCCTGTGGTTTTTCTTAGTGTCAGGACACTTTACTGTGTGTTTTGATGTGTTTATATTTCATTCTGGGAAGTGGATTTACTCCTCACTCTGTGATAACTTACCTGAGTTTTTCAGCTTACTTAATTTGATGGCACTCCAAAGTTTCCTAAGATGAAATCTTATGTTTGAATTGATACAACTGTTACAGATGTTTACACAGAGAAATGGAAAAGTTCTCTGATGGAGAGTTTTTTGAGAGCTCCCTTTCAGTTTTGACTGAAAATGACCAAAAGAGTTCAAATGAATAGAGTTACTATTTTCTGATAATGTCTACAATGTGCTACCTGTTTCCCACAGTTGGAAGCAGGTGTATTTTGGATAGGTCACGACCGACAGGGAGACAGAGACAGCGATAGCTTGCAAGGGATATGGCTGCTGGGATAGCTGGCTGCTTCCTAGTAAAATAATCTAAAGTATCAATATAGTAAATTTGTCAAACAAGAATATGTCATTGTTACTCGTTTTATATGTTGGTACTATGGACAAGCTCACACTATAGTCACATCTGTGTATTTGTATGTATTCACTCACAAAGTCTATACGTGAAACACATCACAGTTTACACCAGGTATAGGGGGAAGGTAAGCACAGAAAGATTTTTAAGTTACTGCCATGTGACAATAAGCCTGTGACATTTCATTTATATTGTTGTCTGCAATAGCTGAAGCTGATATAGAGGATTACATTTTGCATGTCAACTGAGTCAGGGTGAGAGTATCCACTTGGGCAACCTCAGCTCAGCTGATGGGCCGTTAAGCCTGGCACACCCCAAATGACTTGTCCTTCTGTAACTGTGGGAATTGATGTGCCAGGGTCTGGTTCAGGAGGCCCCCATTCCCTTCCTCCCCACCCTAACTGAGACATGGCTGCCTAGCACTCTTGTCTTACCCCTGATGTCAGATAGTATTTGTAGTAGCAACTGTTGGCTTTGTGTCACATGCATGAGTTGCTTTGTGCTTCATGCATGAGTTGCCCTGTGAAGAATAGTTGAAGAAAAGGTCCTGATGAAGGCTGCATCAGTGTATCAAGGCATGTGCTGAGCAGAAGGAATGTGGGGGTGAGGGGAGACTAAAGATCTATGAATGTATAAGGAAGAGGGGAAAAAGAGAGGATAGACCTGTGAATACATCAGTAGCAGAGGTGGGTGCAGGGAGAATGTTATTTGAAGGTGGGGATATCAGAGTTTCAAATTTAAAATGATGGGTAGAAATTACATAGCTAGCTGAGCAGTGTTGTCAAGCTGGGGTGACCACAAAGGTGGGTGGTTGTGGTTGACCCACAAAGGCTGTGGAGGATGCTGCAGTAGGATTTAGGCATGACTTAAACATGTGAAGCCAAGTGCTGCAATCAGAAAAGTTTCTGGTTTAGGACCTTCAGAAATAAGAATCCTGTTTTGTGTTGTAGGACACAGATGCAGAAGCGGTTGTCCAGAAGGAGCTACTTCCTGGAGTGCAAGTAAACACTGAATATTTTGAAGAGGAACAAAAGGTCAAGGAACTGAAAAATGAAGTAGCTGAACTGGATATTGTGCTTATAAATGAACAATTAAAAGAGCTGGAGGTATGGAAAGTACAAAGCCATTCCTCATTGTTAATGTAGGGATACACTTAAAGAATTATGATTCACTTAGGCAAACTAAAATTGTTGCATGTCATCCTATCTGAAGTTTGACTGCATGATTAGTCAGTATGTCTACCAGGTAATCTACAAACACTGCCTTAATGCAAGTATGTCCATGTAAATACCATATTTTGTACTGCTGTTCTAGAGTGCAGTAGTAGATACGCCTATGATTGCACGTGTGTTTCCATGATGTTCACAGGCATGCATGTTCATTTGCGTGTGAATGAACAAGTGTGTATTTGTAGATGTATTGGTATTTAACTGTATTTTGTGTTGAAAGCTGAAAGTGTTTTGAGATCCTCTTTTAATCCTCTCTCTGTGGTGGGCTTGATTGTAGAATTTACAAGCTGAACTGGAAACGTGGAAGGCAAAATCTTTGTGTCATAGTCAGGAAGCTTTTCCCAATGCAACAGGATCAAACAGAGCAGGTCTACAAACCACAGATTCCACAGTGCCCTGCTGGGACAGGCTGCTTCAAGAACTTGATGCTGTTAAGGCAGTGAAGCAACAACACTACTGTTTAATTAACGAGTACCAGAAAAATCTTTCTGCTGCACAGTCCTCAATGAAAAGTCTGTCAACAGAAAAAGATAACATAAAGCTGTAAGTATAGTTGAGGTTTTCTGATAATAGGTTGCAGAACAAATATAGTCCTAGACTGAACTTTGTGCCATGCTTGAATAATGCTCAGCAAGAACACGATGTTTTATCCATGTCATTAATATTGTGTACCCAGAGAAGTCTCATCAGTTTGTAAATTTAAGAACCTTAAACAGAAGCATTTTTTGGGGTTCTCTGCTATTCTTTAGCAACATCAATTCTTATTTTTTAGGCAAAACAAAGAAATGGTTGCTGTGATCAAAACCTATGTAAAAGCCATATTAAAATAATTTAAAAAAATTATGGTAGATGTGAAATATTGATTTTTCTTTAAGGACTTATCAGTTCTATTTTTTCCTGAGTGAAGTATCTCATTACTCTGAAAATTAATCTTATTTGATAGGAAGAATTCTGTGGCAGGAAGTAAGTCTATGGTATCAATTCAGAGGTAACCAATGCACACAAAATATTTAGCACCTTTTATGAATCAGCCTTCAAAACATGGAACTAGCCTATCATTCACAATAATGTATCACAATAATTTTAAAATCTTTAAAATAAATAATGTTAATTTACAGCACAGAGATTCACAAAAATAAAAAATCTAGCTGCTGAATGTATTTTAGGTTGGAATTTCAAAATACTCCTGGAAACAAAAGATGAGTAGATACTCTCTTGAATAAATGGTAATTTTTAAAGTTTTTCTTATAACTAAGCTCTATCTTCATCGTAAATCAGAAATTACCATAAAGTATAAATTCACTTAGAGATGAACAAACACTATTGCTGATTTTTTAAAATTTTCTTTATTGTAACTTTAAAGGGAAGCTACATTCCTTTAGGAAATCACACATTCTGTATTAACAAATACTGCAGTTTTAGAGAAGATAAATTAGAATATAACTTTCTTGCAGAGTTATCTAGAAATAACTAGTGCTGTACAGATAAGCAAGAAATAATGATACTGAAACAGTGGTGAGGAAATTTGTGAGATAACACTGAGAGATACATATGATTAAATGAATAAAGTGAGTGAATAATTTTCTAAAAACTAAAATTATTTTTTTTAAATGTGTCTATTCCATGTTTTAGGAGTTGTTTTGTTATTCTTAAACACTACTCATATTTTTGGCAGGGGCCCTATGAACAACACAGTTCTTCTGGAGAAAATTAAGGCATGCATAGGGTCCTTAAAAAAAGAAAGAGATGTCTTAAACCAGTTGAAGACTCAGCAAGAAAGTTTATCTCAGCATTTAACATGCATGGATAAAGTGTTAACTGAAAGCCAAATGAGGCAACTGGAACAATGGTGGCAACACATGGAACAAACAGTGCAAAAGAAACATGATCAAGTTGTAGCAGAAATCGATGAATTTAACCTGCTTATGGATAAAGCACGTGATATTCAGAGGCTGATACAAGAACAGTATGTACAAGCAGAGTTACATTCCTCAGCTGCAGGAAAAGCCAATTACCCTGTACTTTGGACTACAGAGCTACAGGACATTAAACATGGTCTTTCTCTATTAAAAAGAAGGATTGAACTTCAGATGAAAAGAATTTGGAGTGATCAAGAGAAGGTAGCTTTGGAGAACTCTGTACATGATTTGCAGAGCAAATTGGAAGCATTATCAGGACAACAAACTCTTCGAGAGGATGTTCAGGTCACTGGTCCTGCTCTCATAAAAAATGAAATTATGAAGAAGCTGAAAGAAAATATTTCATGGGTCAAAGATTCACTGTCCTCTCTTGATCAAAAAGCAGCACTTTTTCCCAGTGATGTTAAATCACAAATCAGAAGTTGTCAGCTTCTGATCACAGAAGTTCAAAACAGAGAACCTGTGATTCTATCACTGAATTATGGGCTCCAGCACATCATTCCCAGCTTAAAGCCAGAGGAGAGCTCTGATATGACCTTCCTTGTACAAACATTGCAGAATTCATACAAGGCTCTTGTTTTAAAATCAGCTCAAAGATTACAGCACCTAGAGCTCCAGCTGGAGGAGAGGCAAAAACTGATTGCAGAAATAGAAAAGGTTCACTGTCAGCTTCGCAATGCTGAGATTCTTGCCAGGCCTGACATGAACCAAAGCAGCACGTGGTCAGAGTTAATCAATCAACAAGCCATTTTAAAGGAGATTTTAAAGGATATACAGGAAATAGAAGGGCTGATCTCATCCCACTGTACAGAAAGCCAGATCACAGCTGGGGAACTGAGCCTGTCTGAACAACTATTTTTGATTGATCAGTTAAGAAGTCTGAAGAACAGAGCAAGGAAGACACAGGGGCAAATTCAGAGTAAGCTTCATGAAGTAGAAAGAAAGATAGTTGTCTACAAAGAGTTTGCTGAAGGAGTAATTTTACTGCAGAGAGATCTTAATGATCTACATTCTGGTGAAATTAACCTGGAAGAAGATGAATTATTAGGTGCCCAGGTGGAAGTGAAGGATAAATGCAAGGCACTTCAAGAAAAAGCAATAGCATTTCAATCCAATTTGTCACAAATAATGAAGTACAAAGAGATCTTTGAATGTGTAGGCCTAAAATGGGACTCACTGCAGCTGGATGAATTGCAAACTAATTTTTTTAAAATTAAAAATAAAATTAAAGGGAAGATAATACATTTTGATAATGTTGTTAGGGAATATGATAAGGTTCAAGCACTGCTAAATGAAATCCAGACTGTGATATCCACTGTAAGAAAAGAAGCTAACATGCTAAATGATAGCTCTAGCTCTTCTGCTGAGGATCTTATATCTGCCCTGATTCTGTTTCAGACAGTTCATCAAATACTGTACTTAATCCAGGAGGCAACAAATCAATTAAACAAAAATGAGGTCTTTGATACACCATTCAAAGAATCTAAGAGGAAAGAAATAAAGAACCTGGAGAAGGATGTTGAGGAATTGAATCGGCTTCTTAAAAACTTGGTCTCTGGTCTCCAGGTTGTAAGCAAGGAAGGTAGTCAGAATGAATCAGAACATCTATCCCACATCATAAAGTATATTCAATCAGAACTCCAGCAGCCACTTCTGGTAGATATAAAAACAATGCAGTATGAAAAAATACGATGGGAAGCAATTCAGGATATGATCCAAACAAAATTTTCTGCTATTAAATGTGTAATGGAAAAAGAAAGGGAAAAACCAGAAGAAAAATCTATTGCTGCTGGTACAGATGCAAAATTAGAGACACTGCAAGATCATGGAATACAGCTGAAGACAGGCATTGCTGCCCGTGTTGTAAGTATATTCAATAAAAGTAAGGTATGGGTTTATGTCTTTTCACAATAATCAGATGATCTGTGGGTGACTAGCATCTTCATGACTTATATCCTTCTTTTATTCTAATAACTGAATTGGGTCATGATCATCTCTGCGTTGGGGGATATGATAGGAATCATGATAAGAAAGTAAGGATACAGCAAATATGTTTTTTTTCAGTTTGGTTATAACCAAGCAGTGGGGATTTGCATAAAAGAAAAGGGAAGGAAGGAAAAGGTTGTGTTGAAATTGAGCTGAAGAGAGACTGGGTGCAATTTTTGTGGGACTATTCTTGGGACTGATTTTATGTACCATTTTCAACTGTGACAGTGATAAAAAATCCCAGAAGTTCCTGGTTTATACTGTGAAGAAAAAGCCTGTAAGTTGGTAATGATCAAGGAGAGTAAAGCACAGGTCAAACCAATGGGATCAGGGCTCAGGAAGAGTGAGGAAAGGAATGGCAACCAGGATCCAGGGCTTCAATTACAAGTATATAAGGCATTGATAAAGGATTGTTGGAGGTTTGACCCGATTCTTGATGCCTTTGTCAGGTGAAGTCCACTTAAAAAAGAGCAGATGGTGTTAGAGGGATGAGGAGTGTTGAGAGCAGATAATAAAACTGAATTTGCTCAAGCTGGTAAACTGGGAACAAATGGTAAATCTAGCTGAGATATAACAAAGCAGGGGGTAGGCTTAATGGATTGAAAAGGACTGCTTAAGCTAAAGAGAAGTGTTAATACAAAGAAAAAGTGTTAGTGATAAATTTATGTTGGAAACCAAAAGAGTGGTAACTTTCATAGCAGAGAGGTTCTGGAATTGTGTTGTGGTCAAGAAGACCTGTGCCTTGACTGCCCAAGAGACTGATGGGTACAAACAAGGAAATATAAGGTAGTAGCTAATAACAGGGAGGGGAACTCAGTGTCCCTGATGGACTTACGGTCCTGCTGCCAGATTTCCTGGTTTGCTGTGCTATATCTTCGCTGCTTGGGTATTGTGTGGAAAGCACAATGCCAAAATTTCTCTGCCATGTGGGAATCCAGTAGCTGGCGAAGTCACACATCACACATTATTCTGTGTATAAATATATACAAGAAGAGGCTTTAGCTTGAAGCGGTTCGGCAAGTCATAGCAGAGATATCCCCTCCGTAAACAAATACAGCATCAGTGTTTGGCCTTTCCTTGTCTGAACAAATAATAAGATTGTATACTGCCATGTCCATAAGGGATCTTGTGGCTCTTGTGTTCTGCCATCCTTCTCTATTGACTTTTCTACTATTGACCTGTTCCTATGGTTGAGGGCAATCCGTCCATAGTTACAGCACTGCTCTATGACTGCCTACGGAGTATAGTCACTTCCTCAGGCCAGTTAGGGGGAATATTGGTCTCAGAGACAGCCAAGTGTGAAAATCTGAGAAGACCATCTGGTATCCAGAGGAGCACAGTAGGTTTTTTTGATTGTTCCTGTGTCTTTTTAACATTTTCAGAGTACCCTGGAGGAGGCATGTAAGACTGGTGAGCTTTATACCACGGCTGTTCAAAGAGCTGCCAGGTTGCTTGAGGACTACAAAACTCAAGTCCAGTCTGGCGCACCAGAGCTCAGTAGCTCAGAGGAGGGCTATCAGACCCCACAATGGGAACCAGAAGTGTTCAACTCTGCAAAGGCTAATATAGAAAACCTGTACTCCAAGCTGAAAAACCTAGTGAAACCAGAAGACAAAACATATCTGGAAAATACTTTAACAGAACTAATCGACAAGAGTTTGTCATTAAGGAATAAAGCTCACAGAAAGGAAGCTGATGAACAGAGGTAGGTTTTAGAGATCTTAATGTTCCTTATTATAAGATATTCGACTGATAATAAATGCAGTGTTGGTTTTATGGTAATTTAGCAGAAAGAACTTTAAGCATTTCTGTTGTTCCAAGGTGTGATTGGAAGGAAAATTACTAGACAATAATTACATTGATACTAATTTACAATGCAATCATTTTTAGCATATTCAAAAAAGTATCTATGGGGTATGACTAAGGGTCATAGGGTACCACAATCAGAAGAAAGCATATTTCCGCTGTCTCTAATTCGGTGCTGGTGCAGGATAGAACAATCTTCAGAGGTGCCCAGGGACCCTAATGCATGTCTTCCATAGACTATTCTGATGACTTAAGGAAGTAAAAAGACCAAACAAGATGCAGGCCATAGTTTCCTTCCTTCAAATATAGGTATGGAAGAGATCTGAAGGTGTATACCTTCAGATGTACCTCCACGTGTAAACACAGAAAAAGTTTGGGAGATAGTGTAAAAGGTCCTGCACCTGCGTCAGGGCACTCCCAAGCACAGATAAAGACTGGGCAGATAATGGATTGAGAGCAGCCCTGAGAAGAAAGACTTAGGGGTGTTGATTGACAAGAAGCTCAGCATGACCCGACAATGTGCACTTGCAGCCTAGAAAGCCAGCTGTATACCGGGCTACATCAAAAGAAATGTGGCCAGAAGGTTGATGGAGGCCATTCTCCCCTCCTCTCTTACCCCGCCTGGAGTACTGTATCCAACATAAGAAGGGCCTGTAATGGCTTTAAACTGAAACAGGGTAGATTTAGATTACATATTGTGAAGAAATTCTTTACTGTGAGGGTTTTTTGACACTGGCACAGGTTGTCCAAAGAAGTTGTGGATGCCCCATCCCTTGCAGTGTTCAAGGCCAGGTTGGGTGAGGCTTTGAGCAATCTAGTCTAGCAGAAGGTGTCTCTGCCCATGGCAGGGGGTTGGAACTAGCTGGCCTTTAAGGTCTTTTCTAACTCAAACCATTCAATCTACGTTTCTTAAATAGTGTGCTCATGATCCAGTGCTCCTGGTTCTGTTGAGCATAACCTTCAAATCTCCTTTTATAATAAAAGAATTGGATGACTTTAAAGGCTTTATTAATAGCAAAGAGATGGCAAGATATAGAAATAAAAAACTGGAATTGTACAGTCCCCACACATTGCAGGGACAAATAGACTGTGTGGAATATGTGAATGTGTGGGAACTAACTTTTGGTAATGCCTGGGGAGGACGGAGACTTAGATCATGGCATACAATTCTCTTGAGTAGCTCCATGTCTGATATATGGATATACATACCTGCTTTTCTTTACCTCTGGGGCACTTAGGCCTCTTCACCTAATAACAATGCTCCAGTGCCCTAAGAACAAGTGCCAATTGAAGACAATTTCTAAAATAGTAAGGACTACCAGCTCAGAAGATTTTCTTTTTAATTCTAGTGAGCATTATGGTTGGAGAGAGCAACCACAACAAATTTAATTGGTCTGTTGTTTCCTACAGGTATTTAGAAAAATACAAAAGCTACATAAAAACCAAAGATAAAGTGTGTGATAATCTTAACAGACTGGAAAAGATGCTTAGACAGTCTTTGTCCCAGTCACCGATGTCTTATAAAGAAGCTTTGGACCACTTAGAAGAAAGCAAGGTAAAAATGGCTCTCAAGAACTGAAAAATCTCATGCAAAACTGTTATGCAGTTATGAACACTTCATCGTAGTGTTCCATCTTAGTAGAAAGAAGTGAAATTCTTTGACCTGTATTTCTGTATGTATAAATCCACATGATACTTTTATATGCCTGTAGGAAGACTGGATTATAATAGGCCATGTCAAATGAATACATCTTACTACTGTAGAAATCAAACATTATCAGTGCCTATGGTAGTGCTGCATTTCTGTTCTGATTCCTTGTTGCTTCTTTGCAGCACCTGGACTGATCAGTTTTCTAACATTGCTGTTGTTTTCTCTCAGAAGTGGAAATAAGATATTTTCCAGTTTCCTGCGAAGTTTCCCCTTGCTGCTTCCCCATCAAGCCACTGCTATAAGCAGCTTCTTGGCTGCCTTCTCTTTTACTACTCCTCGTATTGCAAGCTTATCATTTTTTGTATCTGTAACTTGTGCTCATTTCTCTTCCCTTCCAAATAACAACAAAGAAGTAAGAACAATGTAATTGCCAGGGTGCACTGTTCTTCTGTTTGCTTTGTTTTATTTACCCCATCTTTCTCCACATTCTTAGCAAACAGAATTCTTGTATTACAACCATATTTAACCAGCTCAGGGGAGTGACTGCCATTTTATTTGAGGATCCTAATCATGTTACTGAATGCTTCATTAACACTTCTGACTGCATTATTTTGTTGATTTATTGGTTTATTTTCCTATAAGATTTTAGTCTCCAACATTGAGTCGGCTGAAGATGATCTTGTGAAGCTGAGGCAGGTCTCTGGAGAGCTGATGAGATTATGCAGGAGAAGTGACAGGGCCCTGGGCAGGATGGTGACAGCACTGTGGGAAAATTGGCTGGGTTTGCTTGAGGTGGCAAAAGGGCTGGAAATAAACTGTGAAGAACTAAAGCAGGAATGGAAATTCATCAGTGAAGAGGTGAGTTGCTCAACAGACTGTAAATTTTGGGGAATGTGGTAGGGATGAGGCTGAGGTTAGTGCAGAACATCATTTCTTTCCCACTGATCAGCCACTTATCCCCAGCCTTTCTTGAACTTAGGTACAGAAATGATGGGGATATTTACAGCATGAATTCTCTAGACCCGGAGCTACTCTCTGGGGGATTATGTGCTTTTTTAGAGCAAACCCAAATGTTTTGTCACACTAAAGAGAGTCAAGCTCTCTGGCTATGTAATTCCCAGTAGTTAGTCGTGTGTCTGAGTAAATGAATAATGTTGCTTAAGGTGATAGAATAAAAGAGCACTTTACCTCATGCTTTGACATGCTGTTTACTTAGCTGGAACGAGAAACAATAATTCTCGATAAGCTCCAGGAAGAACAGCCAGAAGGTCTTAAAGAGAAAGAAAAGGCCACCAGAGAGGAACTGGTAGAATTACTAGATTTTGTGAACTCATTTGAGGAAAATATCGACCAGCAACAGCTCCTCTTACTCCTACTTCTTCACCGAATAAGAAACATCCTGAATACATCTGAAAATACTGAGGCAGAAGCTGCCCTTCCTGCTTTATGTGAGATAAAGGCAATGCAAGATCGCTGTAAAAAGTAAGTAGTGTGAAATTTCTCTTGAACATGGACATAGGACGACTTAGAAGCACAGTGTTTTATTGGTTGTACACATAAAAAGATAGAGAATTCTCTCCAGGGTCAGACTAATGCTCCATCTAACCCATCTGCTATCTCCCTCATGGGCACTGGGATATATTAGTTAGAGGTGATATGACCATATCATGTGTGGGCTGCAATTTATCTTTAAATGTAGTAGGAATCAGAAGGGATAATTACCAATTCTTGAGGTTCCAGGCTCTTGTGAACTTGAATGAGGTTTGTGGGTCTTCCAGTCTTATGAAAATGAGACCTTGTGCTTTTTCAACACTTCAACTTTTGCCTTATTGAGTTCTATTGTTTGAAATTTGCCTCAAATATTTAATGTTTTTTATTTATTTTTTTCAAATCTGTGATTGTACTTGCCCTCTCTGTGCCTTTTTTTTTTTTACATGGAAATCTTTGTGATATCTTCTGTTCTTCCAACATCTTGAGACTCTGAGAACCTGAGCTGTTTGCAGTTTAAATATGCATGCTGTTTGATTTGGTCTACCAGACATACTTTGCTTAGCAATATCTGAAGTCTCATTTTTGAAGAAAATGACACAATAAAGGCCAGAATCTCAGAGATTTGTTACAGAAAATAATTCTAAAATAGAGTCTAACAATGTATTCTTGCTGGAAAACTTTCATAGGCTGTATGAAAAGATCCAGGACCATAAGGATTCTGTACAAGCTGAGATTCAACAGAGGAACAAGTTTGCTGAAGAAATAAGTGCTGTGACACATGCATTACAGAATGCTGCTGTGTTACTACAAGGTGCTTCTGGAAAGCCAGGACAGTTGGAGGTTGGTGAAGGCTCTGTTATTGTGCGTGAACATTCAGAATATGTTCTCTTTCATGCTGGGGCTTAGACTTGCTCCAAGTAAAATTAGTGGCAAAGTATATACATAGGCATATGCACATTATCATAGAATCATAGCATCGTTAGGGTTGGAAAGGACCTTAAGGTCATCTAGTTCCAACCCCTTGCCATGGACAGAGAACCTCACATTAGACCATGTCATCCAAGGGTATGTCCAACCTGGACTTGACTTAAAGAAAATGAATCTGACTCAGCAGACCATGGTTGACCCTGCCATGTCCACAGCCAGATGCATGCCTTTTAGGAAGGACTGCTTAGTGTATGTCCTGTCCCCCTTCCCCATCTGGTACCTAGTCAGGGCCACTTCAGATGCTCTGGATTTATATCCCACATCAGGGGTTAACTTGGTAAATGGTTCTTAGGAATCAAATTGTGATCAAGACAACAGTATCCACCAGCAGCAGCCAGCACTCTGCAGCAACTAGTCTATACGTTTATGTCATTTAACTATTTTTCCATTGTCCTTTGTATTATTTACTTTATGAAATTCTGTTATTCGTAACAGTTTATTTATTATTTTAATTGTATTTATTTCAAACGAGTTTAACTGTGTTTGTATTACTGTCTTAATTATTTAATCTTGATTAAAAATATTTTTAATTCTGTTTGAGTTATCTTTTAACAGTAGAACTTCATAATTTATTTATTCTAACCTACTAAGGTCTATTACAAATTTGGGCTCTCTGCTGAGTTTTGTATAAAAACTAGTTGCAGGTTCCCACCATGTATTTTCTTTAGAAGATGAATGCTTGAGGCTGGTAAAGGACTAGGAAAAGTACAGAAGCTGAAGACCGTAGTGGCAGATATGAGCATTATTATAGGGGTTAGCATGAGAGAGACATGTTAACTACATTTGAGAACACATGAGCCAGCATCACTGGTGAAACCTTGTCAATTTGTCTGAAAGGGTTGATTTTTGATTGAAAATTATCTAGAATTAGAATTGGGTCTACTCTTTTACTGAATTCTTTGTATCCAAGGGGAGATGTTAATCACTGCAAGTGCTTGATGCCTCATCTTTACCCTCGCATCCAAACTGTGCTACTCTGAGCACCTAAAACTCACCCAAAAGTGAGTTTAGACCTTGTTCCTGTTCCTTATGTCAATTGGCACAAACAAATGTTAGCAGCAGTCCTGTTAAATGATTTCTTTGTAGCAGTAGAAAATTCAGCTGAAAGGATTGAAAATTTCCTTAATTTTAACTAATATAAACACCAGTAAGCCAAAATCTGCATTACAGTTTCATCCCTTCTTCTTAAAGAAAACCTGTTTTCTATAAAATCTATAACATTACTTGGTACTCCATTGCATTTTTTAAATGGAAATGCCTATTTCTCTTCCAGATGACAAATCTAAGTTAGTCAGGTGATGAAGTTTTAACTCGCCAACATAGATGAGTGTGCAAATGGAAGGTAATACCATCTAGTCCCCTAGAAGAAAGATTGGGACAGTTTTGACAAGCATATGCTTTCCAGCTAAATAGTCCTTAAAATGTGAACATGCATTTATATACAGAAACCAGTTTGCAGACAAATGTTTTGTTTTGGAGACTAATGTTGTATCTGATTCTTTCAAATTCAAGTCAGGGAATCTATAAACCCCTGTAAATACTGGCACAATCTTAACTGGGTCATTTGACAACAGCAGCCCTCTCTATGGTAGAATGAGGCACGTGGCTATTTCATGGTTTTGAGTTTTCTAGTATCAGACCCAGTTGTCATGGGATGATAGAAAATAAATCAGTCTCAGACTCCTACATATTTCTTCTTGCATTGTATTTGTGTGAGGGAAATGATTTCCAAGCTAACACTAGGAGTTAATGGGTTACTATTACCCCTGATTGAAAAAGCAAAGGATTTAATTTTAATGTCTTTCATTGCCTTTCATTGGTAGGAGCTTTGGATCATTTTCCCCAATAACTTGACTTAAAATTTGAGTTTCTTAAATAGCTGAACAGTGGGAAAAGGAACCATAAAGCAAACGAACAAAACTTTTCAACTTGAAATTCTAGAAAACCTTCAAAACAAATCAGTTTCTTCTTTCTTTCTGCAAGAGGACTTAGATCAGATTTAATTTCTAGGCCACAGGTCTAGAAACAGTTGTTCAGGTTTCTTCTCATAAAACCTGCATTCTTTGTGCAGAACTGGAAACTACTGTTTTGAAAGGAACCTGCTGTGCTGCTCTGCGTAATTGCCTGAAAGAAGACACTTCAGCTTGAAACCTGTTGCTTTTTGAGGCCTTTGTGTTGTTTATAATAATGAAGGAATAAATGTTGGCTATTAAATGTCTTTCAAAGAGAAAATGCACTTTTGGCAAAAGGGAGAGCACAGAGGTTAACATTTAATCATAGGAGCGCTTCAAATATTACATTACTATACCTCAATAAGCATAAGTGTGTCAGTTGCTTGACCTGGAGCACTATCAAGTTTAATTAATTCTTACAGATTGAAAAGCGTCATTTGGTTAAATGAGTATTTCTCAAAGTTAATCTGCCTGCAGAGGTAATCAAATGAGGCTTGATATAAAGCTCCCAGCTTTTCCAGACCATAGTCATGGTAGGAAATATAAAACACAATATGTATGTGTGTGTGTATATATATATATATATGTACATATGAATATGCACTCGGTGTAAACTGGATAAAATTGCTGAATTATTCTTAATTTTGTAGGAGATTCAGAATGTGATTGGTAAAGAAAGTCAAACTCTAAAGGACATCATGGAGAAACTCCGGATCAAATATTCTGAGTTGCATACAATAATTCCTGCAGAGATCGAAACGCAGTTGGAGGACTGCAAGAAAGTATTGCAAGACCTAGAAGACAAGGTAACTGTTGATGTATTTTTCATGTTTACGTTTTTGTAATGTATAAATAAGTATAGTAGTATTTGATGAAAGTTGTAACTGTAAATTTCAACTTGAAATATTGATTATATTCATTTGCACTTTTCCTCTCTGTGGAAGTGAATGCATGAGGAAAGATAACTCACATTAACTGTCTTCTTTACAGAATGACTTTACAGCAAGCAGTGTGAATATAAGATTCTTCTTTTCCATTAAAAAAGGGCATGGCAGACCCACTACGAGTAAAGTCTTGGATATGATACGGATGCTGTCTTGAATCCAGTCTGGTTCTTAAACTGAACAAGTAGTTAAGAGTTGATTGGGAAGGTTGTATAGCTTAACTGAGAAGATATTTTCTAAACTGAGTTAAAAGAGGACTTTGAAAACAGTTGTTTTTTTTTTTTATTGAATTTGCACGTGGTAGGGTGTCATGGCATTCTTGATACCACCCCTTGGGACATGGTTGTATTCCTTTAAAAGCAGACAGGGAATTTAAATAACTAACTGACAGAGCATCAGCTTTTGGCAGTGTTTTCTATTTAGGGGGGATATAAGCAATTAACTGGAAACAAAATTAAAGGAAAATGGAGTCATACTGTAAGTTGGTGTAAAATTTTAGCCTGGTATAATTATGGTCATTTTTATTTATTTGTGTTACTTTTAAAAAGAAAAAAACCCTTTACTTCTCTTATTTCAGGAACAATAAGTTTAGTGCTAATTTTAAAGGCTAAATCTCAGTTAATTTGATGACATCTGAAAGTTTAATAAAACAATTTTGAAGTCCACTTACTTGTTAGTATCTATGAGATTATTCATTCATTTTATTTTGTATTAAGTATTTAGAGACTTACTCATTACAGCTTATTAGTTTTCATTTAGTTAACTTTGTAGCATCTATTTCAAAAGCAACCAGGCTTTTCAGAGCCAACAACTGGGTAGGAGAGAGGAGAAGAAGGGAAATAATACAGTATTTATGCTTTGGGTTTGTTGGGGCTTTTTGTTGTTGCTTGCTGAGATAAAAGATTATCCCAATGTACACATTACACGTCAGAGTGAAAGAACTGATACTGGGAACTAGATAACATTTTCTTTTCACATTTAGGTAGTGGAAAACAATGTAAATTATCTTGGAAATTTTCAAAATGCGTTTAGGAAACAAAATAAATCCTGGTGGAACTGGAGGTCAGTTTACTTACATACTAAGAAATACCAGCATGTGTTAACTTGAATTGACTTCTCATATTTTGCTGGCATTCTGCCTCCTTCTAAACCTGCTAACCTAAAGATGAAAATAAATTGTAATGTTGATGCCATGCATTTTATGTGGAAAAAAAAAAAAAATTATCCCAGATTTATCACGGTAAGAACTCTTGAAATTAAAATCCTACCCCACTGATGACGAGAGCATTGACAGATGCAGCAGTTTTTCTGAGGAAACATACGAAGTCAGTGCTTGGTCTGCTTTCTCATTTCCAGCTGTTGTATCACTCCTACACAGTCCTCTTCTATTTTGGAAACTAGCACTACAAACATCATTATTTTTTCATGTTTCGTGTGCTCTAGGGTAGTAGTAATGGTCAAGTGTTTGGTGATTACAGCCTTGAGTTCCTTCTTCTAAAGAGTCTTAGGTGCTAAGTACAGCTTGGACATCATAGCTTTTCTTATATAAGCATGAGTATTTGAGAGGAGCACTGTAGTTCTTTCTGGTATATATTCATTCTGATAATATAATTTTATCAATGCAACATTTTGCAATCGGGATGATTATATTGGTCTGACACTACATGCTGGAATCCATAAATAATAAATACTTTAAATAAAATTAAGAAATAAAACAGATAAATAATTTATTAACTTAGTAATAATTATTAATTCCTCTTCCCAAAAAAAGGATATAATGTATAGGGAGCTTCAGAACAGAATAACTACTAAACTAGACATCTTTGCATCAGTGCAACATAAAGCTGTTCAATGTGCATATGCCCCAAAAATCCTAGGGCTTAAGCACACACAGAATTTACCATGATTTAACAATTTCATGGGGCTTGGCTGACCCTAAGAGCTAGTGGGGTTTAGTAAGAGAAGATGAAACTCTGGGCCAAGAGCAAGAACTTTCTCACTCCGTGCACTTCATCTAGTCCACAGTAACCTGGTGCCTAGTAACTGTGTCGCTCAGTTCTGTGCTCAGGCAATTACTCAGCTTCAGCTTACTTGAGAGTTTCTCTCTTTACATAAAAAATCAGGCCCTTCAGTGTACTGATTTTTCATTCCTGTGGAGTTCTGCAGACTAAAATTAATTTCCACATACTTTTGGGGGCTCGGAGCCTTTTATTTTGTTGCTAAATCTCTAAATGTTTATTTAGAAATTTGTAATACATTGATGCACTTCTATATTCCCGCATTTGTTACATGGAAGTAATAGCTGTCAGCTGAGACATAGAGGTGTCAGTCTAGGCTTCTTACAGTATGAATCTAAATGTGACCCTTTCCACAATGCAGCATGATTAGTCTCTGTTACAGATTAGTGTAAAAGGGGCAGCTAAGCAACCAGGGAGCTGCAGTGTCTTATTGTTAGTTTCTTCAGGGATTGTATTTCTTGAACAGTTACTTTTGAGTGAGAGGAAATTACTGAACAACATGTAAATGTTGAACTTGCTCACATTTATGCTTCTTCCTGCAAATGTATTTCCATTCCTGAGGTTTTAAGTGACTCGTCAAGAGAAACATAAGAAGAATATGAATAATTTTGGTGAGGAGGTGCTGAGAAACATGCAAACCTTTATAATCTTCCCTGTCGTTTTCTCTTTACAGGTGAGCTTTGAAATCTTGCAGAGCTCTCCTCAGAATGTGCTGAAAAGAAAAGCAGAAACTATTAACAATGGCCTTCAAGCTATTGAAAAGATGTTGCAACAGAAGAATGAAAACATTGCAAAAGCCAAAGAAGTTCAGAAGGTAATCTTGCAGAAAAAAAAACCCAAAACAACAACAATAAAAAAACCCCTCTGTGATTGTTGAAAGATTTTTGGTTGTTTCTACAGAGCCTGATCTAGCAGGAGCATAAAATGGCCCTACATTCATTTTACATCTGTAAAAGGAGAGGTACAAGAAAGCATTTAGCTGGTGAATATTTACCAGTTCTTTCTCATAGTAAAATACGTCATTTTTTTCAGCTGTGAATCACACCAGTAGATGCAGCATGTTCTGTTCTCATCATATCAGTTCCAAAATCTTTAATTCTTTATGCCCCACATGAAGAACAAATAACTCTGCTCTTATCTTGGAGTCTAACCTTTTATTTCATTTCCCTTCTCTGTCCATGCAGCAAATCTGGGATATGCTGGACCTTTGGCATTACAAACTCAATGAACTGGATGCAGAAGTGCATGATATAGTAGAGCAAAATTCCTGCCATGCACAAGAGTTGATGGATATCTTAGTGTCCCCCCTTCAGCAGTACCAACAGGTCTCACAACTTGCAGAGCGCAGAACTGCCATTTTGAACAAGGTAGATGCAAATGTAAAAGTATAAGGAAAAAAACCCCCACATCTTAGAAAAATCTTAAATAAAGTATTTTCATAAAATACCATCCAAAGCTGTCAAATGAGTCAAAAAGCTCAAAAGCCTGCTGCAGGTGCATCATCTTATGGTGGCTCAGTTTCTGGACTCGCAAACATCACATTCAGCTGCAATCCCAAAAAACCAGATACGCACCATGGCTAATGTGGGTTAGCATGGGAAGTTCATGCCCCTGGGTGGGTGACAGGAGGGTTCTCTATGACTGTGCTAATGCGCTATCTGTTAAATTAACATTGCAACGATGCCTCCAATAATTTGCTTGATTAGAGGAAATAGCCCGAAATCATGAAACTCTTTCAGAAAAATTACGATCTTTATTTCATCATACTATAAACTGAGCTTCATGAAAACACATTGTTTTCTTTTAGTCTTGTCCGTAGATGCATTTATCCTATGCAGTGAATAAAAGTGCATTTTTCTTCTTTGTAAAATCTTGTCATTTATGCTTCTTTGTAAAATTTCTAGGCTGCCAACAAGATGGAAGAATACAATGAACTCCTGAAAAATGTGAAAGTTTGGATAGAAAACACCAACTGCTTGCTAAGAGCAGATGCTCAAAATGACTCTGCTAAAAGCTTATGCAAACATACTAGTGATCTTCAGGTAAGTGTTGATGCAGATACATGGTCTTATTAGAACAGGTTGCTCTGCAGAAATACAGGTTTGCATTCTTAAGTCTTACTGACGTAAATAATTTACCATTTTCAGTAAAGCCTTTAAGTGAAAAAGGGAGAGAGACACTCATGAAATATAGATTGATACTTTTTGGTGTTGGACATACCTGTCTTGTGAATGTGCTGAAATATGTGATTGTCTTCTGTTATCCTACTGCGTGGCTATAATTGGTTTTGACTGCCTGAATATACATGGTTCTTTTTTCTATAGTGTGCATGTAATCCAAAAAGGGTAAAGTGGTATTTAATGTCTGTGTGTTAGATGGAAACTTCGAAGTAAACTGTGGTTTGGAAGGCCATTTTCTCTATATTTTGAAGGGAGTCCTGTCTAATAATTTCATGAATCAAATGTTTGTAATGTTTACAGGGAAGATCAGGGCTAAGCAAGTGCCAAGATGATTTCTGGAAATTCCAGATTTTGAAATCTAATTTTTTATACATCCACTCCTTGGCTTATGCCAAGGGACAGGTGGTGCTCTGAACACAGGTTTTCATACTAAAGCTAGTAAGAATTCCTTACAAAAATTAGCTGACTGCTCTGGGCTGATATGTTACAGAGCATGTAGCCACATTCAGGAGATTTTGATTTCTAAAATCTGTGAACATTTTTGTGACAAAATTTTATTGTCCCCTGTGTTTGTGAATTTTGTGTTCTGAGCTGGGAAACTAGTGGATTTGAAAATGCACACAACGTTTGCATTAGAGTTGAAGTATGCATTCAGTCCTTTCCTTCATATGCCACAGAGATAAGTGGATCATATGCATTTCTTGCAACCCTCACTTGTTCTTCGTGAAGACATTTACTATAATTAATCCAAAAGCTCATCCAGTTAGCTGCAGATGGGAAGAATCTTCCCATCATGAACAACTGGCCAGGTACCTTCTGGAGCATCTTAATACATCTGTTGTCTGCAGGCTGGTGTACAGAAAACCTTTTTCAGATGTCTGGCTGACATGTCTTGCTCACATACTTGGGGTCAGCCTGACCATTGCAAAGGAGCTGGAGAGGAATCTTCTTCAGGATCTCATACTTTTTTGGTAGCGGGTCCTCTGTCTGAGTTCATCTTCCTCTTTATACCTTTTGTCATGCTCACGTAGACTTATTTTATCTGATTCCCTTAAAATCATGCCACATCTCTCATTTTTGTGCCTGCAGAATGCAGCAGTTCAGTTCCCTTAGGAGTGAAGTGTTTTGGTCTGAACTAAGCTTTTGGGAATATATGCAGTGGTCAATGACATATAGGAAATTAAAACTGATTCATTCTGGTACTAACCTCTGTGAAACTTTCATGTTCACCATTGATGATTCAAAGTAAGCTCTTATTTTGTCTCCAGATGGCTTTGGAAGACTCAGAGCAAAAGCAAAATCTTCTACGCAGTGTTTACTTGGAGCTGGAGGAGCTAACACCAGTCTTTGAAACAGACAGTGTAATGCAGCAGCTAAATGAAATAGATGAGCAAGTAGCAACTTTACAGCATGAGATAGCAGAGATTCTTCCACAGATCCAGCATGTGGCTGACGTAAGTGCCTTTTATCAGGTGCTTCATCATATGTTATGCAATACAGATTATATTGTCTTCACAGGTAAAAAGGTGTGCTGGTGTATGTATAACAAGTGAGGAAATAAATTGTTTGGAAACAAACCATCTCAGAAGGTGTTTGATACCTAATTAAGCTGCAAAGTTCAGGAGTATTAATGAAACTTCTTGTTTAGGAGGAGAAATGCAAGGCTGGTTGACTGGGAAATTAAAAGGACTTACCTTGCCAGAGGGTAGGGTTCCTGTTCAGAGGCACCTGGACTCACACCATGGCTAGAGAAGTTGATGAAGTTCAACAGAGACAAATGCAAAGTGTGACACCCCGGATAGGACATGTCCAAACAAAGGCCAGGGGGTGAACCAGCTGGAAAGCAGCTCTGCTGAAGAATTGTGGTCCTGGTGGACATGTTGATCATGGCATAGTAGCATGGCCTTGCAACAAGACCATCAGCGTCCTGGGCTGCCTGAGAGATCATATATGGGTACTGTGCCCAGTTTTAGGTTTCCCAGTGGAAGACAAACATTCCTGAAGTGAGTTGAGGAAGGCTTTGAAGGTGGTTGTGGGGGCTGTAGCATGGCATGTAGGAGGAAAGGCTCAGAAACTGGGGTCAGTTCAGTATGGAGAAGAGACAGCTGGGGGTGGGTATTACTGCTGTCTACTACTACATAATACTTTTCTTAGGGTCTGCAGAGAGAAGAGGAGCAGTAACAGACTGAAACGATAACAGAGGAAATACCATCTACATATTAAAAATGACTCTTTTTTGTTTGTTTGTTTGTTTGTTTCAGTGGGATTGTTTAAAAACTAGATCAGTGGCCCAAAGGGGTAGGTTTAAGTCCCCATCCTAGGAGATATGTAACTATCAAAAGGATCATGCCCCAGACAATGTGCTCTGATGGGCACCAGAGATCTTTCAAGGTCCCTTCCAACCTAATTTATTCTGTGACTCCATGAGAGTTCACAGCAGCTGAACTTTATGTGGATAAATTTTCGATGTGACATAATACTCTTCCAACAGAAAGTTGCAAACGTGTATTTAGACAGTTTTATATGCTGATAACTGTCACCACTGCGGAAATGTCTTGTCACTGCTGCTAATTTATATTGTGACTTTTCAAGGATATTTCAGTTCTGTATTCAGGGTTTAAAACAGACCAGGTAACCTTAGAAATTTAATTCATTTCGAAGTTAATTATGATACATAATCTACAATAATTAACCTTTTGTTTGGTAGCATCCATTAACATATCCTGCATACACTGCACTTGTTTTTCAGTATTTCTTTTTAAATGTAAGTGAAAGGCAGAAATGCAAGCTGGCTTATACTTGTGCTATCTACAAATACTCTCCCTTTTCCCGAAATCTAGGAATTGGATGCCATTGAATCTCACATTAAAGTGTTTGAGAAGGACATTGTCAAAATGAAGACAAGCCTGTCATCTGAAGATCTGTTAGAATTTTCTCCTAAAGACCAACTTAAACATGGACAGGTCTGTGAAAACTCCTATATGGCCTTTTTTCTTATGCATAAGTTAGCATAAATATGTTTTCACAAGCTGCTTTGTGACTTTTGCAATTTACCAGCTTTTAGTATATGATTTTGAAATGTTAGTACCACACAAATTCTAACTCTCAGGTCAAAGATTGAAAGTATTTTTATAGTCATGATTTTACCTACATATTTCTACAGTAGCAAGTAGTGCAGTCCAAAAGGAGCACATTGGTAGGGTGGCAAAACAGTTGGTGCAGAGGACCTGATATCTGTGTTGTATATGTCTTGGGGCCTTACTTTGGACTGATCCTGTAGAATGGACTTCCATTAGTGGCTGGGTGTCTTCTGCTTTAGCTTCATTTGAAAAGAATACAGTTTGCATGGTCCAAGACAACTGCTTAGTATAAACTCTGTCCCACGTGACATTCTTGTCTCTAAATTGGAGAGACATCAATTTGATGAATGGACCACTCGGTGGATAAAGAACTGGCTGGATGGCCTCACACAAACAGTTGGGGTCAATGGCTCAATGTCCGGCTGGAGACCAGTAACGAGTGGTGTCCCTCAGGGATCGGTGTTGGGCCCGGTCTTGTTTAACATCTTCGTCGCTGACATGGACAGTGGGATTGAGTGTGCCCTCAGCAAGTTTGCCGATGACACCAAGCTGTGTGGTTCGGTTGATATGCTGGATGGTGAAAGACTGGGGCTCAAGTGATCTTCTCTTCACTCCTTCCATCTTCTATTGATGATGTGGGACTGAATGGGAAAATTCAGTCTATAAACGATTGGCTTCGAGGCTGGTGCTGCAGGCAGGGCTTTGGATTCTTTGATAACGGCTGGTTTTATAGGGCACCAGTCTGGACATTGGCATGTGGGAAAGGTTTATCGCACAGAGGCAAAAGGATGCTGGGGCACGAATTAGCAGGGCTCATTTGGAGAGCTTTAAACTAGATTCGAAGGGGGATGGGGTTGTAGCTGGGCTTGCCTCAGTGGGACAGCGCTCCGGAATTGATGATGACTGGGAGGCCTCCTGTAATCCTAGGGTGAAATCGGTGTGCTCAGCTCGCTCCCTGAAATGTCTGTACACCAATGTGCGCAGCATGGGAAATAAGCAGGAGGAGCTAGAAACCTGTGTTAAGTCAGGAGATTATGACCTGGTGGCAATTACAGAGACGTGGTGGGACAGCTCACATGACTGGAATATAGTCATGGAGGGCTATGTTCTTTTCAGGAAAGACAGGCCAGCCAGGCGGGGTGGTGGGGTTGCTCTTTACGTGCGAGAGCAGCTACAATGCGTTGAGTTCTGTCCGGGGACAGATGATGAGTGAGTTGAGAGTCTGTGGGTGAGAATTAAGGGGCAGACTGGCAGGGGCGATACTGTTGTGGGGGTCTGTTACAGGCCACCGGATCAGGGTGAGGAAGTTGACAAGGCCTTCTACAGGCAGCTGAGAGCGGCCTCACAGTCACAGGCCGTGGTCATCGTGGGGGATTTTAACTTCCCTGATGTTTGCTGGAAGGACTACTCGGCAACCCAGCCGCAGTCCAGGAGGTTCCTCCAATGTATGGATGATAACTTCCTCATGCAAATGGTGGATTAGCCAACCAGGAGAGGTGCGCTGCTGGATCTCATCCTCACTAACAAGGAGGGTCTGGTTGAAGGAGTGAAGGTTGAGGGCTGCCTTGGTTGCAGCGACCACGAGATGGTAGAATTCAGGATCTTGTGTGGTAGGGTCAGTAGAATAGCAAGCAGAATCACAACCCTGGACTTTAGCAGGGCAAACTTTGGCCTTTTCAAGCAATTGCTAGGGGAAATCCCGTGGGCTAGGCTGCTTGAAGGTAAAGGGGCCCAAGATAGTTGGTTGACGTTCAAGGACTGCTTTTTCCGAGCTCAAGATCAGAGCATCCTGACACGTAGGAAGTCAAGGAAGAGGGTCAGGAGACCTGCATGGCTATATAGGGAATTGCTGGGTATGCTGAAGTGGAAGAGAAGAGTTTACAGGTCATGGAAGGAAGGGCTGGCCACTTGGGAAGAATATAAGGCTGCTGCTAGAGGATGTAGGAAAGCTGCTAGGATGACTAAGGCCTCCTTGGAATTAAAGCTGGCGAGAGGGGTCAAGGACAGCAGAAAGAGCTTTTTCAAATACATGGCAGATAAAACTAACACCAGAGGCAATGGAGGCCCGCTGATGAACGGGACGGGTGCCCTGGTGACAGAAGATACAGAGATGGCAGAGTTACTTAATGCCTTCTTTGTCTCTGCCTACTCTGCCGGAGGCAGTCCTGAAGAGCCCTGTATCGCTGAGACCTCAGATGAAGACAGGTCAATGGAGCGGTCTGCCTTAGTTGATGAGGAATGGGTTAAAGACCAGTTGAGCAATCTAGACATCCATAAATCCATGGGTCCAGATGGGATGCACCTGCGGGTGCTGAGGGAACTGGCGGAGGTCATTGCTAGACTGCTCTCCATCATCTTTACCAAGTCTTGGGAAACGGGAGGGGTGCCTGAGGACTGGAGGAAAGCAAATGTCACTCCTGTCTTCAAAAAGGGCAAGAAGGAGGACCTGGGTAACTATAGACCAGTCAGCCTCACCTCCATTCCTGGGAAGTAATGGAACACCTTATCCTTGGTGCCATCTTAAGGCATATCAAGAATAAGAGGATTATGAGGAGCAGTCAGCATGGCTTCACCAAGGGGAAGTCATGCTTGACCAATCTCGTAGCCTTTTATGAGGAAATAACAGGGTGGATGGATGATGGCAGAGCAGTGGATGTGGTCTACCTTGACTTCAGCAAAGCGTGTGACACAGTCTCCCACAGCATCCTTGCAGCTAAATTGAGGAAGTGTGGTCTGGATGATCAGGTAGTGAGGTGGACTGTGAACTGGCTGAAGGAGAGAAGCCAGAGAGTTGTAGTCTATGGGGCGGAGTCTAGTTGGAGGCCTGTGTCTAGTGGAGTGCCTCAAGGGTCGGTACTGGGACCAGTATTATTTAATATATTCATCAACGATTTAGATGAGGGAATTGAGTGTACTATCAGCAAGTTTGCTGATGACACTAAGCTGGGAGGGGTGGCCGACACGCCAGAAGGCTGTGCTGCCATCCAGCGAGACCTGGACAGGCTGGAGAGCTGGGCGGGGAATAACTTGATGAAATATAACAAGGGAAAGTGTAGAGTCCTGCATCTGGGCAGGAACAACCCCAGGTTCCAGTATAGACTGGGGAACGACCTGTTAGAGAGCAGTGTAGGGGAGAGGGACCTGGGGGTCCTGGTGGACGACAGGGTGACCATGAGCCGGCACTGTGCCCTTGTGGCCAAGAAGGCCAATGGCATCCTGGGGTGTATTAGAAGGGGGGTGGTTAGTAGGTCGAGAGAGGTCCTCCTTCCCCTCTACTCTGCCCTGGTGAGACCTCATCTGGAATATTGTGTCCAGTTCTGGGCCCCTCAGTTTAAGAAGGACAGGGACCTGCTGGAGAGAGTCCAGCACAGGGCAACTAAGATGATTAAGGGAGTGGAGCATCTCCCTTATGAGGAAAGACTGAGGAAGCTGGGTCTCTATAGTTTGGAGGCGACTGAGGGGTGACCTTATTAGTGTATATATATATATAAAGGGGGAGTGTCACGAGGATGGAGCCAGGCTCTTCTCAGTGGCAAACAATGATAGGACAAGGGGCAATGGGTACAAACTGGAACACAAGAGGTTCCACTTAAACTTGAGAAGAAACTTCTCAGTGAGGGTGACAGAACACTGGAACAGGCTGCCCAGGGAGGTTGTGGAGTCTCCTTCTCTGGAGACATTCAAAACCCGCCTGGACACGTTCCTGTGTAACCTTATCTAGGTGTTCCTGCTCCGGCAGGGGGATTGGACTAGATGATCTTTTGAGGTCCCTTCCAATGTCTAGCATCCTGTGATACTGTGATACTGTGGAGGGAAGGAATGCCATCCAGAGGGACCTTGACACGCTTGTGAGGTGGGCTGATGCCAACCTCATGAAGTTTAACCATGCCAAGTGCAAGGTCCTACACCTGGGTCAGAGCAATCCCAGGCACAGCTACAGGCTGGGCAGAGAAGAGATCCAGAGCAGCCCTGCAGAGGACTTGGGGGTGTTGGTCAATGAGAAAATGGACATGAGTCAGCTTCAGTGTGTGCTTACAGCCCAGAAAGCCAACCATATCCTGGGCTGCATCAAAAGGAGTGTGACCAGCAGGTCGAAGGAGGTGATCCTGCCCCTTTATTCTGCTCTTGTGAGACGTCACTTGGAGTATTGTGTGCAGTTCTGGTGTCCTCAACATAAAAAGGACATGGATCTGTTGGAACAAGTCCAGAGGGGGCCACGAGAATGATCAGGGGACTGGATCACCTCCCGTATGAAGATCGGCTGAGAAAGTTGGGGCTGTTCAGCCTGGAGAAGAGAAGGCTGCATGGAGACCTCATAGCAGCCTTCCAGTATCTGAAGGGGGCCTATAGGGATGCTGGGGATAGACTCTTCATTAGGGACTGTAGTGATAGGACAAGGGGTAATGGGTTCAAACTTAAGAGGGGAAGTTTAGATTGGATATAAGGAGGAAATTCTTTCCTGTGAGGGTGGTGAGGCACTGGAATGGGTTGCCCAGGGAGGTTGTGAATGCTCCATCCCTGGCAGTGTTCAAGGCCAGGTTGGACGAGGCCTTGGCTAATATGGTTTAGAGCAAGGTGTCCCTGCCCATGGCAGGAGGGTTGGAACTTGATGATCTTAAGGTCCTTTCCAACCCTAACTATTCTATGATTCTAACACCAAGGTGAAACTGTTGGGAGATCCCTTCAAGAAGCACAGTCATGGTTTGAGTGAAAACATTTTAAATTAAAGCACTATTGAGAAAATGCCCATAATGAACTCTAATATGTAATTTAAGTACATATTGTCAGACATACCTGCCATATTTGAGTGTCTCCATTTTTGAAAAGTTTATGGCCTCACTCTCAGAGATGCTGCATATCACTCTACTTAGCATCAAACAGTAAGTAATCTGAAAGTCTGAAAATCAGGCCCTATTTTTCAAAAAATGGAGGCAAAGTTTAGTAGACATTTCTGGAAAGGCAGGATGGAGTGACTTGCAGTAAAAGTGTTTCATCATGCAGAGACTTCACTGCAAAGATATCTCGGCCACATGGTTTTCCTTCCTCTGCTTGAGTGAAGCAAAGCGAAGTATTCTAGTATCTTTTCTTTTATACCATGTGCATTTCAGTTAGGTAACTGAAATGCAAAAAGCATGGGTTCAGTATCAGGGAAGAGATGAGTGTCATCATACCTTTCGTAGATTTGTTATCCAGAGAATGATTTTGTAATGGCTACATTACATGGTAAAAATAAACTGATATTTGTTCTGGAAAATAATGTTCGTCTACTTCCTCATTTTAAATTGAAACAGTATGCTTAGTAAATAGAAATTAATCTGAATATGATCCTTTGTCACTGTGCAAACTGTATGTATATGCAGAAAAGGCAAAATTGTAAATGTTAGTTATATATTTGTCTTGCTTTAGACAACCTCACTATAGATTTTCACTTGTTTGTTCCAAGATTAAAATATTCTTCATTCTTAAAATGGGAAACTCACTAGAGAGAACTTTTGCACATCATGACAGTAGTATAAATTTTCAGTTTTTATTTTTCCAACTCAGTATCATGTCATTGATCTCTCCTGTATCCTAATAGGTTATACTGGACCATGTTGGTCCCATGATGAAAAGCATTGTACATATACAGTCCTATGAAGATACGCTACTGCTACCAGGAGTGAAAATGCAACCTTTCTCAGTCTTTCAGAGAGCAAGGCAGCTTTTGAAAGAATTGAAGAAATTAGAAAAAATTACTAAAGAACAAAATGATCTTCTGGAGGTAACCGATTTTTTTTTTCTTTACTGTCACCTAAACCACCTTTATTTTGTAATAATTTTAATCACTAGACAGCACATCATGCTCGCTATATAAACTTGGGGGAGTTACTCAGAAGGCCCTGATCACTGCTCAGGTCATGCTGGGTATCAGTTGGCAGGTGGTGAGCAATTGTATTCTCTCCCCTTGTGATTTCCCTTATTGTTATTATTGGTGGTAGCAGTAGTGGTCTGTGTTATACCTCAGTTACTGGAATGTTCTTATCTCAACCCATGGGAGTTACATTCTTTCCATTCTCTTCCCCATCCCTGTGGGACTGGAGGAGAAGAGGGCAGGGAGTGAGCAAATGGCTGCAAGGTTCTGAGTTACCAACTGGGCTTAAACTATAACACAGGTATATAGTACATCTTCTATGACTCTATGTAATGGTTTGGGGTCTTTTTGTAATTTGATACTACAACAAGGCACTCCGAGTAGTCCTGGAATTTATTTCAGTTTTCCAATTTAGTCACAACTGAGAGCATGTGGTTTAGCATATTGTAGAAGAAATGAAGGCCCAAGTGTCTTATGATCTTGGTTTGCACAACTAATGATTAAGTCCAGTGTTACATGCAGGTGCTCACATCTGCAATGTTCAAGTACATAAGCTTACCTGAACATGAAATTGAATAGAAATTGATGACAGCATAAACTTGTTTAGTAAAGATGATCTTCCCAAATCAGTGAGCCAGGAAAGCGACTGTTTTCCACCAGTGTCACTTGATTTTGAGGCACGCCAACTCCTGCTCTCAGAAGGTCCGAGGGTGTATCCACATAAGTGAACATGTGACAGGGGGGTTGGAGATGCTGTTGACAGGTTTGGAAACAGAAATGATGTAACAGCATTGGTGTGACACATGGCTGTAAGAGAAGGCAGTGTTGATGGGTCAGTGAGTGTTAACTCATGAGCAGTTAGGATTATGAAACAGCAATACTGGCCACAAACCTGAAGTGGTATCTCTGCAGCACTTCACTGAGTGATGTGGTTGTACCAGCTCAGGAAGGTTTTAATTCAGGGATATTTCCATCACGTTCCACTGCCCAGGGTATATATACTTGGGGACAACCTGGAGTTTGGTTATGCATGTTCCCAAGTGAGCAGAGGTATGAAAATTCTCATATGACCCATCCATTTCTCAACAGGATTATAGCAGCACTTAGAAAAATAATACAGTATCTTTACTGATTTGGTTTTCCAGCCCTATTACAGTACAGCAGATGATTTAAAACATCCAACTTCCTCCTGGGTATTTCAGAAGCCAGGCAGAAACAAGTGACAGCTAAAATGTGAATGTCCATCTCTGATTTTCAGTTTGTGAAATGAAGAGCAGCACACCAAGATAAAAACTCAAATATGGTACATGACTAATGCTTGGAGTTTGGGGGGGGAAGCAATGACTGTGTGAGATCTGTATGATTCCTGCAGTCTTAGGTTTTTTTAGTCCGTACAGTTTCTTATGTCTGAAAAATGGATGTGGTAAAATGTACCTTTTTCAGCGAGTTACCAGATTAAATACTTCAGAATTTTCAAAACACTTTAAAACTATCAGAAACAGCGTGTTTTCCAATTATAAAGTGTTACCATGAGATTTCTATCTGGTTTATGTGAAGCATTAGGTCAAGGCTTAGATCTTTCTCCTTTTTGAAACAGCTGTAGCCTTTTTTGCTCAGCATTTGCCTTTGTCTTGTAGGGACCCAACAGTCTGTAGCTGAGTGAAATTTCTTTGTGGGAGAACAGATTGGAAAAACTGCAGTTCTTGACAGCTAGGATATCAAACTGTGCAAAAAACCATTTTCCAGTCCTGTTGAATGGGTTGAAAGAAGCAGTACTACAATAGAAGTCTAACACCAGCAAAGACATAACAAAGAATAAAGCTGTTAAAGGATGGCATGTTGAGAACTGCATAAAAAGGTAGTAAGTATCCTGATAGAGAGGATAGGAAATGGGAGGCAAGTTTCCTGTACAAATATATATACATACAATTTTTTTTCCTGAGGATTAGTTTTGAAATCTCAGTGTTTGGGTGCATTTGCCCATATTTTGCTGTTGGCGATGCAACAGGATATTGCAGTAGTAATTTTTGCATAATTAAGTTGCACCTGAAAAAGTGTAACAGTAACAAAATGTGAAAGCTTTGGGGAAGGATTTTAGGTGACTTAGATCTGAATTGAATGTTGCCCTCTGTTATTATTATGGCCTGTCAAGTACTTGAAGAACGTCATCAGGAGGAGGAGTTGGAAGCTGCAGCTGCTTCTACTGGTTTTCTGTGCAAGAGAGTGTCTCTGCATAAATGCTGATTTACTGTGTTCATTTTTAGAAAGCTCTTTAATAAAAAAAAAAAAATAAATGCCTGCCTGCCTGTACACTATAGACAGGTGGCCCTTTGCCGTGGGTAGGTCTTCTAGTACTGTTACCGCAACAGGAAAAGTAAAGAGCAAATGTCAACAGGAAATAACTTAAAAGAGAGCCAACGCTTCTAGGAAGATATTCAGTCCCACATATATGGCATAATTTATGTTATATCAAGAGAAGGATAAAACAAGATTATTTTTTTTGTGTCTCAGTGCAAGGCAGAGAACAGATGAGCTCTCCAGGCTAGTGGCTATGGTCACATATTGGCTCATGACAGGAGATGTTGGAGTCTGTATACAAATTATTCATATTCTTTAATCAAGGAAGTTTTGAGGTAGTACACATTTTACCTATTACTATACAGTCCTATTAATGTGGAAGTGAAGCATGGTAAGAGAACCACCCTTTTAGAGGACTTCTAGTTTCTCATAGAACTGAAGACCTATTCTTTGTTTTCCTCCTCTGATTCTTAATGCTATTGTATTGAGATTATAGGCCACAATTAAGTATCTTCTTCTCCAATCTGGCTTTTTTTCTGTTACTGTTCATAGCAGGAGAGAATCTCTGCTCTGAAAGGCAGAATCTGTGCGAAGTTTGCAGAGAGATTATTTCAGCCTGTCAGGCTTGAAAAAATTCTGCTATCAGCAGCATTTCAAGTTCAAGTAGACTGCATTTTCTTTATTACCTTTTGCAGACACCTGAGGAACAGTTCATGGGTCAGAAAACAGAGAGACACCGAATGTGTTTTGCAAGTTAAATGTTTTGAGAAAATATTCTGGTTTGTAGATGTAACAATTCCTTAATTACGTGAGACATTGTAACAGGCAGTGGCTGACAAACATGAACAGTGTTGCGGGGGGAACTGCCCATTTCTGCACAAACAAGCATGGGGGTTGATGAGATTTTGCTATCGCTCTCAAATAAGTAAATTTGGCTCTTTATAATGTATATGTTTTCCAGTAAGTCATGTGAGCAGCAGAAGCTCACACCAAGTAGAAATACTTATCCTTTTTATAGGAAGTATTCAAATTGTCAGATACTGTGGTTGGCTTATCCTCTGAGCTGCAGTGTCTGCTTGGTGTGCAGCACAGTTCATTTGCAGTCAGTGCAGAACTAGCTGGCAGTAAAGACCTGAGCACCAATAAAAACCAGGTACGCTTTCTAACTTGAATGACACCCTGTAATTTCTCCCTTTTTTTCAACCTGTTCTAAATTGTAGTGAATATGATTTAATATGCTTTTTGCATTTTATAACCAAATTCGTAGTTCCACTCTGGAGTAAGCAAAGGCTTCTAGGCAGAATACTCCACCATACTTAGATTTATGGATAGAGCAGTTTGTCTTTAGCAAGTGAATAATAAACTTAGTGAAGATAGGGTTGTGCAAAGTTAGCAGACCAAATACTTTTACATGTAACTACACATATAAAGGAGGCGTCAGTACTCTTCAGCACAAGTTTCTTCCATTACTGACTAGTTTGTTTCTCTATTACTGAATTCACAATTATTTATGAGGATTATAACTTCACAGGAAGCTGTAAAGAAAACAGAAGAATGTGAGCAAGAAATGGAAAAGTTGAAACAATTCCTAAAGAACCCCTTAGTAGAAATATCGCAAGAAGATAAATCACTGTCTCAGAAGACTCATTGTCCAGAGGTGAGTTTTACTGTTTACTCTCTCATGTCTGCTACTTTTCCTGGCTAACATTAATCACAATGGTGCGGAGCACTGAGAAATACCAGCGTGCTTCCCCTCCCCACCATGCATGGTCAAGCAGTCAATTAAATGACGTAGTTTGACTATGCATATGTAAGTTGACATATACCAAGAGATATTACAGTTAATATTAGTTGGGTACATCTTCCATAATTTACTTCTTATTGATTTTGATGTGTTGTTTGTACCTATATCAACTTTTAAGGAAGACTTAGAATGCTGCTTTCATGACAGCTGGCAGCTGTTTTGGTGAAACAATATGTAGCATTCATATCTTGCCTGTGCTCAGCATCCAGATGATGTTGCTGAGGTGGCAGCTTGGGATAATGCAGAGAACTGAGTCCATTTCTGATCACTGACCATGCAGCAGTACTTTTGGTGGTTCTGTTTAGGGATTCTTTAGACTCCTTTTGCTGTCCTCTCTGTCACACTGTTTTCATTAACTCATAAACATGTGCTGCTTTTCTCCCTGCAGTCAGCTACTTTCTGTAGTAGATTAATTGATTATTTAATCAAAAGTAAGATGTGTTTTAAGGACAGCACTGCAAAAGTCAGGAAATGACTAATTGAGTGTAATAGCTGTTTATAAAGTGCCTCTGAAATTCAGCTTTTTGCAGTCAATCACAATAAAGTTAATATACATACACTGTACTTGCCTAATAACTATAATCACTTGGTAGGCTTCTAAATACATAGCTGCTTTGCTTTCAGGTGCTTGGATGTTGCAGGCTTGATGTTAGTATGAGGCATGACTCATTTCCCTGTTCCTGTTTTTGTCTTTTAGTGTAGGACTTTCTGTTTAATAGCTCCTGTTTTAGAGGAAAACCTTTTCACAACTGTAGCATTTCATGAACAGATGTGGGCAATGGAATTGCCTATCTTACTGAGGGGCTTCACATGAAGAAGTGGCATTAATAAAGAGTTGTTTTCTGATGAAGTTTTTGGCTAGTGAAGTTTGCCAAACTGTATCTGGTGAATGTATGCTGCAGTCTTCTCTTGCAATGAATCAAATAGAAATACGCTTCTTAGTGGACATTTATAAAACATGCCAAATTGTCATGAATGGCTTTTTCTTCATTCCAATGGCTTTTTCTTGTCTCTACCTTTGGAATATTTTTATCTTGTGGGTTTGAGTGTACAAAAGGAAAAAACCACTCTTGCCTGAGCCAAGTTTCCACGTCCTTTGAAAATTTGCTGGGATTTTGCCTCTACTTACCCAGTCCTGCAGCCACACTAACATTAACAGAAGAAGCTGTAGTTGAGATGGAAGCAGCAGTTTTACTGCTTTCATCTGTCTCAGATTATTACTTGCATAGCATCAAAGCTTGGTCTGATGGACTGAGCCCAGTGTGCAATGGGATATTTAGCCACATTACAATTCTCTGAGCAACTAACAATGCTTCAAAGAGCTTTAGCACTTTCAGTAATGGAGTAGGGCATTTTATTCCTTGCCGTGTCTTACCCTGTGATTTCTTATGCTTTCTTTGCTCACCTGGTGACTGGGTGATAAGGAAAGGTCCAAACAGAACACCAGCTAGAGCCAGCTCTAGCTCTTCAGGGAGGAGACAAAGACAATTTGTTTCCCTCTTTATTAATGCAGTTACTTGGATTATTGTTCAATCCCTGCAGATCGGGGATAATTGCTCCCAATATCACATTGAAAGACATGGGATAGTTATTGCCCAGTACGTGTCACTAAAAGCCAGTGAAGAGTTTGTTTCCTTCTTTTAAGCCAGCTTCAACAAAGAAAACTCAGCTACCTGAGCTACCCTTATTGTTGTCTTTGACCTCATCAAAGCTATCCTAAGTGGTTTGTGTCAGGTTTCTGGCACACAGTAATGTAACCCAGCTGCATTCCCTCTGTCCTGAAGGAAACTCATATCCCCGTGGCTGTTCAGGACCTAGTTAGAATTAGTTACCCAGCCTTTCACATTTACTTCCAGACTACCAGCTTCTGCATTACAGGCAGCAAGTGCTGTTCTGAGTTCAATCTGTTGCTGCTGTTTTGCATGTATCTAGACATCTTCTGTAGTGACAATGGGGAACTGTCCGAATGCCGTGAAAAAGGAAAAAAGGGAAATAGTCCCAGTTTCAGTAAGATGCATCACTGTTATCATCAGTTACATTACTGTTTGGTTAAATAATAAAATGGATGCTTATGGATATTGTTGGTCCTTAGGGAGACATGGAAGCTGTAAAAGAAGAAATCATAAAGCTGTGCCAAAGAAAGGAAGATATCCTTACTGGAATGAAGAATTCAATGTCTGAGCTTCACCAGCGCTTACAGCAAGAAGTGCCTGAATCAGAAGATGAACCTACAGCCTCTGTATTAGCACAAAGTGACTTGGTTAGGACTGATGTTTCTGGTCAGTGGGTAAGTGGAGCACCATGTTGGAATCACTTACCTGAGAGCTGAGGAGGCAGGTAAATAACCTTTCTTCCTCCAGGAGGAGTGGTATTGAGAGAGGAGCACCCCTTCAGCTGTGAGTTAATACTTCTTCTCCTCCCCTTTGTGCTTCTGAATGGTCCCAGAAGGACTGAGTATGATGCATGTATAGGATAAGGCAGAAGAAGTGTACCTCTGATTATTTTTTTAGCATGAGCAGATCCAACATGAAGTTTGCATCAAGCAATCAACAGCAAAATCCTCAATGTGTAGTTTTGTGGATAATCAGTTGTTATGAGATTTTCAGTAAATTGTTTTTATGGAGCAGAATGAAATTTGACCTTATTATAGCTGTGATGTTAAAACAGTATAGCACAGAAAAAGTCCCAGTTTTCAGAGGTGCTTAGTACCTGCAGTTTTCAATTACTTTACTGTAGCATGGCAGATGTTCAATGCTTCTCTAAAAATTGACCTCAAGTGGTAGCTTTCTTTTGGTTTACAAGCAGAAGAGAAAAGGCTTTTACTGTTCTTGTCATGAATAACTGGACTGTCTCTGTGTGCGGTTTTGTAGTTGAAAAAAAGAGGAATGATGTCTCTTCTACCTTCCTTGGATGAAGAATCAGAAGACTGTTCTTTCCACAGCAAGGTGAGTTTGGTACATATCTTGCATATACAGCCATGTATGTAAGACACCAGATTTTGGTACAGGACAAATTATGAAAAATATGTTAATTCAAAACACTTTAGAACAAACTAAAATATCTTTTATTGCTCCAGGATACTAAGAAATTGCACTTTAGCCAGCCTACCAGTATTACAATATCAGTGTTACACAGCACCTCATTCTGTGATGCTGCTTTTGGTGGCATTGCTTAGACAGTAATACCCCCTTTATGGATGTGTTCACAGCAAAGTATGAGCCTAAACGCCAATGTTTATATATGGAATGGGGTTTAGAGAGAATTAGGCAGCCTCTGAAATGTTAAAACTTAATCAAAATTATTTGTATGTTTGAGCTTAAGAAAAAAGGGCATAATCAGACTATTGGAAGCAAGCGAAGGAGAGATTTCTGGGAGAATGGTAGACACTGCTCAGCAGGTTGCTCTGAACCTGTGGAGTCTAAATGCCCATGTGAACCACAGAGGAACAAAGCTGGGAGTAAAGTTACATGAGGTAGTTAATAGCTTTTGGAAAAAGAAAAGAAAAAAAAAAAAAAGAAAAATCCATGAAACTTTCTGCACAACTTTCCTGCATCCTAGGGACTAAATGAGAGTTACTTGAGTGAAATCAGGAATGTGCAGAAGTGCCAATGAACTTCTAACCTAGATACCCACTCACACAGCAGTTCACAGCCTGCCTGGGCCGGTAATGACAAGCTACTCTCGTATAAATCTCCTGGAAGGGACTGTGGCCTCAATCAAGTTTTGAAGAATCTCAATTTCTCTGAAGTCCTTGCTATGGATATTAATTAGAATTTTTGATATACCCTTGCAACAAGAATCAAAAGGAAATGAGTCAAAGAAGTGATAGAGTGTTGAAGGGGTTGCTTTAGGCTAGGCAAGGATGAAAATACATGGCTTGACAGTGTGAAGAAGTCCCAACAGCCTGCATAGAGGTCGTGTCTTACTACTCTGATCCAAGCACTTCAGTTGCAAGGTTTCTGCCCCTTTATTGCTGTGGTTTTCTTTACATACAGGATGTTTCAGGGGACAGGAGAAAGGTTGTTTCTCGGGTTTGGTTTTTTTTTTTTATATATAGCATGAAAAAAATGAGGATATTCTGTGGTCTCTAGAGAAAACTATTAGTGTCATCCAATTGCCATTCGTTTTGCAGCAGAGCTACAGAGCAATGGAAGGAGTGGGATTTGGGAAACACAATAAGGACAGATAAGCAAAGCAGAAATAGACCAATGTGTTACTGAAGGTTTAGCAGAAACAGACCAATGTGTTACTGAAGGTTTGCAGTAATTTACATTGCTTGAAGGAATATCTGAGCTTCCTGTTCACAATCTAATGCGTAGCTGTTTCTGCTTTCAAAGGGAGGTACAGACACAGAGAAAGATGCAAATTTCTGGCCTTTGGAAAGGGATGATGAAAAGCACAAAGACAGTGCAACCTCCTGGTCTTCTGGTACCTTGTCGGATGGCCTCGTTCAGGTAATGCACCCGGGGTTATCTCCATTGGGACTGGGTCTCATCTTTGTAGAAAAGATCTGCACAAGTCCCAGGTATTGCTGAAGTGTGCAAAGAAGAAGAACTGTAGAAGTGCTGAACATGATGGCCTTGATCTTCCATCTTCCACATCATGCTAAATCTTGCCATTTAAAATCTCTTTTCCTGTTGCACATTTTGGTTGGACTTACTGACCTTGAGTTTTCCAACCTAAGTGATTCTGTTCTTGAATATTAATTTCTTCTAGCTTGTCAAAACCCACAAAGACAGAAATGAACATTTGGTAGCAGCAATTTGTTTCACTAATTACTAGAAAGGCTATAAAATGTGCATTTTATTGGGGGATCATTTGTGGAAGAGGTTCTCTTTGTACATAAGAAGACCAGCATCTGATCATTTTGGTTGTGGTCTGTTTTGCATAGTGTCTCAATAATGTAATAACTGCAATTGTTTCTGCACAACAAAGCAATAATCATAGAATCATTTAGGTTGGAAAGACTTTTAAGATCATTGACTCCAACTATAAACTTAACACTACCAAGTCCAGCAATAAACTACTTCCCTAAGTGCCACATCTACACCTACTACACATCACACTACTGATACAAATACTTCCAGTGTTGCCTCTCTTTCTACAGGATGTTGATGACATGATGGAATTGAACAATAAACATGGTGAGGAAACTTCTATGCAAGCTTTGCAGAGTACTGAAGACCCTGGTGCAGGTGATGGCAGTTATGCTATGGTGAGTTTGAAGGCATGAAGTAGGCTGAACAAGGTGAATTTCTCCGCTCATTGTGCAACCTACCTAGTAGGCAGAGGCCCTGATTCATTATGGTTATGCTACTGGAGTTTGTTGCAGTATTTATGATATGGTAGGTTACCTACAACCCTTTGTGGGCCTCTTCAGATTACTGCTTTGGGTGATTTTGATTCGCTCCTTGAAATGCCATTTACTAGAAAACAAAATGGAGAGTTTTCAGGAAATAAGAAGCTGGCATTCATACAGGCATTAATGGAGGTGTTCAAGTGATGTAAGCGTACATCAACTATGGGATTTTTAAGTTGGGAGTTAAAGGAGAAATTAAAGAGATTGAAACTCCTATATATTGCTGCTTTGTGGAAGGCATGCTACAGTCTAAGGGAGGAGTGAGCAGTAGCCTATAGGTTGTACACAGTGTAATATCTTCTGGCTGTTCAAGGAGTTAACCAATACCCCCTGGGGAACTGCCCTCAGGGACAAGGATGCAGAACAGAGCTGGCAGATCTTAATGACACTTCCCATAGAGCACAAGAGATCTCAATCTCCAGGTGTAAGAAATCAGGAAAGGAAGGCAAGAGGCTGACATGAATGTGTTGAGGTCTTGCATGACTTAGTGGCATTCTGTGGTGGAATGACTACATCAATGGACAAAGGAAGAGCTATGATTGTCATCTGTCTGGAATTCTGTAAGTCCAAATTTGTATAAGGCCTTTGACATGGTCCCCCGCAACATCCTTTCTGAATTGGAAAGAGGTGGATTTGATGGACAGACTGGTGGATGAGGAATTGGATGGCTGGTTGCATCCAGAGAGTAGTGGTCAACGTCTCCATGTCCAGACAAAGATCATGATCAGTGATGTCCTTCAGGGGTCTGTAGTAGGGCCAGTACTGTTTAATATCTTCATCAGTGACACAGACAGTGGGATTGAGTGCACGCTCAGTAAATTTACAGATTACACCACGCTGTGTGGTGCACTTGACATGCTTGAGGGACAGGATACTATCCAGAGGGAACTGGACAAGCTTGAGAAGTGGGCCCATGTGAACCTGATAAGGTTCAACAAAGCCAGGCACAAGGTCCTAAACCTCAGTCCAAGGTAACCCCCAGTATCAGCACAGGCTGGGGAATGAACAGATTGAGAGTAGCCCTACAGAGGAGCACTTGGTGGATGGTTAAAACTTAAACAGGGGAAGTTTAGATTGGGTATAAGGAGGGAATTCTTTTCTGTTAGGGTAGTGAGGCACTGGAATGGGTTGCCCAGGGAGGTTGTGAATGCTCCATCCCTGGCAGCGTTCAAGGCCAGGTTGGACGAGGCCTTGGGTGATATGGTTTAGAGCGAGGTGTCCCTGCCCATGGCAGGGGAGTTGGAACTTGATGATCTTAAGGTCCTTTCCAACCTTAACTATTCTATGATTCTGTGGAAAAGTAGACATGAGCTGGCAGCTCACAGGCCAGAAAGCCAGCCATATCCTGAGCTGCATCAAAAGGACCATAGCCAGTGTGTCAAGGGGGATGATTCTCCTCCCTGCTACTCTAATCTAGTGAGATCCCACTTTTCCACTTCAGTGTTTTGCTATACTGTGACAATTCTATATGTTATCCAAATCCCTGTATAGAGTGATATTCTTCTTTTTCTTTTTTTTTTTTTTTTTGTGATAATGATTGCTAAATGATACCATGTCCTCCCTCTGGCATGTTGTCCCTTCCATGGAAACATATGTGCTTCCAAATTCAGTTAAAGCAGCCTAAAACATGATTCAGGATTCATAAAAACATTTTAATTACTAAATGAGGAAGAAAAGATGGGTTGTAGTGGTAGGTGACTCACTTGAGGGTAACAGAGGGCCCAGTACTCTGGGCAGATCCTACTCTGAGAGAAGTCTGCTGCTTCCCTGGCACCTGGGTTAAGGGCATTGCTAGGAAGCTTGGTTGCCTGGTATGGCCTTGGAATATTATTACCAAAGCATGCTCTTTCACATGAGTGACTCTAAAGCACAGTCAGAAGATGCTCAGAAGATTCTATGATTGTGTGGTCAGCTGAGCCATGGTAACCGTCCACTGGTGCCTCCATGAAGTGTACACAGACAACTGTGTGGACCATACCAGTATGTTTCATCAAACTGATTAGACTATGTATCTGAATTTCTATTCCTGTGGAAGAGGGGGGACCAAGTTTACTGCAGTAACACTGTCTAGCTGGGGAGGGGCAGAGCATGCTGACACTGTAAACTAAATGCTTAGGTGCACATACGTGTGTGATGAAAGGGTGTCAGCACAGTATTATACATGTGTACTGTTTTGTTATTTAGATGAATGAACTAGAACAAACAGGCCTAGAACTAGAGTTGGAAGTTTCTGGTGGAGGTTCAAGTAAGTTGGTACTTTTTTATTTCTTCAATCATGTATACCTCAGGAGACATAGACTGTTCTGGGAATTGCAAGCTCAGATACCTTTTTTGTGTTTAATGGCACTGTCCCATGGTGTCTCAGAGGCAAAGAACAGTAATGGTTAAGACACTGATAGGTGAAACCATGCACTTTTGCTCCCTGTTTTTCTGCCAATTCTCATCTTAGTATGAAGCTTGTACACTACCAGTGACTGTCTCAGCTGCCTGAATGTATGCTCTAGGGCCATGGTAGTCTATAGGCAATTTTATTCTTGTGGTGTTTTGCGTGACTTACTTATCAAGTGTCAGTATTTGTATGTATAGGGGTATATATACACCTGTACAGCCTTCCAAACAACTGCAGATGTCTTAGCACATTCTAGATTTCTCCTTATTACAAAGTGTGCAATATTGCTTTTTAAAGGACTGCAAGTTAGAAGGAATTACATGAAACATACTTAAAAATATATATTATTTTTCTGTGTGACCTAAAGCCCAAATAAAGCACTGGTTGAATTTTGGAACAGAACATGTGCAAGTAGCTTGTAAGTGTGGTCCGACAGCTTGCTTTGCAGCTTACAAACTGCATTGCTTTTACATCTAACTCCTACAGGAAAACATCTCTCCTCAGGGGAGAGGTGGTTAATGGTGCGTCATCCCTCTTCCTCTTGTTCAGGTATACCTGTGCAAATGCAAATTGCTGCCTGGAAACCTGTTACACCAGATCCTGGATCATTTGGCTGCTGAGTTTCCCTTTCTTTTTCTCTTTCTTTTTTTGCTTTTCTTTCTTTCATTTTTAATTTGGGAACATGATGGCAGAGTTGTTTTGGAGCTCTGTGATTGCAAAAGTTTTGTATTTCCCACTGGTAAAGGGAAGGGAAAGAAAGTATAAAGCAGATAGATAACCACATTTCTTCCATGTGATTTCCTTCAGAGTGACAAGCCGCCTCATATCCCTGACATCACCTGGGGCTCTCGAGGGAAAGCTGTGGGTCCCAGCAGGTTGGAACCAGAAAAGATCCTCCAGATGTGCCATGCCCAAGTTGCTGAGGTGAAGCAGTGGCTAGACAAAACTAAAGTGTCCCTGAAGTCAGACCCCCAGACCCCCAAAATGCAGCATGCGGTGGAAATGCAGCTGGCCTATTACCAGGTAAGACAGATCAGACAATTTACTGCTGCTATCCGTACAAGTTGCACTTCCCTGAGGTGTGTGTCTGAAGAAAAGCAATGCTCACTGCTTCTGCTCTCCCCACTTAGTCACCTTCATTTCACTGTACAGAAAACATGTAACTGCTTGGCTTCAGTTTCAGGTGCAGATTTCCAAGGGCTTAGTTTAAAAAACTGTCTTTAGATTTGGGATCTTTATGCATCCAGGAATTTAAGTAGAATTCATGAATATTTTTAAAGCTTTTTTTGTCTTTGGATTATTTTGTATAGTATAGTTTGAATTCTCCATTAAAAGGCAATTTTTCATTGGTCTCAATCATGAAAAGTCAGCTAGGATAAAATGATTTTTTTGTTTTCTGTGGCACTTTCACTTGATTCAAAAGAGTGCTGTAAGAATGCTTCCCCGTTGGTAAAATTTTCTTTATGCAGAGCAGCTGCCAGCATAGGTAGAAAAATAGGGGCTTGTCCCCTGCCTTCTGTGAGCTGTGGTGGTATTTGAACCTACCACTAGGGCATCCTATTGCCAGGCCCAGATGGCAGCAGGATAGGGGTAGGTGGTACCTGTTGGTGAAAATAGGTGGATGCAAGCAGGACTGACATGAGATGCTGGGCTGGGTGGGAGCCTGGCATGCAGCTTTTTTCTTAGGCATGCAGATTATAAGAAAGTGGCAGGCACGCCACTTTGAAGTTCTCTGTGGTGCCAGTCTGGTGTACCAGTTTGCTTCAAGCACTGTCTCTACATAAAGCAGCAAATCTCACTTACTATAAAAGAGGCAATATCAACATCTCCCCATTTAAAATTGTTAGGAGACATTTCCAGCTGTTTTGTTGTTGTTGGGTGGTATGTTTTTTTAATAGGAACTGACTCCATGCCAAGAAATACCTCTAGGTTTAAGCTGTTACTCAGCTGAGCACTCAGGTGCTGAACTCTGCAGGAATTAGGGTCTTGAATGCACCTAAGTAACTGTTTGTGCCTGGATCCCTTTTGGGGTTCATGTTGGCACAGGCAGGGCAGTTCAGCTGGTAAATACAAGGAGGCTCCAGGCAGCTGTAAGTGCTGCTGAACTCCTGTCAGCATTTAATGACTTGCCTCAATGTTAAGACAAGAACTTGGTAGTGGTGGGAGGTTTTTCTAACCTAGTCAAGATCTACAGAGGAAAACTCAAATAGCATGAGCAGAAACAGTCTCTAGATATGGACGTATGATGTAAAGCAGTTAATTTACTGCAGTTGATTACTTTGCAGTTGAGCCATAGTACCTTGTCTCCACACTCACCTGAAAAATGTGAGTTTAAAGTAATGCAGTAATGTTGATTCACAGCAGCTTGTATCAAAAACCAGATCCCAACAGTTTACAATAGCCTGGCTGACATACGGTAAAGTTACTATGTTTTGGTAATTCGGCATCATTCCTCCCAAAGGGTGAGGTGATCAGTCTGTGCACCGCCTCCTTCCCCACTGAGGTGTGTTGTCTTCTTGGTTGCATCCAAATGGAGTCTTTCATTTCTCCTCTCCTCTTTTATTCTATATCTGAGTTAATACAAATTCCTGCAGAGGCTATTATTGAAACACCTTTAAGACTAACTGTACAAAATCTATTTAATTGTTCAGAGAAAATCTGGCGGGTTTGAAGCCATGTCTTTTTTTGGCTCCATGTTTCTTTTGGTGTAGAAGTGTTAGCATTGACTTCAGAACATTATCAAGAAAAAGTGTTGTACTTCTAAGAATGAATAATTGACTGCTGTCCCTTCTAGGTGGTGATAGCAGACATTGAACTAAAGATCCCTAATTTAATGGAAGATTCTGAGGCTAGTGCAGACTATGAACAAGAAGTAGAAGCTCTTTCCCTGAAGCTGAAGGAAGTGAAGTGCAGCTTGGAAGAACTCCAGATGATGCTTCAAGAAAAATGCAATGAAGAACAGGTAAAGCGTATGAATGCTATGCAGAGCAAGAGTGAGAGAGTTATGGAACTTTAATGTGCGGTAGTTGCTGAAGAACAGTTAGAATTAAGAAAGGGAGAAAAGTCAATCAGAGACATCAGACTTGCTGTTATTCTGCTTTACAGTGCTGTAGAATTATTTATAGTTTGCAGCAAGCAGTGGATTTTTAATGAGTCTCTGAACAACATTTTCCTGCTTTAAGTTCTCGGTGACAAGTCAAAATTTTGCAAGCAGTACAGGAAAGGGGTTGTTTAGTGGTTTGTTTTTTTTTGGTTTGTTTTTTTAAATGCATTAAAAATGCTGGATTTGTCTGTGACAGCATCACAGCAGAGAGACCTTTAATCAGTAATTTTCTCTTTGAAGAATCTGTAAATGGCAATGATAGTGACTGCCAGCTCTTGTGGGCCACAGCTGTGCTCTCTTTTCTGAGTTTTCCAGTGAATGGGACAGTAACTCCTGGCTCAGAAGCAGTCCCCACTGTTCAAGGAGCTGGAGAAGCTCAGCTGATGTGCTTGGTTAAAGCGACTACAGTCTCTCCAGTGCTGGAGGAGCACAGTCTTAAGTGGGAGCTTGCATAGCCCAGGAGAGCACATAAAATGTGATTGGAAAAGCATAATCAGATTAATACAGTGCACATAATTTTACTGTTCACACTATTTTCTGTCCACAGCATCCAGAACTAAAAGCAGCTGCACAGAAAAGCCTCTTTGACTTCATTGAGTTGTGCATGGAAAAACTGCAGCCACAAGTTGAGGACAGTGTGACTTCAAAATTAGAATCAAGGTACAAAATACCAAAACCAGTTACCAGATTCAGTGATGAGAAACTGAGAGATGGAGGCTGTCAGCATGTCCATCAGGTTTTTCACAGGAAGGGAAAAGCCCAAAGAAATGTATCACAGTTCTAATTAAAGATTATCCATGCACTTGGTTTTACTTTGGTTTTGAGGCAGGAGCAATAAAAGTATTACAAATCTGATTTTGCTTATTCTGTTTCAGTATTTGCCGTGCTAATGGTGTTTTCTCAATGCAGCAATGGAGAATCTGATCCAGAGAGCAAACCGGCTGATTCCACTTTAGTTCCAAAGGACCAAAGTGGTAATAAATGGCAGTATTTACAACAAGAGCTGTCATCAAAGATGAAATCTCCTCTCTGCCAAATTGTGGAACCTCAGGTCTGTTTAAGTTCAGTAAAGCACTCTTTCTGTGAGCAGTTGGTTGTGGTAAAAATAGCAATTAGGCTATCTTCCTGCATTGTTATGTCATGTCTCTTCATCAGGTAACTGAAATCTGTGCAAACATTTTCCAGATGAAATTGTTACTGCATACTGTTTTCATGATTGTCTTTTGATTTTACTGCACAGTAATGTTAATAATGTCTCTGAAGTAGTGACTGCTAAGCATAGTGTGGGAGCAGATTGGTGAATCCTTGTAGTTAACATTCAGACAAGATGTTATTTGCTTAATTCTGTCAAGAGAACTAAGAGAGTTATCCAACAAGCTCCCAGACGATTCTCATGGATGTGGGTTAAATCTCAGTTCTTGCAAGTTGAAAAAAAAAAAGAAATTGTCAAAACAAATCTCTGCCTTAATTTTTTTTTTTGCCATTCACGGTTGTGTTCTGTCTTTCTCACATACCAAAAGTGGAGTTTGAACTGCAATGGGAGCACACTGTATATATATGTGTGTGTATATATATATATATATATATATATGTATCTTGAACAGACTGCAGAATTTTACTGTTTGGACAAAGCTGTAATTTCTGTCATTAACAGTTTTGATCACATTAAATTAAGATGACTACATTTCCTGTTCTCTAAAATTGCTGTATTACATGGAACAATATCAGTCATGTAGAAGCATGAATGTCAGCTTTTTCAGGCAAGACTTCCACTGCAGTAGGCAGTTGGCCTGTCTTATCACAAACTACAACTTGTAATTCTTAAAGCTGGGAATCAGAGGCTGCTTTTTCAACCAGTGTCCCATCAGGGCATAGACTACCCAACTGATTTTTGTCAGTAAAAAGGGAGCCCTGCTATCCAAGTGCTTTATATAATGCCTTGAAACTTTAATGCTTTCTGAGAGGTGTGTTGTCTAGTTGCCCAAAGCCCTGTCTTCATTTGAGCTTTTCACCTAATCACTATGTTCTTTTTCCAAATGTTAGATTACAGCAAAGATGAACATGCTACCCCGAGGCATATTTGCTAGTGCAGGAACCCCCACTGTGGAAGAGCTGAAAACTTACACTGTCCAGCTGGGGGACCTAAGCCAAGAAGCAAATGTGGTTCATACACAGGTAAAAAATGTCATGCCCTAGCATTGAAAAAAAACCAAGGAATTCTAGACACAAGGCACTGTTTGGGCACTGGGAAGCAGCAATAATCATTTCAAATGGCACTCACTGTAGTGTAGCTTTGCGTCAGGTGTGGACTATGAAATAGAAATCATCTTAGGATTTTGAGAGGAAACGTTTCAAGTTTCAGCTATGGTATTTCTGCTGCCTGAATCCAAAGATTTGCTAGTGTGGGTAGAATGCCGCGAACTGTATAAAGCAAGGAGCTTGTGAATGATTTCAGTAAATCTGCAATATTGGTGCTGACAAGACAAGTTGTGTTGTGCCCATTCATGAAATTAGAGACTTGTAAGACCACAGCCACTCTCAATACATAAATGGTCATTGTCTCAGCTTTGGCCTTGACAGCTCTGAATATTACATGCATATTACTGTCTCACCCACGTCTGTGCCTCAGTATTTCATTAATTCTATTTTGGTACTAGCTGACTGAACCTCTAACTTTTCACGAGTGAATAAATCTTAGCCATGACTTGGATGAAAGTACTGAAAACTTCTTACTTGCCTTTACACAGGATAATGTTGCAGAGGAAGTCTCTTCTTATTTGGACAGAAAATTATTTGAACTGCTTCTGGCAATCAGCCAGTGTTTGAATAACATGGAGGAGATGCTAAACACCTCTGTTCTCTCTGCTGAAGAGGCACGTGTGCAGCAGGCTCTTTACGAGGTAACTGTCCTAAAGCATCAAGGGAAAGAGAATCCCCAGTGGATTTCTTTTACAACAGAGTATATGTGGCATGATATTTTCTCTCTGTCATTCAGGAATAACACCATCAAACTTGGTGTTGCACAGATTTGAGCCTATTGCTTTTAACAACAATTATCAACTTGAAACCTGCTTTATATGATCAAGAGTCCTTGGACAGGGAGACCGTTTTCACTCTTGTTATCTTTCTTTCAAACCTTTAGACTCTTTCTGTGGAGCTGCAAAAACTTCACACTGATCTGAGTGATAAAAAGGATGATCTAAAGTCTGCTATCCATGCTGGTGGGAGCACAGATGTGTTCTCTGAGTGCTTTAACGACTTGCAAGCATGGCTGGAACAAACTCAAGCTGCCGCTGCTTTAAGGAGCAACTCAATGAAAGCTGGGCTGGATCATAATAGCAATTACGAGGTACTCCACTGCCAAATGCATGTCTTACTTCACACCATCTGTTAGACTTGTCAGTGTTAATGCATTTGGGTTACAGATGAGCAACCTATGATGGGCTTTCTTTTTTTCTTTTTTTCTTCTTTCGGTACTAAACAAGCTTGTCTTGGCCTCTCAAGAATCAAATTAATTTTGCTGTTTATGCAGTGCTATTTGCAGTGCTGACTACTATAGAGGCCTTGATCACAGGAGAAAATTCTCATGCAGAAAGGATGGAAGTCACCTGGGATCCCATGCACACTGAGCTACAGGCTAAAGAAGTTTCTGTGTGTAGGGATCAGACCAAGAAAGATTTTGTATATTATTTCTGCTGCTTTGTGGGCTCTTCCCCTTTGCTGCCGTGTCTGGCGCTGGGCAGCTATATACTGAAGGTTGATTTGACCCTTTTTATTGACCCTGTATTTACTGTTCTGATGCAGAGGGTTGACCAAATCAGTTCCTTTAGATTTTGTGCCACAGTAGCAGAAGCTATAGTTCTGCAAACTTGCCTTTTTTGTTCATCTTCAGAAAAGCAGATAATAAGAAAATTTTCTATAGATTCTCATGTTGGGCTAAATCTACTACCTGTTGTTGGGAAATATTCAGATCAGGTATTTAAGCTGAAGTAAGGAAAGAAAATTCTAGTCTTTGAAATACAGTTTGCAATGTCCAGCAAAACTCCAGTGTGCTCATCATCTGCAAGTCAGCCTAGTTCTTTACTGTTTAACATTAAAACAGTTCCTTTGAACAGTGGGATGTTGTCTTCAGACAGTAACAGGACTAGTCTTGCAATGTTTGCTTATGCAGATCCACAGAGCTCCATTAGTGGCCAGTAATGAGCACATTTTCAGAAGGAAAGAATTTTTTTCTTTATAAGTTTCACGGATTTTTATGGTCATAGAGGATCACTGTTACGGGAGTAATCTGCTTTTATACACAACACAGACTACAGAATTTCCTTCTCTAAAATACTGCTTTAAATAATGCACATGCTTTATTTTGTTGTGGTGGTTTGGGTTGAGTTTTTTTTGTTTGGTATTTTGTTTGTTTTTTAAGAGGAAAAAAGTGCTTTTGCCATAACAGGCAATCATTTTGTTTGTTATGTAATTTTGTCTGGTTGTTACTATATTCCTGTTACGTGATATACCTCTGATGCTTGTTTCTTTTGCAGAATGAAACCAGGCTGCTTTATGATCAGTTAACTGAGAAAAAGGCTGCTTTGCAGCAATGCTTGAACGCAATACATGGACATAATATTTCTGAACAGCTTCAGGTAATTCAACATAAAGGAGAGGAAGAACTCACAGCATTTGATTTTATTTCCATTTTTTTGGTATCTGTTAAGTTCCATGTTTTCTAAAGTTTGAGTCTCACTTAGGTTTTAAGAATGGGAAAGAAGAGAGTAACAAAAAAAAAACAACCCTCTTTTTGTTTCTACACCCCTTTCTGTAGTCAGACCTAATTCCAGTCCTTTTAGTAGTTGGAGTGGAGGAACCAGTCTCTCCACAATCTCTCAGAGCAAGTACGCTCCACCTTCTGGCAGGGAAGAAATGAGCTACATAAGTTACAGCACTTCACATGTTATGTTTCTTTTTATTTGCAAAACTAGTTTTTCTTTGTAGAAATAGGACTACAGTATTTGTATCTACTCATTCAGCATTTCTGAGCACTTTATCATAGGACATTTGACCAGTTAAGCTATTTTCTTCAACTTTCATAAGGACCAGCAGAGAATTAATATTCTCTACAGGCTACATATCCTCCACAGAATGGTCATCTGCTATCTGTCTGCTTCTTGGTGAAACAACACTTTCGTTACAGGCCCATAACCTTGTTTATAGGCAGAATTTTTCTGCCAGGTTGAAAGCTACATTGAGAACTGCTGAATCCCCTAGCAAGGACTGTTGCCCTACATATATTGTCAAGTAACCACTCTTGAAAAAGGAATGTCAAAAGTATATAGCTTCCCTTCCTTCAGAAAGAACCTGACTCAATCCACCCCTGACTGGGTTGTTCTATTTCATAAGAAAAAATGATATTTTCTGAGTACATGATTCCTTTTAGTGGCTGCTCTTGAATTAGTAAACTGAAGTGCATGTTGAAGGTTGGATTGAGATACAAGGCCTGAATTCTCTTTTGGCTGTGCCATGAGAATCCAGTAAGCTGTGTCATGAGCAATCTTACCTATTTAGTTTATAAGCTCATTGGATGTCAGTGTCTCCTTGTGAACTTATGAAGTGCTAGCACAGCAGATATCCATCTGCTGGATGTGCTGTGCTACTAGTGATAATGGAAAGTTTAATGGAACTAGAACTCTTCTTAATAGCTTATTTTGTCCTTAATTCAGAAAACTGATGCCTGTGCTTTGGAGCTGCAAGACCTTGAAAAACAAGTAGCAAAACTGAGAGGCCATGGGGAAAGACTTCAGTTACCTATCACCTTAATCCAGGAAGTTTATAAATTAGAGGTAAGAGCACAATACAGTTTCCACTTAGTCAGCAAGGTTTAATCCTCCAAACAATATATTTTTAGCATCAAAAGGCTGATGATTATTTTGCATTCTGGGAATGTATGTGCAGGTTTGTAAAATTCATTTTTGTCCTTCATAAATCACTAAACTGTGTTTACATTGTAGGATGTTTTGGACGACATGTGGGGGATCCTGAAAAGAAAGTATGAGGAGCTGAACTCTACTTCCATCAGTAGAAGCCAGTATGAGAAGTTACTGCATGGATTTGCAGAGCTGGTAGCTATTGGACAGGAGAAAATTGCACAAGATCCAAAGCAGCTAATCAAAAGCAGAGCAGCTCTACAGTCTCACCTGGAAGATCACAAGGTATAAGACGCTTATCGCAGCACTGCTCAGATCAACATAGCAGGAGCACTATATTCTTTGACTGATCTCTCTCCAGTGTTATGGAGAAAATAACTAGCTTATAGCATAGGGAAGGGACTGGAGTACATGCAGAAAGCAAAGCAGAGTTTTGCCATAGATCAAAATAGGACACACTAAAGGGAGGTCATTATTACAACTGCAGTTTTGGTGATAAATCAAGATCGGGATTTCAGTTTTGTCAGTTTAATACTACTATGGCTTACCTCAGAAGATACTGATGTGTGAGGAAAACACATGTACTCCTAATTACTGGTAATAAATCAATTGTGAGGTTCTTGAAGTTGCTGTCTAGCAATTGGGAGGGCTCTTTTGCTTTCAGCATTCTGCACCATCATGATCGAATGGAAGAAACTTACAACTCCTTAACTCCTTTCCTAAATGGAGGATAGTTTAGATCCTCCCCTTGCCAGCCCTGTGTCCCTGTACCCAGCTGCTACATGCTTGATTGGAGATGGCTGAGAATGCACCTGGATCCTCACTGTCCTGCTGTTTGGCAAGAAGGCCTGGCCAATGCTAGTCACTTGACAATGTCTGTTATGTCAATGCTTTAAGTGGTCCACATAGCTCAAACTTCCTTAAGAATTGTTTCAGGATGCTAAGCACTGCAAATCACTACTCCATTGTGGTAGGAATGGTGTTTGTCACTAGCAAATTAACCCTTAATTGTCCGAAGCAAAATGTTAGGAATTTATTTACAAAGGAAAGCAAAGAATATATCTGCAGTCCAAATATACACACATTGTTTTACAAAAGCAAAAAAAGTGCAAAAGCCTTTTTCCCTCCCCTGGTAATCAGGACTTAGCAGTCCTTAAACCGTCAAAACTTTTTTGTGGGTGTAAGCATTTTGTTCATACATTTCTCAGGAGCTCAGCTGAACCATAGCTAAAGCAAAATGTTACCTTATAGTTATCCCAGAGGATTACTGCGCCTTGCATACTACTTAACCCTTAGAACTGCTAATACCTTTGGTGCTTGGAGTCATCTTGCATCTAGGTGAAACAAATTGAATAATGGCTATCCAGTGATAACTACCTCATGCTAAATTATGAATTTAGTTATAGTTAAATTCTTCCTACCATCATCTTCATACAGCATATTTAATAGTTCGTATTTCATATGAACTGAAGGTATAAATGTGAATCTTCTCCTTTAGAAATGTATATCTGAAATTAGCGTATGCAACTGATCACTGGCTCCTGACTAAATGTAAAATGATCAGTAACTACAAGTCTAGGGGTGATGCAGAATTTGGATAGAAAGCTCCTGAGTCCAGCTATGAGAGACCCTGAAACTGGATGGTCTTCTTGATGAGTCTTCTCTGTCTTCTTCATATGCCTGCTGTGGGAGTGTGGTCTCTCTTAAAGAGCAAGTTTAAACTTGTTTTTTTCAGGACTTTTTCCGCAGCCTGGTGACCCACATGGCTTTCATACAAGTGTTTTCAAAGAGAGTGAGTCCTTCCATCCTACAAAACAAAGAGGAATTTTGGAGAGAGATGGTGAATGAAGTCACATTGCTGGAGCAGAAGGCTTGCCAGTATGGTATACACTTAGAGAGCTTGTTAAAGGTAATGAGTCAAAAGAAACCCAGAGTAAAGGCTGGAGGGAAGAAAAAGAATTGCATCTAGGGAAACCCTTTCTGCACCAGTGATTTCTTAGTCTAGTAGTTGTTCTTTCATGTCTCCACTGGACAGCAGAAGTCTATTACTTGTTCTCTGTGTGTCTGGCTTTTTTCCTTGAATAAAACATAAGATAGATCTTAAAACACCCTTAGAGAATAAAAAAGTAACCATACCACTTTAAAATAAATGTTAAAAATATTGGCGAATTTGGGCTCATTTGGAGAGCTTTAAACTAGATTTGAAGGGGGATGGGGTTGTAGCTCGGCTTGCCTCAGTGGGACAGCGCTCCGGAATTGATGAAGACTGGGAGGCCTCCTGTAATCCTAGGGTGAAATCGGTGTGCTCGGCTCGCTCCCTGAAATGTCTGTACGCCAATGCGCGCAGCATGGGAAAATAAGCAGGAGGAGCTAGAAACCTGTGTTAAGTCGGGGGATTATGATCTGGTGGCAATTACAGAGACGTGGTGGGACAGCTCACATGACTGGAATATAGTCATGGAGGGCTATGTCCTTTTCAGGAAAGACAGGCCAGCCAGGCGGGGTGGTGGGGTTGCTCTTTACGTGCGAGAGCAGCTACAATGCGTTGAGTTCTGTCCGGGGACAGATGATGAGCGAGTCGAGAGTCTGTGGGTGAGAATTAAGGGGCAGACTGGCAGGGGTGATACTGTTGTCGGGGTCTGTTACAGGTCACCAGATCAGGGTGAGGAAGTTGACGAGGCCTTCTACAGGCAGCTGACAGCGGCCTCACGGTCACAGGCCGTGGTCGTCGTGGGGGATTTTAACTTCCCTGATGTTTGCTGGAAGGACTACTCGGCAACCCAGCCGCAGTCCAGGAGGTTCCTCCAATGTATGGATGATAACTTCCTCATGCAAATGGTGGATGAGCCAACCAGGAGAGGTGCGCTGCTGGATCTCATCCTCACTAACAAGGAGGGTCTGGTTGAAGGAGTGAAGGTTGAGGGCTGCCTTGGTTGCAGCGACCACGAGATGGTAGAATTCAGGATCTTGTCTGGTAGGGTCAGTAGAATAGCAAGTAGAATCGCAACCCTGGACTTTAGCAGGGCAAACTTTGGCCTCTTCAAGCGATTGCTAGGGGAAATCCAGTGGGCTAGGCTGCTTGAAGGGAAAGGGGCCCAAGATAGTTGGTTGACGTTCAAGGACTGCTTTTTCCGAGCTCAAGATGAGAGCATCCCGACACGTAGGAAGTCGAGGAAGAGGGTCAGGAGACCTGCGTGGTTAAATAGGGAATTGCTGGGTATGCTCAAGTGGAAGAGGAGAGTTTACAGGTCATGGAAAGAAGGGCTGGCCACTTGGGAAGAATATAAGGCTGCTGCTAGAGGATGTAGGAAAGCTGCTAGGATGGCTAAGGCCTCCTTGGAATTAAAGCTGGCGAGAGGGGTCAAGGACAGCAGAAAGAGCTTTTTCAAATACATGGCAGGTAAAACTAACACCAGAGGCAATGTAGGCCCGCTGATGAACGGGACGGGTGCCCTGGTGACAGAAGATACAGAGATGGCAGAGTTACTGAATGACTTCTTTGTCTCTGTCTACTCTGCTGGAGGCAGCCCTGAAGAGCCCTGTACCGCTGAGACCCCGGATGAAGATAGGTCAACGGAGCGGTCTGCCTTAGTTGATGAGGAACGGGTTAAAGATCAGTTGAGCAATCTGGATATCCATAAATCCATGGGTCCAGATGGGATGCACCCGCGGGTGCTGAGGGAACTGGCTGAGGTCATAGCTAGACCGCTCTCCATCATCTTTACCAAGTCTTGGGAAACGGGAGAGGTGCCTGAGGACTGGAGGAAAGCAAATGTCACTCCTGTCTTCAAAAAGGGCAAGAAGGAGGACCCGGGTAACTATAGACCGGTTAGCCTCACCTCCGTTCCTGGGAAAGTGATGGAACACCTTATGCTTGGTGCCATCTTAAGGCATATCAAGGATAAGAGGGTTATGAGGGGCAGTCAACATGGCTTCACCAAGGGGAAGTCGTGCTTGACCAATCTTGTAGCCTTTTATGAGGAAATAATGCGGTGGATGGATGATGGTAGAGCAGTGGATGTGGTCTACCTCGACTTCAGCAAAGCGTTTGACACGGTCTCCCACAGCATCCTTGCAGCTAAATTGAGGAAGTGTGGTCTGGATGATCGGGTAGTGAGGTGGACTGTGAACTGGCTGAAGGAGAGAAGCCAGAGAGTTGTAGTCTATGGGGCGGAGTCTAGTTGGAGGCCTGTATCTAGTGGAGTGCCTCAAGGGTCGGTACTGGGACCAGTATTATTTAATATATTCATCAACGATTCAGATGAGGGAATTGAGTGTACTATCAGCAAGTTTGCTGATGACACTAAGCTGGGAGGGGTGGCCGACACGCCAGAAGGCTGTGCTGCCATCCAGCGAGACCTGGACAGGCTGGAGAGCTGGGCGGGGAATAACTTGATGAAATATAACAAGGAAAAGTGTAGAGTCCTGCATCTGGGCAGGAACAACCCCAGGTTCCAGTATAGGCTGGGGAACGACCTGTTAGAGAGCAGTGTAGGGGAGAGGGACCTGGGGGTCCTGGTGGACGACAGGGTGACCATGAGCCGGCACTGTGCCCTTGTGGCCAAGAAGGCCAATGGCATCCTGGGTTGTATTAGAAGGGAGGTGGTTAGTAGGTCGAGAGAGGTCCTCCTTCCCCTCTACTCGGGCCTGGTGAGACCTCATCTGGAATATTGTGTCCAGTTCTGGGCCCCTCAGTTTAAAAAGGACAGGGACCTGCTGGAGAGAGTCCAGCGCAGGGCAACTAAGATGATTAAGGGAGTGGAGCATCTCCCTTATGAGGAAAGACTGAGGGAGCTGGGCCTCTATAGTTTGGAGGAGATTGAGGGGTGACCTTATTAGTGTATATAAATATATAAAGGAGGAGTGTCACGAGGATGGAGCCAGGCTCTTCTCAGTGGCAAACAATGAAAGGACAAGGGGTAATGGGTACAAATTGGAGCACAAGAGGTTCCACTTAAACCTGAGAAGAAACTTCTTCTCAGTGAGGGTGACGGAACACTGGAACAGGTTGCCCAGGGAGGTTGTGGAATCTCCTTCTTTGGAGACATTCAAGACCCGCCTGGACACGTTCCTGTGTAACCTTATCTAGGTGTTCCTGCTCCGGCAGGGGGATTGGACTAGATGATCTTTTGAGGTCCCTTCCAATCTCTAACCTACTGTGATACTGTGATACTGTGAATAAATAATTAATTCATCTGTGCTAAAATCATCCTTCACCTTTTTTTTGTGTTCTGTTTCATTAAAGCAAGAGCTGCTTATGCTAGAATAAGCAGTCTAGTGTGGTAAAAATGCAGATGGATATGTGCTATGTTCATGCTACAATGTGTTTTTTAGGAATGGATGGAGTTTGATGATGAATACCTAGTTTTGAGTAAGGAGATGGAGGCAATTACCTCTACGTTGCCTTCTGTGAACTTGGTTGATGAAACAGAAGAAAGATTGATGGAAAGGATTGCACTTCTGGAGGTATTTATGCATCTATCTTTCTGACTTGTTTTCTTCTTGTATCTGTAGAACTGGCAAAAAGAATAGTTAGAATATGAGGTGGTGATTGTTTGCAGGGCACTGTTTCCTTTGTGTGCTTGTCTGTGTGTGGATGCAAGCTGAAAATTTGCATTTAAAAGTAGCAGGGGTTCAGGCTGCTAATTTCAGCCAAGGGCTACAAGTTCATTTAAGTGGGAATAATGACTGTAGCTACTTTAGAACTTGGTCTTCAAATACAAATAATGGGAGAAAATGGTGTGATGGCTACATGGATCCCAAGGACAGCAGGTAGCCTTAGAGTGAACACAGAGCTACTTCTCTGTAACTCAGGAATGGTTTTCATGCCATGATGTAAAACCTATGGAAGAGGAGAATCAACCTAGTAGCTTCAAATATCTGAATTGCTAGTTACTTCTGAACAGAAGGTCTACAGGTTTATCAGCTACTTTTAAAATCCTGAGAATTCAAAATGAAATGTTCTGATTTCTGTCTTCTGGGGGAAGGGGAGGGGTCCCAGCACTAGAGCTTCACAGTTTCAAGGACACAGCAGAATAAAGTTCCCTTATTCTTAATTCCTGTTAGAGAAATATCCCCATTAACAATATTGTAGAAGCCCTTTATTGCTGGAGGCAAATCACGCAATTGCTACTTTCTGCCTTTTCCCTGGAATTGATTTACTTCCTAAGCTGTTTTTTCTTTTTTTCCCTTTTTTGATTTTGACCTTGCAGTGAAGCATAGTAATGCTAAAATGATGCTTTGCTTTTTTTCACCCATCTAAGCAAACCAGACCACTCCTTTACTTAATGCCTTCACTGTTAATTCTTCATTCCTCCCTGCCACCATTATTCAATAATTACACCAACAGCTTCCTTCAGAAGACTGGTGACATTTTTAAAATAGGACAGAGTCTGAAGGCCCTCTAAGAACAGGAGGGCAATAACTTTCAGCTGAGGACAGTAATATGTTTGGACAGTGCGACCAGATGTGATAAGAGAGTGTTTGTCCATTGCCTGAGGCTTAAATGTATTCAAAAAGCCCATCAAATCATAAGACAGTCATTCTGCTAATGTATGAAATTATGCTGAGATCTGTCTTGATATATTCTGAGGAAACAAAACAAACTGCATCCCTTTTGCATGTAATGAAGTACAGGTTCCTTCTGTTTGGAAAACAAAATGCATGATAGAGGAAATGTGAGATTAAGAAGTTAGAACAAATCATATCTTTTGCTGGTTGTGTTTTCAGTTTTTAAAATATTATTGTTTTGTAAACCTCCCGTATTCTCATAGCAAATCAAAACCAATGTCAATGAAAAGCATGCCAGGCTGTACCAGATGGTGAAAGAAGGGAAGAAATTGCTGACTGCTGTGAGCTGTCCAGAAATAAGCTACCAGATTGGGAAGCTGGAAGAGCAGTGGTTATCTTTAACCAAAAAAGTTGGCCATGAGCTACACCGACTGCAAACATTACTCAAACTCTTGGTCAGGTGGGTATAGGAAAGCAATTAGAGGTATCAGCTAGAAATTTTCTGATCTGTTGATTTATTTTCTGAAATATGGCAGTGAATTAATAAATACGAGAGCTCCTTTGACCTAAAAATGAAAAAAAAAAACCCAACAAAACCAAACACAAAAGCAGTGGTGATCAGAAGAGTGGCTCCTTATTACACAGCTGATCTCTCACTGTGTAGACAAGTCATTTACTTCCTGCATACTTTGTTTAATTGCTGCCATTGCAAAGTCAGTGTAGTGGTGAGAGTTAGCTGCATCGTGCTGCAATTTTTACGTTGGAAGTGTTAACAGAAGCTCTGATCACGCTGCTCTAAGCATTTTGGCCTGCTACAAATGCAAGCTAGCCTTGATTTGTATGGAAAGGCGTAATGTATCAGTCTGTGCATGTACACTATCCACCTTACACACATCAAATGCTGGCTGATACACTTTTCTTTTGAAGCTCTTCAAAAGGGAAAGACCCAATGTTTTCACATGCCCCAAGCCAACTGTCAGTGCAATCCTGGCAGTCAGGTGGAGAAAGTTTGGGGCTCTATATCACAGTCCACCAGCTGATGTTCCAAGCATACCTTGTCTGTGTGCTCTAAGCTCAGGATGGCTGGACCCATAGTGTGGATGGAACATACTAGTGTTTGTTGGTGTTTACCCCTGCTGTGTATTGTGCACTGTATCTGCAGTGTGCACAGTCTCCTCTGGTGGTTTTGACCTCCAGCAAAGCTTTCTTCTCCCATGTGAGCTTGTCCTGGCAACTGCTAGGTGAATACAGAAAGAGAATTTCAGGGAGAGCAGACCAGCTGAAAAGAGCTGATAGGAACAGTTTTGTGTACATCCAGCAGAACTGTTGTGTTGCACATTGAGCCATCCTGTAGCCATTCTGTAGGGTTATGTAGCAGCATAGGTGCCAGATAGCACATGCCTCCTAACAGAGAGGACAACTTGGAGGGCGAGAAATGTATCCTAGACTCAGCTTGGAGATGTATGTTCGTGTGCTTTGTTTTCTCCTTGTAGCTACAGCAGACACTCAGAGGACCTAATGAAATGGCTGGATTCTGCTCAGCAAAGAATGATTTTTTTGAAGGAGGAGTCTCTCAGTGTGGCACAAGATCCTGTTACCATCAAGAATAACATCAAGAGCTTGTTTGTAAGTAATTTCTCTTGTCAGGTTTAGCTAAGACATTGTGTCTTCCAGTGTGAAAATGACCTTTTCAGTGGTTTTTGTATTTACCATGACCTAGAAGCTGCCCACATAATATAGCATTGAATGGCTGTGTGTCCCAAAGCCACCCCATTATCTGTGTGAGAACCATGAGGATGGGAAGCTACCAAAGACCTTCCTTCAGATTGGGAGGCCAGGTAGAGTGCATAAATTGCAATGGAGTCCTCATAATGAACTCAACTGCAAGGTATTAGAGCCCAGATAAGATCTCTTAAACACCTGCAATGTAATAGTATGATTTCTGTCTTGCTCCTGATGCCAAATACAGAAGTTCAGCTAAGCTGATGGGCCACTTACCAACTGAATCTGGAGTCTGGGTGTAGTGAACACTAAGGCTGTTCTTCACTAGGGACCAGGTCTGTGAAGGTGGTCTGCCAAATGGTATTCCCAAGCCCTGTGGAGCAGAAGGTAGAATTCAGCTTTGTATCAAGGTGGGCAGGAAAAGGCCTTGCGTGCTGCCAGAACATGTTGAATTTAGGTTTTCTGAACTTTATAGACTTGCTAAAATCTGGTTGTTAAGGCAGCTCATCCTTTGACTGAAAAACTTGTTTAAAAAGATACATAAAAATTCACCCTCTCAAATTTCTCCTGTGCATCTCAGACATTATCTAAGGAGATTGATGAAAAATCTTCCCTGAAGTCATCTGTGGTGAGCACTGCCAACCAGCTCTTCCACATGAAGCAAGGTGATACTGCAGCAATTAAGTCATCTTTGGCAAAGATTGAGCAAGAATGGGGAGAACTGATTACACAGCTCCCAGCCATCCAAGAAAAGCTTCACCAGGTGAGAAACTGCTGACATCTCTCAGTTCAAGCTAAGTAATTATTTTAAAATGTTGCTGTGGGATTCAGTTGGCTGCTCCATAAGGCACCTCCTTTCTAATTAGCTGTCTTCTTGCTTTCAGAATATCCCCAGTATTGTACTGCAGTTTAATTGTTGCTGTGTTTTTTGGGCTGTTTTGTACATGTCTATCATATTTACAGTTTGATGTGTAAGTCTGTGACAGTTAGAATTTTACTTCAAATTTCTGAATTTTCAACCTTTTCTTACATCATATATCCCTCTGTAGTACAGGACTCACTTTCAAGTTCATACCCCAGTAATTGCAATTATAGTGCCCGAGCCTTTCTAAAAATATGGGTGTCATCTTCCTTGATTTTTCTAACAAGCAGAGTGTAGAGGATTCATTATATGCTCTTCCAGCTTCAGATGGAAAAACGTTCATCACTGGAAGCTGTTGTTGACCTAATGAGCTGGCTGTACAATGTGGAATTTGAGCAGAAATACAAGGAGCCAATAAATGCACAGTGGAGTGCTGCCCAAGTCAGAAATCTCCTTCAGAAGTACAAGGTAAATGAGAAACTGTAAGTCCAGGCCTTCTGCAAGGTGTTTAGCTGTTGAAAGGATGAAAACAGCCTACAAGCACAGTGTTATCCTTCACCTTGCTGTAAAGAGGGTTCCTTAAACAGTTTGAAAGGTGCTTAAACATCTTCCTTTATAAAAACCTTTTTGTGTCCATGGCACACAAAACACTGCTGGCCCTGCAGTACAGCTACTGCTGTGCTATAATCTCATGTTGTCCCATCTGTCTTGCTTATTTTCTCTGATATTTAGATTATAAAACATGTTCACTAGGAAAGGTTTCCTTCCTTAGGAAGATAGACTGTGTGTTTACACTGTATTTTAATTTGTCTTTTCAACAAGGAATACCTTGTAATGGAGCTCCATAACCACAATCTGTTTAACTAGAGAACCGGGGTTTTGAATACTATGTTTCATCAACTGCAGTTCACAGGCACGTTGGTACTGCACGTAAGGCAAGTGCCAACATAAACATTTCTTTCAGAGTGCGTTAGTATAGCATTATATAACATTTTGGTATATATCAATTCAATTCGGTAGTTAGAACATGTAGGTGGGGTGCTGGTTTTAACCCCTTGGATATTTAGGCATCAGTTTGTTGGTGTGTCTTCTGCACTTGTCAGCAATGTGGGGATGTGTATGCTGGGAAGAAAGCTGGGATCAGGGTCACAAATTCCTACAGGGAAGCAGCTACAGCTTCAGTACCTCTACTGTGGTATTCCCTAGTGGCTTTTTTCCAGGTACTACTAGATACAGTAAGGAGCCCTTTCTTCCCCTCTTATAAGACCTGAAATAAAAAGGCATTCCCTTATGATATTCTCACTTTGCATGTAGTTTCTCACTCATCTCTGTGGGCAAGTGCACTCATACTGGAGGACACTCTCCTCCCAGATATTCTGATACCAGGTATTTTGATAAAGGAGCATAAGCCCTTGTCTACACTTGTCTATGAGTTGCGGGAGTGTGGGAAGGCCTCAGTCTTAGTGTAATCTGGGCCCATGGCAGTGTGATGGTATTGTCCAATGGATAAAGTACTGGGTCTTATACCCGCAGGTTTATTCTCTGCTCCAGCACTAGTTCTTACCTTGAGCTAATCACATAATGGTAGGGATTTTCTGCAAAAGTTCCCAGTGAAAGGAAATAGCTACAAGAATGTAAAAACTGAGAATTATTCCTACAGCCACGTGTCCTTTAGAGAAATACTTTAGGCCATGGTTCAGAATAAGCCATCAATGTCCCATAACTATACTTGAAGCATCTGTGGAACTGATCAGAATAAAACTGGCAAAATGATTGTTTTATGTTTTTTGTTTTTTTCCTGTGTTTTCCCTCCCCTTTCCAGGAATATATGATGGAAATGAACGTTAAACAGTGGACAGTAGATTTTGTTAACCAATCACTCCTGCAGATGAGCACTTGTGATGTGGAAAGCAAGAGATACGAAAGGACAGAATTTGCAGAGTATCTTGGAGAAATGAACCTGCAGTGGCACAGGATGCAGGCATCTCTGAACAGAAAGGTCTGACTGAGTTCTTCCTGCTTTCTTTCTCACAGCTCTGATCTTGCCTCTACCAGTGCTCTGTATTGTATAAGCAGCCTTTCTCTCTGAGTCTGAAAACACTGTTGAACACAGTAAAGCCCCCTGTGCTCTCTGCTGTCTATCCATGATGCTGTCCAGTATGGCAGCCTATGGAGTGGCCTTGTAGCACATTAGCTATCAGCTGGTGGGCAGGCATCTAAACATCAGCAAGGTCTGGGAGGGTAAACTCTCCTGTAACTTGTATGGACAAAAAATAGACAAAACTTACTCTTCATGACAGTTTGGGGTTTACCCTAGTTAACTCTATTAGGTGGAAAAAAAAAGATTCCTCATATGAAGAAAATACAGTCAGTGACATGTCAACAAGGAAGATCTATATTGAGAAAACTATGTAGAAGGAAGAATTTAGGGTAGTGTCTGCAGGGAAACCTGTTAGTGAGATCTGTCAATTGGGGAAAACTGGGGAGCTGTGAAATCTGGGGCATTTAAAACTTAATGGGAAAAATTTCTGGATAGTTTGTGGAAAGAAGAGGTGCTACACTGCTTGGTACAAACAGTCAGGCCCTGCTCAGCAAGCACAGCACCAGAAAAGCAAACATCCCCTCTACATGCCATATGATGCTAATAAGAAATAGGGATATAGTTAAACTATCACCCATTTTCCTGTTGTAGCAGTTGGATTTGCCAAAAAAGTAATTAATAAGAAAGAAGTGCTGACAGCTGTATTCAGATAGGGATATATGTGCTGGAAAAGTCACAGCAGGGATCAGTTCCCAGCCCTGTTCCAGCACTGCTAGGTCACTGGAAATGGGTTGCTGTCTGTGTCCTCCTTCTGAAGTAATTAAATATGCTTTCCCAATGGAGTGCTTTGAAGAACAGCAGCTATAGACAAATTCTACATGGAGTCTAACTATAGATCATCTTTCTCAGTAGAAAATCTGTTTCAGGCAGTGCCTTGGAATTGTAGTGAGGCTACAAAATAATCTGTGCATCCAGAATGAAATGCCACTGCTTTTGTGTCCCAGTGCCTAGAAAAGCTAATTTGACTTGTGTGATATAGGGAAGGTTAGAATCCCAATATGCAAGCATGAGGCTGCTGGAATGCAGCCTTTTACCAGCACATTCCTTTTACCATCTCTTTTTCTCTTCTGAATGTATAGGGAGAAAGCTGTGCTTTGGGCAGCTTTGGGAGAAGCTGCCCACACGGAATCCAGATACAAAGACTGCTGAACAAACAGAAAATTCCCAATTTTTTCTGGCTCAGAAAGCGTTCAAGAAACATGTTCAAGTGGAAAATCTGATTCCTGCACAATTGAAACTTTCCATTATGAAATTCCAATTGGAGGGGGAAGTTATCTTCTCTAACCACTTTCAAGAAACTGCATTCTAGGATTTAATAGATCCTCAAGGCCTAAGATTGAGGATAGGAGACTTGAGGTGCCTTGCTTGTTAGTAACTTTGTTAGTGGGTTTGAGGAAGAATGAGGTTTTCAAACTCCATATGAATGTGTCTGCATAGCCTAGGGTTCCCCACCTTGTCAGGTCTACAGGCTGCCAGCTCTAAAACCCACACTGCTGTGTTTTCTTCCTAGGGAAAAGGTCAGATCCTAAAAAGCCAGTAAAACTTTTCGACTTTTCCTTTCAAAATGTTTTCTCTTAATAGTACTTTCAATGTAGATACTGTCATCTCAAATTTTGTCCTGGAAGGGGGAGCCCTGTTTCTGCTCACCTCTAGGTTTAAGGATGTTAAAATGGTTTTGTAACTTTCAGATACAAGACCTGGAAGATGTTTTGGAGGATATTACTGAAAATGAGAACAAGGCACAGAATCTACACAATTGGCTGGAAGCTCAGAGTGAGCGACTGAGGTCTTTACAAACTCCAGCAAGTCTGATCTCTGCACAGAACACATTAGATGATTGCAAGGTAAAGCCTTGTATGTGTGATGTTATTGTAAAAACATTTAGCACTTTGTTGAATCCGGACTAAAGAACTGCAAAGATTTTAAAGAAAATTATAAAGGAAGTTGGTGTTTTCTGGAAGAATGCTACAATGTAATTCTAATTAAGCATGTTAGTTTCAGGTGATGAAGAGCAAGATCCACTTTGTACTGGGTTCAGCAGTAGTAGTCAGTTTTCTCCTTCTTAGCAGCTGGTGCAGTGCTGTGTTTTTGACTTTCAGTCTTGGAACAACACTGATAACACCGATGATTTTAGTTGTTGCTAAGTAATGTTTACTCTGACCAAGGACTTTCTGAGTCTCATGCTCTGCCAGGGAGGAGGGAAAGCAGGGAGGAAGCAGAGACAGGACACCTGACCCAAACTGACCAAAGAGATATGCCATACCACAGCACATCATGCCCACTATATAAACTGGGGGCAGTTACAAGAAGGGCTAGATCACTGCTCGGGTCAGGCTGAGTATCAGTTGGTGGGTGGTGAGCAGTTCTATTCTATTCCCTTGTTATTTCCCTTATCATTATTATTATTGGTGGCAGCAGTAGTGATTTGTGTTATACCTTAGTTACTGAACTGTTCTTATCTCAACCCATGGGAGTTACATTCTTTTGATTCTCCTCCCCATCCCTCTGAGAGAGGGGGAGGAAGGGGGGAAGTGAGTGAGTGCCTGTGTGGTTCTGAGTTACTGGCTGGGCTTTAACCATAACACACTTTTAATGTGAATTGCTATTTTATGGTTTTTTCTTCCAATTGAAGATGTGTCTGCTGTTGTTCAGTGGTATTTGGAGTGTTGTGCAGCAATAATGTAGATCTTATTCTAAAGGAAGTTGTTCTCAGTTCAGCACAGCCATGGCAAAAGCTATCCAACCCATTAGTTTGAAGAACTGTGGTGAAAGTGTCGGAAAACTACACAGTCCGATTTGGAAAAATAGCAACTCCCTCCACTCTTGCCACAGAATGTAGTCTGTCTGCACCAGCTTCAGGAATCTGGGTGTCCTTTGATTTTGTTATGTTTTACTAGGCATCAGCTCCCTCAAAATTAGTATAGGTGGAGCCAACTAATAATTGGCTTCTATTTCTCTGACAGTCTGCTCTTTTCATTGACTACAGCGTTCCCTCTCTATTTTTTAACATGGTATATTTGGTCTTCCATTGCCATGGTTACATCTCTCTCTTGTTGGCTCTCTCTTGGGCTGCTGTTATTGCCCAGAGTGCTCTGTTACACACTTGTGTCTCTGAAGTACTCTGAAATATATCAAGGGGCCAGAATGGAAGAAATGCACAGGGTATGTCTGACTAAAATACTAACTTGCTTCCAGAAAGGTACGCTGCTAGCATGCAGGTGTCTAAAATCTTTCATTAAAATTCATTTTCTCAATAAAAATTAGGTCCAAATTTGAAAATGTTTTGGGGACAGTAAGAAGGGGGAAGGGAAATAGTCATGGCTTTAAGTATAGTGTTACAATAAACTGTTACAGCCTACTCCATGTATGGATATTTACTTACATTGCGAAGAGCTTACTGCTGAGCTTTCCCTAGCATGTTAAGACTAGTTTATAATCTTGTTGATTGTGTTTGGGGAGGGGAAGTTATTCTCCCAGGCATTTCCATTGATTTCAGTGAAGTTCGTTGCCTGGGAGGACAAGCTGAACATAATTGTCTAGAAGTAGTTAGGATGTCAGGGACTCTCACATTGAAAATCAATTCCTATCTTACATCTGTCTGGTGGAACAGAGGAGACCTGAATGCTACCCTGCCCAAGAAAACTTTCAACTGCATTAACAGAACTTTGGCATCATGTAGGAGAGGTACAGAGGCCTGTGTGGTGGCTGCAGAATTGTCTCCTGATTATTTCCTTCCCAAGTACGATGTACAGTGCTCATGCTGATACTAAATGGCCTGATTCTTGCTACTTGCAGGACACTGTCTAAAGCAGTCACTATCATTTTGAATTCCTGTAAAGCAGTTGTTCTGTATGAGAGTTGAAATGGTGGTTTTGTTGCGTGGCTGAAGAATCACACCAAATTGGTTTTAGAGAAGGAATGTTTAAGCTTTTCACACAGAAGGTTTTTCTATGGTCTTGTCAAAAGATCTTATTTCTCATCCTTTTTTTTTTCAATGTATTTTTTATTTTCTTCTTTAATTTAGGAGCTAGAAGATCAACTTGCAGCTAAATCCAGAACTCTTGATGAGCTCAAACAGTGTTGGGGCTTGAATAGTAATGCAGAACAAACCCCGGAAGCTCAGCGTGTCACATTAGCTGAGCTGAGTGAAATGCTGAACAGCCTTACAAACCAGGTAAAAGCTTTGTTTGCATTCACATTTCCTCCATTACATGTTTTTGCCACCTTCTGACTGATGTGCCAGGCCATCTGATCCACACAGTCCAGTAAACCTGGACTGGTTCTCTAGTTCAGTTGTACTACTCATGGCCAAGGTCTGGGTCATTGTCATGCTTGTTGTTCGGGTTTGAGTAGTCACAGGTACTGGTCACAGGAACCAAAACAGCTGCAGTGTTTGTCACCGAAGATTGAACAGCCACCATACTTGCTGCTGGGGTTTGAGTGGCTGCAGTGCCTGTCAAGGGGATAAAAATAACTGCAATTGCTGCTGCTGGAGTTTGAGCAGATACTGGTCATCAGAATTTGAGTAGTTACAGCGCCTCTTGTGGAGGTTGAAGTGGCTCCAGTGCTTGTCACTGGAGTTTGAGTAGCTCTGGTGTGGTCTGAAGCAGCCAAAATCCTTGTGACTGGAATTTGAGTAGCCACAGTGGCTGTCACTGAAGCTTGAGTTCCTCTTCTTCTCCTTCAAGCCGCAGTGCTTCTCATGCAGGTTGGAAACCTGCAGTGCTTCTCATGCAGCTGTTTAAGCCTAAGCAAGATATGAACTGTATTCAACAACATACTGATTCCTAGCGATAGGGGCAGGCTTGTTTAAGCATCCCAAGATGCTGAAAGAATAGTCAAAATTTTCAAAATTCTCAAATGCTGCTGTAAATAACCTGGTGAGGGATATATCCTTGATTGGTTGACATTCCGAGGAGAAATGGCAAAAGGTATAATGATTAATAGTTCCCGTTAGATGCCTCCCACAATCTAGAGGTGATGAAAATGCTGAGAACACATACCAGATAAATTTCATGACCAGCAATTCTACTGCATCACAAGCCACTATTATAAAGCACAACAAAACAAGAACCTTAGCTCAGGCACCAAAGCCAATAAACACCAAAACAGGGAATGCAGGCTGTAATCATGGTGATACAGAACTCTGAGACCAAGTGCAACAACTACAAGAGCAAACAAATCAACATTTTGAACAGTGGCTATTAATCCAATACAGTGAATGCTTATAGCAAATTTGTTTTGACACCCCCTGGTGAAATCTGTCATTATCTCAACCCTTTGATCCCCGGGCTGGGTGCAAAAAAGGACTGTTGTGGTTTAAACCCAGCCGGTAACTAAGTAACATTCTTCCTTTTTTTTTTTCATTTTTTTCATTTAGAAGCTAGAAAATCAACTCACAACTAAATCCCTAATTCTTCATGAGCTCAGACAGTATTTGGCTTTGGTTAGTAGTGCAGAACAACACCCAGATTCTCTCAGGATAGTTGAGCTGTGTGAAATGGACGGACTTGTAAACCAGATAAGTTTTCCTCCAGTGCATATTCTTACCACCAGTCTCATCAGTATTACTCATAGGATTGCAGGAGCTGGTACAAACAAAATGCAAAGTATTCCTTATTTTTAACCTTCCTAAGATCTTTTTTTGAAGTCTTTACCATAATATAAATTAATGTATTTCCAAAGTTAAGAGAGAAAGTCTGATCTTGAATTAGTAGTAGTAGATAATCTGCAGTTTAATAGAATTTAAAAAAGAAAAAAAAAAGCACTGCTATTTTTCTGTCAAGTTGGAAGCAGAAACCTGTTTTCTCTTTCATGCCCTGGTCTTTCTCCCCTGTAGTACACTGGTGGAAGGTACTTACTCCTGCCCCATTCTCTCTACAGCTTTTCCATCCCCCAGCTATTCTCTTGTCAACACAACTGGATGGATTTCGCTATCTTCAAATCCTATGTCGTTTCCAGTTTTTCAAGGAGAGTCTGGCAGATTGGTTTCCCATTCAAATTGACTCTCCAGCAGTTTGTCTTTGTAGTTATATTCTCCTTATGCTTGGAACTGATCTTTTTAATCTAGATTTAATTGATAGGCACGGAAGATATAATGGCAAGTACATTTATTTAGATGCAAATTTCTGATAATAAACAACCATCTGCTGCAGAGAATGTCTGCAAGTGCAGTGAAACACTGAATACTGCTTACTTCCCATGGATGACTGCTCTCAGCACAGCCAGGATGTGATTTCAGATATGGGTCTAAGGAGATGTGATACCTTGATTGCATTGTTCATAGGTTGATCTTGAGACTGTGAGTCTGTGGCCCAGACATTTCATGAGCATAATGTCTTTCCATCTTCCTTGTGTGGCGGTAATTAGCTGCAGGCTACAAAAAACAAGTAAAGATTCCTCCCACGTATACCATGATTCAAATACGAACAGGGATGATACATCTATCAACATGTGCATGCCTGGAACTTGGATACTAGGATACAATGACCTATACAGTATATTTAGGGTGAACTGTGGTGTAGAAAAGTTTTCATCTTCCATTGTGTGGATCCATAGTAAGAACTGAAATATGGCATCTATTTTTGTCCCTTCCAACCCAAACCATCCTGTGATTGTATGATATGCCTTATATATGTACCAAATAGGGAAGGATAAAAAGAACAAATAATGATGAGTTGATGGTTTTGTATTTGCAGTGTCTAGGGCTATGTGGCAAATGGAAACCATGCTTGCCCCCATATCAACAACTGCAGCAATTGAAGAGACATAGAAAAGAAAGTGGATACCTATAATTTAGTTTTATATGAGAATCCTGAAGTTCCTAGACTGTGATTCAGAGGGGCCTGCGTTATTAAAGCACAATGGGATAAGAGAGATGATACCTCTCCAGAGTATCGTAGTAGCGTCTTCTTCCATACAAAGCAATTTCTGTTCAAATTTTCTTTAAAAGGAAACTTGATCTCTGGATCAAACTATATGCTTCCTAAGAATATTAAGGCTCTCAACTTCTTCCCATGTCAGGTTGATTTTGACAGGAAGGAATAAGCAGTTCATTATTTCAGTATCTTTTACTTTTTGGGTTCTTCTGGAGTTTTGGCTGACAGAATAGTGCTACCTTTGAACCTTGGTTAAATTTCTGTTTCCATCAAATATGCGTGGTTTGAAACCTGCACAGTTCCTTACCAAGTAGGAAAATACTCCAGTTCTTTGGATTGTCATGAAGTGAGCACTGATCTTAGATTTTACGTCAATTTAAGATGATTTATATGTCAAGACTACCTAAGGAGTAACAAGAGTGACTCATTTGCAGGTTGCACAGTTAAAGACCTCAATGCAGTCAATACTGGAGCAGTGGAGAGTATATGAAGAAGCTTATGAAGAAGTCAGCCTGATGACGACAAGATATTTGTACTGCATAGACCAGTGTAAACCTTCTGAGGTGTCATTGGAAGCTTTGAAAAACCAGGTCAAAACTCTTCAGGTAAATCTACTGAAGTTGTCTTACTTCCAAAAATAACTTTCTTCCTGTGCCTTTAAACAAACAGACAAAAAAGCCCCAAACACCACTGAAAAAAAGATAGAAAAATTTATATGAGCAAAGACAGTGGAATTTTATTATTTTTTCTTTTATCTCCAGAGATCCTTGGGTGGGTGGTGTCCCTGCCCATGGCAGGGGGGTTGGAACTTGATGATCTTAAGGTCCTTTCCAACCCTAACTATTCTATGATTCTATGGTTCTGTGATACTGAGGACTATTTTTAGACTTCTTACTATAGTTTGTGCATAAATTCAACTTCATTGAAAGTTAGGTACCGAGGTTCAAGAAATAAGTACAGGTCAGCTGCTAGCCTGTCTCCCTGCAAAGCCTCCATTTTGGGTTGCAGAGATCCCTTGATGTTTTTAGTCTTATGCACATGCTGAAAAGCATCCCCATGTGAAGCATCAGGTCCTCATGCAGCCGTGGAGAGGGGTTGTCAAGTCAACTTTATTGCCAGTAGAAGTTTTCCTGAAACAGTGGCCTAAAATAAAAACTGTTCTGGTTTCTAGTGTATTAATTTAATCAGTCCAAGGTTGTGGGTTTGTTAAGTAAGGGATTCTGTAAGAGCAAATAAATTACTTCCTGAACAATTTTTCGATTTATTTTTTAAACTTGAACCATTTCACCTCTTTTTTAGGATCAGGTATTATTACATTTTTCACAAACATTTTGATCCATGCTGCAAATCTGTGGCATTATTGGTACCCTATCCCTACCAAACTCTAAGGGAAACTGTACTTAGGTCGTTCATCTCCACAACTAATTGCTCTAATCCATTTTGCAGTCTCTTCAAGATGAATCAGAGAACAATGAAGAATGTTTGGCCAAGCTCCAGGCTGCTGCCAGTAACCTGAAGAAGAAGTGCTCTCCCTCCTTTGCAGAGATTATTGAATGGAAGTACACGGAGGCACACACTAGGTAAGCGTGCAGAAAAGACCTCTAGTTATTAGTATTTATAAAAAAAAAAGTTCCTGAAACAAAACTTGAACATGTCTGATTTGTAAATCCATATTAATACAACTCACCTAAGGGTACCTGTGTGGTGAATTACTGAGGGTACCTTTTTGTGATAGATCAGAGCACAAAATGGTGCTGTTAGTGGGCTTTCAATCACATGGGTATGAATGCAAAGAAACTCCCACAGGAATCCTACACCAAATCATACTCTGGAGGAGAATCTGCTAGGGGAATGCGTTTATCTTTTGATATCTTGGCAGGTGGAACTCAGTAAATGAAGACATCACAGATCAACTGCGGGCAGCACAAGCGACCCTGCAGCTTTTGGAGTCCTTTGATACTTCATGCACAGAGGCAGCAGCCAAGTTACAACAGCACAGAGAGCAGTGCACTCAGCTCTTGGATGCTCACATGCCTGAGGATAACATGATAGAAACCCTGACGAACAGGATACAGGATTTAAGGGTACATTAATATGTTTTTGCTGCCTGGAACAAACCAGGCTTTATTTTTTTTTTTGAGCCAGAATACCTTCTTCCCCCTCCTCACCCAAATCCAGGCAGTGGAAAACTTAAAAATCTGTGGATTTTTTCCAGTAACAAGCACTTTGTATTTCCTTTAAACACTTGGACCAGATCCTGAGATCAAACCAAACAAGAGTTAACATAGGATGGGAAGAGAGAGAAGGTAGCATGTGTCTTCCATCTTTGCCCCTTTCTGCTCTATACAAAGAATCAGACCTGTGGTGGAAAGAATCATTAAACAAAAATTATTTACTTTATGGGGCACTATTTGGGAGAAGAGATAATATCTACTAGAACTGGGGAAAAAAGACCAGATTTCCAGAACACCAGTCTGTTTTGAGGCCTTCTACAGTCTTCAGATAGGCTTTGTTTTGATTTGGTACTTTTTCTTTTAGCCTGGTCTGATAAATTCACAGATTTCTAATCTTATTAGATTATTCTAAGTGCTTCTGACTTCAGGCAAATGAGATCTCTTGCTGAGACCACAGGGTACAGTTCACTCAGGCAGCAAAGCTGTCATTAGGTTCTCACACTGCAATAAAGTAATATAATAATCCTGTTTCAGGACAGAGCAATGATTAATCATGCTTTATGCACCTCTAGCCATATATTGGAAGGAGTCCAAAGTTACCCCATCGTGCTTGTGGCCAATTAAGAAACTTCATGTTATGAGAAAGAGAATTGAGAAAGAGAATTCATATATTTCTTCCTATGTCAGAAACAACTGACAGCAGCAAAGTTTAGACCAAAACATTTTCACTTTATTCTGATCTATTAATGGCTGTGACATAAATTTATCAGTATGTCAGCAAAAAGGCATCACATTTTCTGGAAATTTTTGGGAAGAGTTTTGCACCTGCTAAGCAAGGCATAACCACTAGAGTGCCATTAACAGTGTAGATCTTGTCCTGGTGTGTGTGAGTAGGATACATAGAACTTATTGTGGGTTTTTTTAAAGTGGCAAGTTAGAAGAATGGAGATCAGTGATATGGCATATGATTATGTACATTTGAAAATGCATATGCATTACAAAACTGTGTTTTAATATCTCTAATCTTTTCCTCTAGTGTATATTAGGATAAATTACGGGTTTATAGAACTCTGTCACCACAGTAAATAAAAATAAATGCAGAGAGAGTAAGAAATCAAAACGGGTTATTTACTAAGTGGCTGAAGTGACAGTTTACAGCATGATCCAGTCCAAAGACAGGGGTTGGGAACCAAGGGCCATCTTGCTTTTTAGGGAAACATGTCTGTTCTTTGCTATCAATCAGAAGTCTTTGTTCAATACTCACAGAAAAGATTCCCACACACAGTAGCAAATTCCAGGGGATTTCATGGCTAAAAGTAAACTGCATTTGTCCAGGTTAAAAAAAATAACTGATAAAGTACATTGAACAAGTATAACATGCCGTCTTTAGGGTTTAAATTTATAGCATCATTTCTGTAGTAAAGGCGAACAAATAAAACTAAATCCATAGTCCTCCATCACTAAGGGATCCAAAGTACTGATGTGTTTGTAACATAATAGCATTTCTCATCTGCAGGATGGATCAGTTTATCCATCTGCTAGTTTATATTCATTCTATAGAAAAGAATATTCTGATTTCTCTCCATAATCTCCTCTGTAGTAGTAGCATCCCACTTCCTGAAGTCCGTGGTGTTCACTGAACTTTGAACTGTGCCTTTTCTAACACTAGAGTCAGTGGATGCACTTCCAATTATCCTCCCAGTAAAAGACTGAAACTTTCATCATAGCTGAATTTGCCTCCCAAAGGAGATCAACAAAAAGAGCTCAGTTACAGAAAAAAAAGATACTAAATGAAATTGGCACATGACTGATGATCTGATTCATTTCCTGGCTTTTTTTTTTTCTTGCCCCTTCTCTCATCAGAATTTACAGCAGGACCTTCTAAACGTAACAGTGTGCCGTGACCAGATTTCTTTGATGGCTGGTAGCATAAAACAGCAGGCTGGAGTAGCTGTACAAGCCTTTCTGTTGGAGAAGATGGAACCACTCCAGAGACCATTCTATTTGGAAAAGACAGTACAGAGGAAGTTACATGAATTTGAGGTATTTTTTGATTATTAAATCAGCTACCATTCATTCCTTATGCTGCTTTGATGTTCTAAGAGATGTGGAGCATAATTTTTACAAGAAAGAAGAAACTTTCCCAGTGCTCTTCTCCCTGACCCAAAGAAACCAACCTAGGGAATAAAAAAGTTGAATTCGGGCCCTAGTTATTTACCCTGGCAGAGTGCATGCAAGCTACACAGCCTTGGCTGTAGGCACATGGGAACATGCCCTGTGTGTAGCTCAAAGGAAACTCATTTTCACAAGTTTCTTCCCTCTGATAAGCTAAGTTTTGGCTTTCCAATTTCACAAAAAATCAAACATCCCAAACCTACAAAAAGGTATCACAGATGCCCTTATTCCTTCCAGATAGAGATGAATCTCTCAAAATTTAGATATTCGTTTTTTTGTCCTCTGCTTTGGCTTAGATTTTTGTTTTATCCAGTGCAAAAAAAAAGTTCAGTGAGTGAGTTAAAAATACAGGCAAATTTGGATTTAACATCTTTTTGGTTTCCTGACTGTACTGCTTATTGCACTTTGTTGTATAGTGTGTATTAAATTTTTGTATCCTGTGTATTTTGTATACTGTGTATTACATAATAATTAACCTAAATATGCAATATTTACCCTAGTTCAATCTTCTACAACTGGAGGATTTCAACAACTGCCTTGAAACACTGGAGAGTAATGTCAACAATTGCATAGATGCCTTTGATAGTCTCTGTCTAGCGGGAGAAACAGACGACTCAGAGTTGCTTACGGTATGTTTGGATTGCCAAGTGCAAAAAGATAGTACTCAGGATTTTAGAGCCTATAGAATATCAACTCTTGCCTACTTCAAGAAACTCTTAGTGTCCTAAGCATTATAGTTACTGCATTTCCATCAGAGTAACTATAATCTCATCCAAAACACAAAAAGCAGCGATTTAAGTTCATAAAAAGTCTAGGTATATATTGCAGGCCAGACATCTCCATGGAGGGGAGGAAAATCACATAGATTTGAGATTGGTGGAAGATCCTTTTCCACAGATTTGGTGTGGAGCTTACCTGTTGCCCTGAATTTAAGGTCAAAGTAAATCATAGAATCAATCACAGAATCGAAGACTGGTTTGGGTTGGAAGGAACCTTAAAGATAATCTAGTTCCATCCCCCTGCCATGGGCAGGGACACCTTCCACTAAACCAGGTTGCTCAAACCCCCACCCAGCCTGGCCTTCAACATTGCTAGGAATGGGGAATCCACAGCTTCTCTGGGCAACCTGTGCTAGTGCCTCACCACCCTCATAGTAAAGAATTTCTTCCTAATATCTCATCCAAGTCTTTCCTTTTTCAGTTTAAAGCCATTCCCCCATGTCCTGTCACTACATGGTCTTGCAAAAAAGAGCTCTGAGCTTTCTTGTAGGCCCCTATAATTACTGGAAGGCTGCTCTAAGGTCTCCTCAGAGCCTTTTCTTCTCCAGGCTGCACAGTCCCAACTGTCTCAGCCTGTCTCCACAGGAGAGGTGCTCCAGCCCTCTGATCATCTTCGTGGCCTCTTCTGGTCTCATTCTTACAGGTTCAATTCCTTCTTATGTTGGGGGCCCCAACATATGGGTACCAGCACTTGAGTATCTGTTCAGTACTGTTGGAAAAGTGGACATTGTGTAAGGGAATTGCAAATTTTTTGTTTCCTATAGCTGAAGTTAGACAGAAATGGCTTGAGGTTTGGCTGAGCATTCTGGATGCATAACATTCAGCTGCTTCCTACAAAAGAGAATAGGCTTCTGTATTTCTTTGAAATGCACGAAAGGCAGTATTTTTTGCAATTAATTTGGCTTTTTTTTAATTCCAGAATCAAACCCTGAAGCTTGCTGCACTTTCTCCAAGCATAGAGAGTTTGAATGAAGCAAGCATTAGGTTGCCACTTAGTGACTTCATCCTGAAGAAAATGCAGAGCCTGATTCGGAAGTGGAGTCAGAAAACAGCAGCTGCTCTGGAATACTGCAGGTCGGAAATGCAAACACAAAATCACCACTAACCATTTCTGTGAGAATAATCAAAACCAAATTAAAGCATGTCTTGCAACGGGTTCTCAGCTTTCTCAGGAGCTTTCCAAGCTTGAACTCTTGCTCTTTCAGTAGCTCTCTGTATTCCAAATCACTTGGAGCAAAAATCTGGATATTCATAGGTGAAGAAGGTAGCAAAGTGCCAAGCATATCCCTACCATATTATTATTACCAGGTGCTATGTTAGACTATATGCAAGCATGGGCAGAAAAACAACCACCAACACAATAGTTTCTGATTATTTCTTTTGTTTTACAGCATGGAAACTGAAAACGATGAAAAGTTCTTTCAGAAATGTGAAAACTGGATGAAATTCCTAGAAAAAATGAAAGAGACCTCAAAAACAAATATTCCAGTACGGTTTGAAGAACTCCAAGAGCAGCAAAGAGTGTATGAGGTAAAGCTGACTCCAAAAATGGAAGCATCTTGGGGGGAAATCGCTAAAAATGCTACACCTTTTGAAATTAGACTTGGGCAGAGTTTTACGGAGCATGTCGCTCTTGAAATGTGGCCTTGTACTTAGTGAGAGGAAAACGTTGAAATGTGAAAATCATTTTTCAAAATGGATGGCTCCTGTTTTTTGCAGCAATTAGACCTTTAGGAGTGCATCTTCAAGTGCTGTGTCATGGAATTCCTTAGATTTCTCCAGCCGTGAGGTTGCTTGCCTGTCTGCCTGTACAAGGGCACTGAAGCCTGTGGCGACTAGCTAGGCAGGTTGTTGGCAATCTGGCAGAAACCTCAACAGTTTCTGGAAGAACTGCATTTAAAACAAAATGTTTTCACAGCATATTTCCATTTTGACCAGTTGTCAGATGTTGGTAGAAATCTGTTTCTCTGACATTTTCCTGAACACTTGCTAGTTGTTAGTGTTTCACATGTGTATGATACTATCCATTCAGAGGAGAAGGTACACTGCATGGTAGTGGTAGCATGTGGATGCAATTCTGAGCAAAGTGTCTGTCTACAGACTTTTGTCCCAGTGGTGGGAGGGAATACAGAAAATAAATAAAGTAAATCCAAGGGAATACAGAAAATAAATAAAGTAAAACCAAGTGGTAAATGGTAAACATCATGAACAGTTAGGGTGAGCTTTTGCTGCTGCAGTGGAGCATAGCTTGACACTACCCAAAGTGCTGTCACTAATTCCATGGGGTGTTAGGTGATGTTAGTGATACTCATTAAGGTCTACAGAAAATTATTTTCTCTCTTTCACTTAGACTCCCCAGATCAATTCAGTCATTGATTTCTAGAATAAACTTATACTTGTTGTGATAAAGAGTAAACTCACCCTTATAGGTAGCTTTTTTAATACCTTTTCTATGGATTTCTGTCTAGATTGCATTTCTCCTGAACGAGTCCAGTAAACTTTAGGCATCAGATTACTTACGCAGCTCGTGGTGCGTTCTGCTATTGCATATGTGCACATTCCTCCTGCTATCCAGAAAGTGTGGAATATTTTAGGATGCATTTGATGCTAGCTCTTGAAAATAATAGAGCTTTCAGCATTTAAAATTAAATAAAAACTGTCCCTCTAGAGGAGCAGAACCAGCTTTCACAGTGAAAGTTGTTCAATGAATAGATAAAACTTGTTTTTATGGTATTTTCAGATGCTGCAAACTGAGATTTCCATAAATCAGCAGACATTTAATTCTATCATAGCAAAAGTTCTACTCTCCTTGGAATCTGAACAAGCAGCGCCGCAAAGGTAATCTGTCAGTTTTTCTCCCTAAGATCTCGATAATTTAGTGAATATGCTCTCTTCCTTGGATGTATTGAATCTTTGCTGTCATGAGGACATAAACCCAAATTCTTGAGTTGGTTCACTCTTCAAATAACTTCATGGCACATTTTGTACAAGTGTGAAGAGATGCAAAGACAAAGAAGTGCTGGTGCCCTGGCCAGACTGTGTTTTGGATTGTAACTGGATGTTCTGTCTAACAAAAATAATTACTCCTGAACAGGAGGCTTCCTAGTCTACTGCTAAACTGCAGTTCTTGAAACTACAGTGGTTGAGAAGCGACTTTCTTACAGAGCATAATGAGAATGTTGCATATGAAGGATCCTTTCTCTCTTTCTAGACTTCAGCTTTTGAAAGTGCAGAGGTCTGAGATTATCCATGTTTCCCTTGGTACACATGATAGGGCATTGAGTCACCAGCACACAATCCAAAATATATGGTAACTAAACCTGTTTTTTTTTAAGAAAACCTTACTTTTCTCTCAATCAATGTAGAGTGAGAAGCAGCAAGTAATAACTGTGAGCAGAGGTTCAACTGCCTTACGTGTTTCTGCTGTGAACACATCACCTCTCTCTGCCAGATCTTGCTGCTCCCAGAGATATGGCAGGACATTGTGTGTGCTCGCCTTGACCACTTCAGTACAAAAAACGTAGCTTAGCTTAAAGCTGCTAGGGAAGTAGGACTAAACTAAGCAAAGCTGCTGAATTTTTGCATGGAAGCTAGCTCCACAAACACAGGTGTTTGTGTAAGAGCTATTCTGGGGGCCAGGGCCTCCTGCAGAGAAGCAGAATTGATAGATGGGAGTTGTCTTAATCACTCCAGCTAGGCCTGCTGGATCTATATACTGGTTTGCATCTAAAGAAGCATGACCAGCAGGTCGAAGGAGAGGTTAGCTTTCCCCTCTGCTCTCCTCTCATGAGACCCCACTTGGATCATTGCGTGCAGTTCTGATGTCCTGACTATAAAAAGGACATGGAGCTGTTGGAGCAAGTCCAGAGGAGAGACATGAGGATGATCAGGGGCCTGGAGCACCTCCTGTATGAAGAGAGGCTGAGAAAGTTGGGGCTGTTCAGCCTGGAGAAGAGAAGACTGTGTGGAGACCTCATAGCAGCCTTCCAGTATCTGAAGGGGGCCTGCAAGGATGCCAGAGATGGACTCTTCATCAGAGTCTGTAGCAATAGGACAAGGGGTAATGGGTTTAAATTTAAACAGGAGAAATTCAGGTTAGATATAAGGAAGAAGTTCTTTACTATGAAGGTGGTGAGGCACTGGCACAGATTGCCTAAAGAAGTGGTAAATGCTCCATCCCTGGCGGTGTTCAAGGCTAGGTTGGACAGAGCCTTGGGCAACATAGTCTAGTGTGAGGTGTCCCTGCCCATGGCAGGGGGATTGGAGGTAGATGATCTTAAGGTCCTTTCCACCCCCAACCATTCTATGATTCAATAATGTAACCATGTTGTAGAAGAAGCCAAAAAATGGCTTGAATGGGTTCAATAACAACACAGAGCCTTTTCACTTTGCAGTCAGGTCTCACTGCTGTAGGATACAGTGATGGTTGAACTCCTTACAGCCTCATAAAAGCGGAGATCAATTTTGCAGCATAATCACAGACCTTGTCTTACTTGCATTGACCTTCTTGTTCTTCAGGGAAGTGTTTAGTGCTTATTGTTTCTGTGATTGCTGTACTATGTATGTTGCTGTACCGCAACAGCAGGAATGACTTGCATTATCCATTGTTGTATCATATTAGAAGCGTTTTGGATTGCATAAAAGATGAAATACAGAGAGCAAGGGTGAACTTAGGGCTGCATAGAGCTTTTTGCATAGTTGAGCATCATGACTGGAATACAATGTTGCAAATGGAAATCCATCACAATCACTGTAAAATGCAGCCTTGAGATCAAAATATGTTAACACTCAGCATTTGTCATTTACAGAACAAAGTTTATTTCCAAGCTCACACTGCTGAAAGAACAGTGGCAGAATGTCATCCGGATGGTTCAGCAGAGGAAGATGGATATTGATGGACGCATGAACCAGTGGCAGCTCTTCAAGAGTTCCCTGCAGAGTCTCAGCAGACTTCTTGATGATACAAACAGCTTCCTTGTAGCTGTGAAGAGTCAGGACTGCTATAGCCTTTACCAGCTTAGAATTCTAGTTTATGATTGCAAGGTACTGTATTTATCTCTTCATAAACCTAAAATCTGCGGGTTTTTCTCAGACTGAAACAACTTCTGTCCAGTAAGGTGAAAAAAAAAGTAATTGCATGCTTTATGGGGAAAACCAATTGCTGACACTTTGTCTTAAAGCTGAGGACAGATGAGAAAACAGTGACATTGTGAAGGACTCATTATACCAGGAAACTTCCTGGTCATTTAGTAGCCTTGTATGCTTTAAAAATATTACTGATATGAACATGGAAATGCAGGGTGCTAGGGAAATTAGGCAGAAACCCTGGTAAACAAATACACTCTAGGTATGCGTGGATCTTATTGACATGGCTGCTGAATGCAGGCCTTGCAGTTTGCCTGAAGGAAGCAGAAACATGCGGGGCAGGATGGGCTATATGAGTCCTGTGTGTGCAGGGACAGGCAGGAGGAGCCAGGAGCACAGAATAAAGCGCTTGGAAGGGAGTCTGTCCTTGGAGCCACCACTCCAGGATGCACAGCAGCAGTTCTTCAGAGCATTTGAATTCTGCATTTTACATGCAGTGAGAAAAAAAACCCGCAACAAAACAGAACAAAAACCCCAACATTCTCCTTTGTTAATTTTGTATATTTGGGGTTTCCGTTTAATTATACACCTTTTTGTTTTATAGGAAAGTAAAAACAAGCAGTGAACTTGATGGTTGCTTAAAGCAATCTAAAACCCTTAAAAAATATATTGCTGAATGCTACTGGCACAGTCCGAGATTTACTGTGTTCCCGCACCCCTAATGTTGATGGGTTAGCACATTACCAGTATTCTGTTTGGTGCTTGCCATATTTATTTCATCTGTATTTTTACCTGCTGTGGGAAGATGATTTTCAGTAGATTTTACAAGTTAGTGTTCATGCTTTTCCTTCATGAGAAAAGCCATAAAAGTCTTCTCCCTCCTACTCCAAATTGGCCTTCCCTCCTGCTGTTGTTTTGCAGAAAGAAACAATTATCGTATCTGCTTGTGTTATAGACCAATTTGTGTTTCAGGCGAAGTATTAATGATGGCTTACTTCACTTGGAACATGTCATGGTTAACAGACTTGCTATCTCTGAAAAAAATTGTTAGCTGTTGATGCTAGAGGTAACAGCAGAACTTAAACTGGTTTGTTACTCTGAATAACTCATACAACTGAATTTCCATCTTTTTGTAATTGCTGCAGTTTCAGTCTATACATTCAGTCTGTGAAAAGCTACTGTACAGTTTTATAAATAAGATCAAAAAGAATCTTGTTTTTTTTCTGGAATTAAAAAAGCAGATAGGAAATGTGCTATTCATTACTGTTTCATGAATGTGAACAAATAGTGCCTTGAAACTCCCTTTGTATGATTTCACTTGTTCCCAAGTGAAATGCCAGGAGTGTGCTTCTAAAGCTTGCTAAAAAAAGCTTAGAAACTTTTTTGTTTCTCTTTTAAAGGCTAAGGCAGTGATTCTTCAGAGGTGGCAAGCCATGTACTCAGTAACCATTGATGTTGGGGAGAAATTGCACACTGTTTCCGATCCAGAGACCAGCACTCTTCTCCAGGAGCAGCTCAGCCAGTTACAGAAGAGTTGGGGGAACACCCAGACCCTGCTGCAGGAGAAGATAATGCAGCTCAGCAGCACCATACAGGTACATGACGGCCTCCCCAGGGAGGAGCAGCACCTGCTTCTCTGACTTTGGGTCTCAGGAGCTGCCCTGCCCCACTGTCCTCAGGGCTGAGCTCTCTATCAACAAGGCAAGTGCTGAACTGCTGCTTACAGCAGAGGGGCTCTGAAGGAAGTGCCTGTCATATGCTGTTAGGGCTTGCAGCAAACTGATCCCCTGATTCTCCAAAGGAAATGGGTTGGCATCCATTTTTTTGCAGCAATGAATGTACGTGCTCTGATTATTCTCATGATCCCTGTGGCCTGAAGAGCTTTCCTGTTTTGGGATGTGAAGCCTGAGCTAAAATTCAGCTTATAGGGTTTTGATACTCCTGTTGTTGCATCTCTAAAAAGAAGGGTAGCCATTTCCTTAGAGCAGTGAATTTTCTTTCATGGCTAACACCACACATGCTGTCATCAGTACTATCCCAAAACCAAAGACTATGCTTACACCCTAACACCCATTGGATTGGACAAAACAAGATGGGCAAAAATGCTTAGTAAGGCAAACCTTAAATACAAGAGAGGGTTCAAGTTCTGTAAATCCATGAGTCAAATTCTTGTGGGTGGTATGTACTGGAAAGAAAATGCAAATAACCAGAGCACATGATTGTTTATTTAAGTTGGTTGAAGAGGCTATTTTGCAACATATCCATGTGGTTCAGTATGCCATACTGAAGTATCTTCACCTTTTATAACTTCCTTGGGTCTCCGTGAGCAGAATTGGGACTGCTGCGAAAAGCAAACAAAGGAATTAGAAAGCAGGCTGCAAGAGCTAAAGGAGAAAATAAAAGATCCACTTCCTAATGAACATGAAGAGCTCTACAAAGCCAAGGAACACATGAAGGTATCAAACTGCCTTATTGTATTTAAGTAGATGTAGTCTTTGCAGGACACCTGATCCCTGTAAAATCAGTTTTCTCTCTTAACCTGTCTTTAGTGACAGTGCATTTCTTTCCTTTATATGATCCTGACTGCTGCTAACAAGAATAGTAGTGTTTGGATTTTATTTTTCCTGCTTCTGCTCCCTTTCCACAGTCTTAATTTACAAAATAAGCAGTTCCTTAAACAAAAGGAAAAAATCTCCTGGTCTCAGCTCAGTTGGCTGCTGTCCTAGTGGCTGAATCTCCCTTTTTGTTTTCAGTCTATTCTGGACAGGGAGCTCCTCAAGCGAGAGACTTTGCATGTCTGCAGAATACCATGCACACCTGTGGGATCTGACAGTAGTTAAAGAGAAGGAAAATTAAGAGTAAGGGAGTGGCAGAAACCCTGGCAACCCATAGTGCACCCTGAAAATTAAATGGCAAGGGAAGTAATTCCAAGACGTAGGAGGCATTTTGTCTGGACTGGTCAATCTTTCATCATCCTTTTATGAAGTGAATTGTTGACCTATGTAGCGGGAACAAATAAGCTTATTAACGAGCCAAGGCTTTGAACTCATTTATCAGCTGCCTGAAATCTTCTTTGTGAGTTCTGGCAGCCTTTCCCACAGCAGCAGTCTTCCTGTAGCCCTGAATTATTTGTGAGATGGCAGCACACGGCTCCTGCCCCTGACTCTAGTAAGAGAAATTTAGCCGCAGAGGTATCAGGGTCAGACAGTGCCACAGCAGTTACTGCTCTTGGGTGTCACAGTATAATAAAAAAAAAGGACCAAAATGGCATGGGGGGGACCTTCTTTCCTCTCCCTGCATTTCACTCTTATGGAATAAAGCTGTTTTTCTCTATAAGCCTAGACCTTATACAAGTCTTACACAAAGTCCCATGAAATTCCATCATTAGTTCAATTAATGCAGGGATTCAACCCTTGTCAAGATGTATAAATGCATATTTGCACATCCATAGGGAGTGATTTGTTGTGAGCTCCGGTAAATTTTAGTCTCGGGTTTTGGGGTGTTTTTTTCCTTCAGCGTTGAAGCAGATCAGAGTTCTTTTATGATTTAGGTAAGTGACAGGCTCAAAAGACCTCTGAAAATGCTCACAGGGCTTGGACCCAGCACACTTCTCCTGATACAAACACTTGCCATTTTTGCCCTCTAAAATGAGACAAACTGGATCCTCTGTAGGAGCTGGTTTTTGTTAGAGGAGCCAGTGACACTTCCCGCAACTGCTTTGCAACATGAGACCTAGTACCTGGTGTGTAGAGTACCATGTTTCCCTGCTGTGTGCAGTGGTGTCTCTGCTTTTTAGGTGACAATTTTAACACTGGTAGGAAAGTGCATAAGCTTGTTATAAAGGGAAAAGAGAGTCAGAGGAACAGGGGAGAAAAGAGACTGTGTTTCTGTGAATGAGCAGTTCAAAATCTCCACAATCTGATAGAAGTGCCTGTTAAATCACTACTTAGAGAAAGGAACCAAATTTACTTTATTTAAATGAATAAGCTGAAATTGGGTGGAAAGCAACTTGGCTTAAGTAATAAAAAAAAGAAGTGGATCCATTCCTTCTGGGATGTGACACCCCAAAAGCTGCTCTGGAGCATGGGAGGCTGCAGGGATCATGCAGCAGGGCTGCCACACATCTCAACTGCTCTGCCCTGGACTCCCGGGGCTCAGAGCCGGCCCTCAGCCCACCGGAGAGCCTGCATGGGCTGTGCACGTTCCCATCCTCTCCTCCCCCACGGGCCGGGCAGAGGATTAATGAGCAGGTTTGGAAACCAGAGGAGCTTAGTGCCAAGACTTGTTCTGGGTGCGTTTCCATGCAGGAGCTGGAGCAGTTGCTGGCAGACTGGGCCCACAGTATGAAGGAGGTGCAAGCCTGGACGGTGAAGCTGGCGGAGTGCGTCCTCACCGAGGATGCGTCGGTGCTCAAGGAGCACGTTGAGCATCTGCACAGGCAGTGGGGAGAGCTCTGCTTGCGGGTAAGGCTTCCTCCTCCTCTTGGGTCTTGTAGTGGGATGTTCACAGGGCCTGGCAGCAAAGGGGCAGCGGGTTAGCAGGCAGGATTTAGGACTTCTCTTGGATTGGGTCTCGGATGGGAGCGCGGCTTCTCCTGGTACTGCTGACCAGGGCTGAAGTTTGCCCTTGTTTCCTGAACCTAGACTGCTGAGATTTCTTCTTTGCAAACCCTTTGTAACTAGTGAATGCCTGAATTTCACAGAGCTCTGATGCAGCTGTTTACCGAAATAGGTGGCTTTGTTCTGGGCTGCCAAAGGGGAGGAGGGAGGGGAGTAGGAGAAATACAGGAATTGCCTGAGGGTATGAGGCAGGGAAAGGAAGGGGGAGGTCATGCAATCTGATGTTAAAAAAATGCCGAGAGCTGATAAAGAAAACTTCAGTGTGTTTAAATACTGGCTCCTTGGGTTTAAACACATGAAGACCTCACTTGTTTTTTCTGTAGCAGTACAATACTGCAAAACATTTTCATTCTTTGTGGCTGGTTGCTATATTACACTTAATTTAGTGCTGCGTATAAAATTGCTGGGGAACATTTACCAGCAAAGTCACATGAACTTGATTCAGGACGTTATTATGCAGTTTGAATGTGTGTTTACTTTGCCCTGTTAACAGAATTGGAAGAAGTAAAATACTTCGGGGTCTTAAGTTAGGCTGGATGGCTCTACATGCCCACAAGCCAGACTCTTGCCTCTTTTACTCACAAGTCAATAGCTTTTATTTTACACTTTGTAAAGCAGTAATTATGTGAGTTAGCATTTCATGCCTAAGCCTTAATTGGCCAAAGGTAAAGCAGTCTTGGTGAGAATATTGCCAGAGTAATGAACAGCTGTGCTTATTTCAAAAACTTTGGTGTGATGAAAATAGTAATTTGGGTTAAGGGTTTGGATTCTGTTTTGCATTGCAGTGGGAAAGAAAAATTAATATATTTGGCTTAAACTGGGCTTTGCCTTTATCTACAGCCAGCTTTTTCTGTGTTAACTGTTTCTGAACTCTGAAAATAATTCCAGAGACACCTTCCCCCTCCTGAGATAGACCATTTTTTTTTAAATCAAAATGCCTGAACCATTTTCCTAATGGAAATTTGTGGTCAACTGCTGATGCTGTTTCAACTGTTGTGAGCAGCTCTGAAAATTAACCTATCTTTTGCATGTACCCCACTACACTTCACCCAGGTAGTAATTTCCTGTAGTAATTTAAAGTTCTGATTTTATTCAAAATTTCCATTTTAATTTCCTGAGGGAGCAACATTTAGTTCAGTCTGACTTGGAGACAAGAAAAGGGTGACATTATGTGTTAGGCACACATAAGTCTGTAGTGGGAGGAATCTCTTCCGTGCTGGAGTAGAGTGATGTGTTGAAATGTTTACACAGCCCTGGTGGGCCTCCGTGCTCAGCCTGCGCCGATGCTCAGTGCTAGACATGAGAGTATGAAAGCAGACTTGATGGTTTGTGCTGCTAGCATGACTGCTTTGCTTTGGCTAACAAAATAGAGGAGTCAGGATGTACTGTGTGAAGAAAAATTGCAGTATAGATGCAAAAAAGTTGAAAGCTGTTTAGACGGAACCACTCTGCATCTGTCACAACCAGGAGAGCAGGGCAGCCACATGCCTGTGCTAGACTGGGCAGGGACACTTGTACACTTAGTGGGCATATGTGTGCAAGTGATTAGTGTTTACATAGCTGCCCTTGCAAGCTACATGTAGGTCAAAGATTCAACTACTTATATCAGCAAGTACCCTGTCCTAACGAATTATAGGGTATAGGTTGCACCTGACCTTGATAGAATTTTAGCCTCCCTTGGGAATGCTCAGATTGCTCCTGCATCATGCTGTGCGGACAAAATGGAGCTGGTACCAGAGCACCTGGTTCAAGGAGAAAGTACTCAAAGCAGTGGCTTGAAGGGGACATGTTCCTAAAAGTTTGTCTGGGGGATTTTTCCCAGTTTACCACCAATCTGTACTTCTTAGCCAGGTAAAAGGTGCTTCTTGCACTTAAAATCCTGCATTGTCCATGCTTAGCAGGCAAAAGTTGAGTCAGGATTGTTTCAGGATTGTAACAGTGGTTTTGCTGACATGCGTAGTGTCTTATTCCACTGACCAGGTTAACTTGTCTCATCACAAGGGAGATCAGGGGTTGGAACTAAATGATCTTAAGGTCTTTTCCAGCCCTAACCTTTGATTCTATGAGATGCTGCAACTGGTAGAAGGAGGATGAAGGATTTACCCTTCATACCTCTGAGGCTGAAGGAATGAGGGAGCATCCCAGAGCAGAGGCCTTCTTATGGAGGCTTTTTGAGGTCCCTGGGGTCTCCAAGAGACTTCTTCCCATTCAGAACTTTAAAGATGGTCTCCCTGTGTCCCAAGACAGTGCTTTCGGCTCATCTCTTTGCTTAGATCAACATTAAAGATTCAGAAATCACTTTCATTCCCCATCTCTTTGCTTAGATCAGCATTAAAAATTCAGAAATCACTTTCATTCCCCATTCTCTGCTTAAAAAAAAAAAAAGTAGTCAAAATTTAAAGAACAAAAGCAATATATTGGAAGATCACTTGGTGCCTCATGTTCTGATCCTCATGCTATGTGGAGCTGTTCTTGCTTCCACACTTAAACTCGACCCTGAGGTACAATATAGTGTTAGAGATTAGCCTAGCAGAATCACTAATGGAATTTTGAGGAGTCACGTGTTGTATATGGTGCACATGAGATGTGAAGAGGGAGTGTTTCTTGCCATTGGGTGATACTTAGAGTGGCAGTTTATGGCCAAGGCAAGCAAAATGCTCAGTCTTTACACAGAGTTTGTTGTCAAGGGTAAAGGATTTGTTGTTTGTCTTGTTTTATTTTAGTAGAACTTCGACCATTTTTCACTTTCTTTGTCCCATATATCTTAGTACAGGAATCCATCAAAGCAGGTAAATGAATAAAAATGTGTTATTTAAGACCCCTAGGCTAAAAACAAGTACTGTTAGCTAGTAGGAGAGTGACTGTCCTTCTTTCTGAGATGTTGGAGCAGTGATACTAGCTTTGGTGGTTCAGGTAGCATCAGACCTTAATTTCTCTGTCTAGACAATTTGTTTATCCATCGTGGCAAAGTAATTTTGGTCGAAAAAAATATATCCATAGTTCTCAATAAAAAGGATAGATTTTGATGCTGATTTTTTGGAAGCTCTCCAAGAACTGGTGAGCAAACGGAAAGAAAAGAGGGAGGTTTTTATATAAACAAAATAATTGCAGTCAGTACTTGCAAAGTTTCTCTTACAGTTGCAGAAAAATAAGAACTTCCCTAGCTATTATTTCTCTTGTGTTATAAATGAGACCGTACTAAACAATATGTAGTAGTTCTTTGTTTGGCATTTTCAGATTTTCACTGAGGAATATTCAAATTGTTATTTAAGCTCATTATGTATAAAGCTGTCAGTTTAATTCTTCTGAGGGAGAGAATCTGGCTGGTCAACTTTTTGCCCTGCTATCCAAAATAAGATGCAGTAACAATCTGCTTGCTGGCTTTGAAAAGAAAGTTAGTGATATTTGATAATTGCACTTGCAAAATGGAACGTTATCAATGCGGACTAGAGATTAGAAGGCTCATAATTGCTGGTTCCTTCCTGAGAAAGATGTTGCCAGCAGCTGATGCGTGTGTTTATCCATAGGTGTCTCTGCGTAAGCAGGAGATCGAGGACAAGCTCAATGCCTGGATTGTGTTCAATGAAAAGAATAAGGAGCTGTGTGCCTGGCTGGTACAAATGGAAAGCAAAGTATTGCAGACTGCAGATGTTAGCATTGAAGACATGATAGACAAATTGCAGAAGGTAAGTAGTAATGCCACTTTTCTTAAATTGCAGTCTGATAGCTCATTATAAAGACACCATTCCTCATTTCTTCCTTGGCTCTCAAAAGCAATACATGATATAAAACCAGTATGTACAGGCTTTTAGGAGAAGATGAGTTTTTCTAGGATCAGCTCTTACCTTCTTCTTGATGTTCAGACTTGGAGCATAATGCAAAACAGAAATGCTGCCTGACTGCATTTAGGCATGGAGCATGATGTATGTGAGTATGGTGGGGAGGAGGGGGGATGTCTGGGTTATTGAGTGCCAGATGTACATACAGCACTGCTCAGAGCTTTCCCTGGTGGTGCTCAGCTGTGTCCTGGGAGCCTCTCACTGTTCTCAGCACCTCCACCCTTGTCAGGAATTACAAAACTAGTATTCAGAGGGCAAAGAAAAGATGGAAGGATGGGGTAGGTGTTATGCCAGGCAAACAAGAAGTTACCACAACCAAAAGGAAACCTAAATCTCCCCCTTCTCCTTGGTAGTTAGTGCTTTTTAATACTTTGGTATTAGCTTGATTTTAAACAGAACCATTATTTTGTTGCAGTGTTCCTCCCCACGGCTTAAATGTCTTGATATCTAATCCCAGGTCTCCTCTGGATAATACCAGCAAAATCAAGCCATCATTGACTTGAATTTGGTTTCTTTTTGAAGTAGCTTGATTGAAAAATTATGTTAAATCAGGAAAGCAGACACAAAATTAGAACATTAAACTGCTATTTTTAGGAGTACTTGCTCCTGGCACTTGCAAGTCTCTAAGCTGCTTGTGTTTTTCATAGTGGCTTCATTGTGAGAGTGCTTTTCCATTGAGGTTTGGTTTTGGTTTAGTTTGTTTTAAGTGAAAGAGTTCTACATGCTAATGTAGAAACCTCAGCCATGGCAAGCCAAACCTGACTTCAAATCACACACACGGGAAAAGAAACTGATCAGGTTTTGGTTTGGTTTTGTTGCTTTGTTTTGCTCAGGAATTAATCAGTGTTTGTGTGTATTTTATCAGGATTACATGGAAGAAATAAATCTGTTCAGTGAAAACAAGCTTAATTTGAAACAAATGGGCGATGAGCTGATAATGGCTAGCAATGAGAGCCGGGTTGCAGAAATCAATGATAAACTCAACAAAATCAGTGATCGCTGGCAGCATCTCTTTGATGTCATTGGAGCACGGTAAGAAAATCATTTTCAATATTTTGTATGAGATAAGTTAGAGGCCAGTGCACTTGACCATCAGAAAGAGATTGACATGACTTCTCAGTTCTGTTGAAATTTATTGAGAGTCAAATTACACTGAAGTTAATGTTTTTTTGTTATGACTTGTTTCTGTATTATGACACCAAATGTCTTAATTTATTTGATGATTAGAGGGCAAAGCGTTAAGAACTCATATGTAATATAATTTTAATGGTAACTGCATAAAAAGAGGAGTCAAAGTGATTTGTTGCATGTGTTGAATTGCAGCTTAATTTTAAGGCAGTGTAGTAATAGTTCATTTTGACTCTTAGGAGAGTCTCCTGTTTTAAGACAAACCTGTATTTCACCCTATGTATGAATGCAGCGAAATTTGTGATAGACTCCTGGCCTACCTCTGTAGTCAGTCATATTTATACAATTATAATGTTCCTTTCTTAAATTCAGAAGTATATGAAATTTCATTTAGTATTAGTGCTATTTCTTTACTCAGTCCCTTTCCTAAAAGCAACTGGAAGACCATGCCATGAGTTTATTTTTTAAATTCAGGATTTTCTGCATGGTCATGAAATGGAAAATACTATCAGTTGAAATTAAAACAAAAACCAGCATAGTCTAAGCAATAGCCTCTTTCTGAAGGATTTAGCACCTTTATTATAATTGACAGAGCTAAGAACATCATGATTGTTTTAGTATTAGCCTTACTGAGGTGATGCCATTTCACTGTTACGTCTGGGTTTTTATAACACTTTGCAGCATGGGAGGAGGACGCTGGGTCTCATGGCCTGTCTGGGTTTATTAGTAAGCCAGAAATAGTAAGGTTAACATCAAGTTAGTGTTGGTCTAAACTTCTCTCTGAAGGTTTTGCTTTGCCTGTAACCACCCTCTCTGATCCCTCAGACACTCTCTTGCTTAGTTGGCTGTTGGGACAGATAAGGCTGGTGGTTGTGCTGTGACAGCGTACTGCTGAGTGTGCTGGATCTTAATCAAGAATGAGATCTGAATGAAGAGTGACACATGAGCTGTGAATAATTAAGCACAGAAGATGCCTTCTTAAGATGTAACCCTTAGCAGATAGTCTTGCAACAGTTGTCTCTAGGTGTCTTTGTGTTTGATATGGTGTAGGAAAGAAAGCTTCTCTTTTATAACAGCACTTTTTCTGTTCTGATATTAGGGTAACATACCACTTTTCAAGCACTTTTGTGATCATGTTTTGCTGTGTGTTAGTTTTGAATTGTAGCAATTTTAAAATGCAGCTCAAAATGCACCATTTTAAAACTGAGGTAACCATGGCACATTTCTAGTAATCTTTAGGAAAATGTGCTAAGAAACTGATAGAATATTTAAAGAGAGATCTGTCAGTCTTACTCAAGTACTCTGTGACAGCAGAGCACTTGTTTGTCTACCTGGGATGTCTTAAATCTTTACCTTCAGACAAGTGTATGGTGGTGCTTTGAGGTACATTAATGCAGATTTGCCTAGAGCATCAACATAGCTCCCAGTATCGGATATCTAAATGGATATTGCAGTTCTTGGAGAGTTGGTATGATGCTTTATGCTTGTTCCCATGTTCTTAATCCCAAAAAAGTTCTGGAACATGCCAGTTTCTACTTGTGATTTCCACCAACTTTGTGCTCAGGGCCAGAGTAACAAACTTGAAAGGACTTGACAAATTATGATTTGAAGCGGCTCCCTCACTGGTCCTAGGTTATGAGGCAGCCCATTGCTGGTCCTCTTGGATTTAATACTCATGGAGGTTCAGCACTTTGCAGCATGGGTGTAGCACATCTCCTTCCTCACCTAATCCATCTTGCTTGGGCTTGGCTTGCAGATCAGCTGTTCTCAGCTGCTCAGTTATTACTAACCTTCAGGCTGGACACTCACAGTAGAATCTGTGTATGGTCCTAAGGGTTTATTTTCCCCTGTTTACAACCTTCCAACTTTTTGTTTCAAGATCCCTGCCTTACTGGTGGTTTGAAGGAATTAAATTAGGCTTCAGTTGACTGAATTGACACCTCAGTCACAGGTATGCTTTGGGGTACTTGGGAGGAGGATCTTCCTGTGCTTTTGGGTAGCCTTTCTTTAAGTTCAAGTACTGGGGAGGACGCAGCAGTTCTACCGATCACTGATGTGCCATAAGTTGGGCCTCTTGTGGGAGCAGAGCAGAGCAAAGGAGCCTTGGGCTGGAGGGCAAGATGAGCTGTGAGCATGGATTGTAATGTCCCATGCTGACAAACTGTCTCCTTCTTCTTCGATTTGCTTTTGCAAAAACTTAAAAAAAAATAAAATACTGTATTCAAGCTGTGTTGAAAAAGCTCATGAAAATAAGAGTGGTGGCAGAATATCATGTTGGTCCCATTGCATGAAGCCGTCACAGTCCAGACAGCCTCAGACCATCTCAAAAACCCACAGTCACCAGTTTCATGTGGTAGATAGAATGGGTGGGCTCCAGGGAGCTCAGAGCCTGTGAAACATGGTACAGGGGCTGTGAAACCACTGCTGTCTGGCAGAAGAGAAATTGCAGCATTGCACAACTGCTGCTGTAGCAGCATACTGAGCACTGCTTCATTTCTTGGGGAAGATGAAAGAGATGGAGGAGATGCTTCAGGGCAGGACTACCAGAGGGCTGTGGAAGCTTTGAGGCAGCTGAGGTAGGAGAATGCTGCCTGGAGAGAAATGGCTGATTTTAACTGTGACAGGGAGGCTATCTTGTCTTGGTCCTGAAGAAGCTACTTGTAGAAACTTATTTTTACAGCACCTCCATGTGCTGTAAAATGAGTACATAGGAGGAGTATAAAATAATCTGTATCCATAATGGAGTCTAAATGAGATTTATAGCTAGTATCAATTCTGTGGTTTCTGATGTCTCCATAACTGACCCAACTGGGACAGATGGACAGATTAGGTGAGCTCTCCATGTAGTCCCTGAAGTGATTCTCATAGTTCACAGTGACAAGTTCAGATTGGCCATATGGTGGCACTTGCAGGACTTTGCACTTCTATTACATGCCTGTGCTTGGCTTGTGTGGTGACAGAAGCTTTGCTGCATGTGCCGCAGCCAGAGGGTGGCTTGGTGCAAACTTGGAAGTCTCAGAATTTTAATTCTCATTGGGATGAAGTAACCATCAAGACACTGGCATGCCTGGAAAGGAGAACAAATGAATTTCTGTTCAGCTTGCAAGATACTCTTACCAGCAGAGACTTCTTATGAAGTCTCTGTTAATAGAGCGGGAATGCAAACATACTAACAGGCAGAAAGGGTGCATTGGGCTATATGTAAAAATGGACACAGCAAACCTCTTTTGTTCTCTTGTCACCAACCTTGTAGCAGCACTCTGTCAGAAGAAAATGCTGCATGCTTGGTATGTACAACAGTAGGAGAAGGAGTGCACATGCTGCATGCGGGTGGTAGGCAGCCAAAACCCCTTTGAGTAGGATTTACATCCCCAGCCATGAAGTAATGGGCAAGAATTGCCAAGGAACTGTGGTGTGCATGGCCATGTTCCTCAGTGTATTTCCCTGGCCCATTCACCACTGATACCAGCTTCCCAGCCCCACAGGGAAGTGTTTGCCTTCTGTGTTGATGTTTGCGCAGTGCCTGCTGGCAGGCTGGAGGAGCATCTATGTGTTATGGGAGGATGTGTGCACTGCCTGGCATAGTGCAGTGTATTGGGATTTTGCTTGAGCCTTCATTAAAGCTACCAGCTTCATCAGGAACTTCCTCCAGCAGAGCTGGGTCTGCGGTATTGTCTTTACAATAACACATGTTGCATTGCTGTACCTCAAGGCATCTGGCAGCTCTTCTCACTGCTGCTAAGCTGTGGATGAGGGATGCCATTTCTCAGGTGTTCTGGCTGTGGGAACTCTCTGATGTGTTTTCTTTACTTGGTGGGTCTGGTCCATGTTTTCAGCCTTGTAGAGAAAGGCACATTTTTTGTGTACATAGCAGGAATGGGTTCAAATGACCGATGAATGTGAGCATGAAAACACAGGGAAGCCAGCAAGGCCAGATGTGCCTGCTCATTCTGTTAAATGTTAATCCTCAGCAACTAGTGTTTAGAAGCTGCCAGCCATTGTTGCAGTATCCAGGAATCTTAAATTGCCACAACCAAAGTCAGCCCCTTCCTTCCCACTTAGGAGAGTCATGGTGTATTCATGGTGTTTTCATCTGTTTTCCTGCATACCCTAGCTGAAATCCCCAAACAGCCTGAAACTGCAGGTTGCAGTAAAATGGTATGGAATTGAAGTTCTTCAGTGACACCACTTTGAGCTGTGCAAAGGCTCCATGGAGGTCTTATTTATGTAGCTACTCCTCTGCGCCTACCCTTTCTCCCTGCACTGCACTGCAGCTGGGCTGCCACTCCAGGAGCATCTGGCTTCAGCTTAGTAGGCACAGGGAGCAAGCAAGTTCACAGCCTCTTGGCTGGTCTTTCTGTTTACTTTCCACCACATTGCCTATTACCCTTTGGCAGGGCAAACACTCAGGCACCACGTGTTAGTGTGTTGTCTTACCCTGCTGCAGCTCACAGCCAGTTCAAAGGTCTTTTTATATTGCTGCACATTAGTATTGCATGGCAAGGGAAGCAAAGTATGCTGCAGGGAGGCCCCCAGGTGAACGTTAACAGCCATGTTCAGCAGAGTTGTGCTGGTTTGTGTCAGTACCACCGTAAAAATCTCATTCTTGTATTTATTTGGGGGGGGGAAGGTAAAATATCCGGACAGTTGAAGTCTCACTTGCAAAGTGCATGATTTCTTTCAGTGTTCTCCAGGCTCCCTGTCCTTTAGGGATTATGCTTTTCTTCGGTGCAAAACCTGTGACAGAATTCATTATCTTATTAGGCAGGATGGTTGGACTTATTTAGGTTATGCAATGTGTACCGAGGTGTGGCAGGAGCAGGGTGAGCTGGCTGTGCAAGGGCAGTCCTTGTCTCCTCAGGCTTTCACCATTCCCAGTGCCTGCCTGTCAAGCTGCAAGCGTT